TCGTTGTTTAAAACAATTGGCAATTGAGTCTACAAACGTAGAAGTTTCTAGGATAATTAGTGAAGATTTCTACGTCGACGATATGATAACAGGTTCCAATGATAAGGAAAAACTATTAAAATTATGCGAAGAAACTACCATGACGTTGCAAGCAGGGTGTTTCCCACTGCGCAAGTGGATATTTAATTTCACATCGGAACCTACGATCATGTCGTCGCCATGTACTTCTAAGCAAATAATCGGTGAGAGTATTAATCACAAAACGCTAGGTGTAGGGTGGCTTAATGAGAGTGACGAATTTTATTTTAATACAGAGCTTAAGTACGATAGTAATCAACCTGTCACTAAACGCATAATTCTATCATGTGCTTCTCAAATTTTTGATCCATTAGGCATTTTAAGTCCGTTTATTTTAACTGCAAAAATGTTATTACAACAGCTGTGGTTATTAAAATTGGAGTGGGACGAGTCCGTCCCTGTTGAGATCGAGCAGCAATGGAAACGATTTCTCAAGTCTTTGCGGGTATTAAAAACTATTCGTGTACCTCGTTATGTTATGGACACCAATTCGACATACACAGAGATGCATATATTTACAGACGCATCAAAGGTCGGGTATGGTGCGTGCATTTTTATTCGTACAGTAAATGAAACTAATTGGTCAGTCAAAATACGTTTGCTTTGTTCTAAAGGTAAGGTTGCGCCGCTAAAAACCATTAGTATCCCACGCTTAGAACTGCTGGGTGCTCTGATTGGTGCCCGGTTGTATGATAAGGTTCGAAATTCACTTCATTACAATTTTAATCGTATAATGTTTTGGACAGACTCCACAATAGTTTTAGGTTGGTTGCGCATGCCGCCAAGATTATTAAAAACTTTCGTTCAAAATAGAACAATAGAAATTCACGAGTTGACGAAGGATCTCCCTTGGCGTCACGTAAATGGAAAAGATAATCCAGCTGACCTTATTTCGCGTGGAGTTGTGAACCTTAAGGACCTCTGTTCTTATAATTCATGGTGGGAAGGGCCAGCCTTTCTACGCGACAATAAATTTGACTGTGAAAACGTACCTCCTTTCTATACGCAAGCGGATCAGTCAAATGATTTATCTGAAGCAAGGGATAGTGACATAACCACCCTTATTGCCCAGAGTCAGTCGAACTTTGAAGATAAATCTATCATCAACTTCGAACGATTTTCTCAGTTCAGCCGCCTAAGACGCTCAACTGCATATGTTTTACGGTTTTTATTTAATACGCGCAATAAATTCAATAAGCGGTTGGGTATTCTGACTGTCGATGAACTAAGAGAGGCCGAAAATTTGTTAGCCAGGCTGTCTCAATTGGAATCGTTTCCAGTCGAGTACAAGGCCATGGTCGATAATCGCGCGCTTAACAAGAAACATAATTTAAGCAAATTAAATTTGTTTATTGACAATAATAAGCTTCTGCGAGTCGGTGGAAGGTTAGACTATTCTTCGGAGTTCGACTACAATAAGAAACATCCGATATTACTGTCAGGCAAACATCATTTCACACTTTTACTTTTCCGTTACGAACACCTTACATTGCTACATGCTGCACCGCAGGCGCTTCTATTTCACATTCGTGAAACTTGGTGGACGCTTGCAGGTAGAAATCTTGCTAGGAAAGTAGTTCACGAATGCGTTGTGTGTAGGCGTCTGCGAGGTAAAACACTCACTCCTCTTATGGGAAATCTTCCCATCGAAAGAATTACACCCACCTTTCCTTTTAATCGTTGTGGCGTTGACTATGCCGGTCCAGTTTACATATTAAACAGGAAGGGTAGGGGCGCCAAGACTTCTAAAGCATACATTTGTATATTTATTTGTTTCGTCACACGCGCAGTTCATTTAGAGCTGGTTACTGACCTCACTACCAAAGCATACTGTCTCACGATAAATAGGTTTATCGCGCGACGAGGGAAACCTTCTGAAATTTGGTCCGATAATCAACGCTCATTTATCGGACTTAAAAATGAATTTACACAATTTCTAGACCGCTGTAGTTCCGAAATTATTGACTATGCTAATCAGCAAAAAATCCAATTTAAATTTATTGTGCCCTACGCTGCTCATTTGGGAGGAATTTGGGAAAGAGGGGTTCGCTCGTGTAAATACCACATTCATCGCGTAGTTCGTAACGCTCATCTTACGTACGAAGAATATAGCACGGTATTGGCACAAATCGAAGCTGTCCTGAACTCTCGTCCTCTAACTCCAATCTCATCCGATCCTAATGACTTTCTTCCCCTTAGTCCTGCTCACTTCCTGGTTGGCCGTATGCTTACAGCGCCTGTCTGCGACAACCTAGAAGATACGCCTACACATAGACTCGACAGATATCAGCGGGTAGAAAAAATTCGTCAAGATTTTTGGAAACGCTGGTCGAAGGAATATATCTCTGAGTTACAGACGCGGACGAAGTGGCGAGAACATACGCAAGACCTGAAGCCCAATACCATGGTCGTAATCAAGGAAGACAACTTCCCTCCTTTACGATGGCATCTCGGTAGAATCGTGAGAAATATACCGGGAAAGGACGGAATATCAAGAGTGGCCGAAATTAAAACAGCAAGCGGACTTGTGAGGCGATCTTACACCAAAATTTGCCCATTAGTAGAACCAGATGTAACTCACATTGGAAGCCAAGGGTTCCAAGGCCGGGGGCATGTTTCGGCTTAAAACTGAACGCATTACGACGCAGTGTACGCTGATTGGTCTATGTTTGTTAGGTCATATTCGCAACAATTGTCAAATTTCATATTCAAAACTTACCGCAACTGTAATAGTCGTTATTCAAAATTATATACTTAGAATCTGCGCAAGATCTTTCATTTTTGCAAAAATATCAAGCGCTAACAAACTACTTCATTTGTTTCTGTACTCTCTTCACTAACTACTTCATTTGTTTCTGTACTCTCTTCATTTTCAACACCGTCAATTGTTACTTCTTGAATTGTTCCTTTTTCAATTGTTTCTTCTTCATGACCCATGCCTCCATTTTATTCATGGTCGCAGTCTGCTCATTATTTTTCAAAATATTTTCAAAATCCGCAGCAGTTATTTTCAAAGTAATCTTTTGATTCCAGTCTTGAATGATAGAATGTTTTCTAACAATGGGCTTCCCCATCTTTGAAAGTTTCTTTGCAGCTGTCACTTTTACTCAAAAACTGGAAAATCTCCAAAAAATATAGATGTTTCTGGGCCCATAACCTCTTGAATGGTGGATGTGGCTCATGTGATCGCTCTCAAACCAAAAAGACACTTAAGGACTCATAGGAAAACTGTTTATTTCAACTTAAACATTTTGAACTTATTTTTGGACCAAACGTAATCATTATTGAATTTATATAAAATACAGGAGTTATGTCAGATAGCTATACATGTTACATCTTCAAACGATTTTTACGGAATTAATCAAATATGACACAATTCAGTCTGAACAAATAAAACTAACATTCTAAATTTAATTTAAAGTAATTCAAACATAATACATAAACCAAGAAGATCAGAGTTGATATCAAAAGAGTATGTATAATCTGAGATTACCAATCAACAGAATAAACACCGCTCCGAAAGCGCTTGATATATCTAGAATGCTTAATAATAGCATAGTACTATTGTTTGGTCGTTCGCTTATGGACTCAATTTTATTGGATATAAAGTATATTATGGTATACAAAAGCGTATTTGTCGCTACGTACTCGTTTTGTTCGTTTATTGCCGTTCATAGATTAATTCAATCAAGGAAAGAGAAATAGTGTTTTTGTTTTTTAACTGCTTATTGTGTTTTTTTAATATCTTTAGCATATGTGTACGACAAACCTGGCAAAATAATGTGTTTAATGAATAATATATGCGTACAAATGGACAATTTGGGAGAGTTGTAGACTATGCTTTCGATAACAAGCCATGTAGCGCCACGTGTCGCCTTAGCAGCATTTAAATTTAAACATTTCATCGTTCCGGGGTATCAAAATATATTAACTCTTATCACAAGTTGATACAGTTAATTAATGTAGTATTTTAACTATCAATAAGTGAGTGTAATAATCCTATGTTGAATAAAGATATTTGAACTTGAATTTAATATCTGTAGTATATGACGATTACTGCTGTTGCAAGAATGGGCAGACTCGTTATAGAGAGTACCACAGCATCACAGAAGACCCGCGTATGGAAGAAGTATTTATACGTTTGCATTTCATCTTGTGAGATAACCGGAGTCCCACAAGGCGTTCGAAAAAGATAACCGCTTGATATCCATTGGTGGCGATAAAGTGGACAGCTTGCTCATAAACATCTCCCGTGTATAAATCAAATTTCCCAAATAAATTATTTGCGAAAATAATCAAATGGAAACGGTGTTACATAATGCTCTCAGTTACTTTAGTTGTAGTAATAATGTATTAGGTGCACGTGCGTAATTATTTTCGGCTCCTTTGTAGGATCATTCCTCTCGCTACGCCAAGCGAATACGAAATGATTGTGTTTTTTAATCATTGTTTGCACCGATGTAAAAATCTTTACAGGACGAAATAGAAACTTTATCCCGATATTTCCAAGGTCTAAATTTAATCAGCATTGTTATATTATTTCTGAACAATTGACGATTTTCGGGCCGCACATTTTATTTTGGTGCGTTTCAATGTAGGTCACTAAGTTGTTGTGGTCCGATTATGTGAGAGACTTATAGTGAACTTAGCATTAGAGTTTATTAAAATTGTTGTTTGTTAGTTTGGAGATATATGAACTATGTACATACTTGGCTTATTAGCAGGGAGCGTTATGTTCAGAATTAAGACTCAATCGCTTATTTCTATACAGTATTATGGCGTACTGCCAAACAACACGACTAATAGATGTACATTTTTTATCGAGAATATTCTAGAAACTGTAAAAATTATTCATTTAATCCTCGTGGCGTGGCATGCCTTGCACGCTATGAAATCGCTGAACGGAAATCGCGATGTTCAAGGTATCTGCGGTCAGATCATCCCTTGGAACTTCCCGCTCCTGATGGCCGGCTGGAAACTCGGACCTGCCCTCGCCACTGGCAACACCTTGATCCTGAAGCCGGCAGAGCAGACGCCGCTCACCGCTCTATACGTGGCCCAACTAGTCAAGGTGGGTCTTCCCGTACACAAGTGTACCAACAAATTTTCTATATATATAAGAGATTTCCACCGATAATTGACTCATCACGATATCTCTGGAACCATAAGGCGTAGATAGAGACTTGGAATTTGGTAAGAATATTCCTTCCGCCGAGTGGAGGTCAGCTAAGAAAGGATTTTACGAAATTCCACAAAACAACGTTTGCCGGATCAGCTGGTAAGCTAATTTTTAATTAACCTTAAAAACTTATACGACTCGTGATCTCCTACTCAATCTAGGATCTTCCCACCTAAAGGAAAACGACTTATAAACAGACGCAAATTTACTCAATATAAATTAGTTTATTATACATATAGTATATTTTATAAAGATCCAACAACCATCCACTGTAATTACTTGCTAGTCACAATAAATGCTTTTTAGTTGAACCCCCAACCCCCTTAGTGGTTACGCCTATGGCCTGTACGCATATAAAACTTTATAGGTCGATTCTCGTGTGACCGTAATTTCAATATATACAAATCAAACAAAAAAATCGAATACATGGTGGGAACGATGACCCTGGTTCGAATAAACGCGATTAATCCATACATAATTAAAGTTTCATTTAGTACCGTGCACTACCACTAACAATCCCTTAAGATAATTGAAGAAAAAATATTTAGCTTGTGCATTGTCGCCTCCATAGATTTTTATATTTCTTTTTTTCGCTTAATATCACGATCGTGTAATCCCTTTGCTTTTAAAAATCGCACATTTTGGTGGAGAAGTTATTTTCGCTTTTTATTAAATATTATCATACATTACACCACCTTTCAGATTGAATGAAGTCTGGGTCTTTGTGGCATTAAAAAGATTGCCGAATTGTGTTTGAATTTGTCTTAGTGATGCTATGTATAAAGTGGATACAGATTCGAAGAGTTGAAGTTTTTATTTGTCTGTTACAATTTTAAATTTGAATATTATAAAATTGAAAATTTAAGAATAACTTGACATTGGCGGAATTGTGATATTTTATTATTATAAAGCAAGCCATTAATAAAAGAAGAAGAAGAAAGCAGATACAGGAATTTAATGGAATTCTCGACCAAAAGTAGTATACAGGCTCCTTGTACCTCGTACGTGGATTCCTGTTTGAATAGAATGTAGGTAGTTCTAGCTAACTTTGCTAGCTATCTTTGAATGCTTTGCCTTTTAAGGTTAAAATAATATACCTTTCAATTTAGACGTAACAATCTTGCTGTACATTTAAATTGATCCCTTGATTTTCCATTAGTATTATTATTTTGAATTGATTTAGTATTTTAATAATTTTAATTTATTGGTTTTATGGTAAGTTTTAGGATATATATTTAATGGCGGCATTGTTTTACAAAATGTATTTCATTCAGCCAGTTTTAAAAGATTGTCTTGTCAAAATTTGTCTAAGATCATTATTTGACGTTTGGTCCCAGTCAGATAATAGCTACCGATCGAGCCGAGGTCCGGCCCTCTCGGGCACCCTCGAATCGGAATGCTAAACGCGTGCTGAGTGACAGCCCAAGCCGAGGTCCCCTTGAGCCTGATCACTCCATGGAGCGCCCGCCAAAAAAACAGCTTGTCGGCCTCCCAAACCGGTAACAATAATAGCGTGACGGCCCGAGCCGAGGCTCCCCCGGGAGCCCTCGATAGTCACCATTATCCGTGGCCACCTCAAGTCCGTCGGATCTGTAAAGGCCCCTAAAACAGTGGCTCATCCAGCCAAAAAAAAAAAAAAAAAAAAAAACGTTTGGTCACGAAAAATATCGCAGACGAGGTGTTGCAAAGTCATAAAAAACATAAATCTCACGTGGACAAACATCCAGATGCGAAACAACTAATGTGGGTAACACAAATAGTTGTCCCGTGTGGGGATCGAACCTACGACCCCCGACGCCGAAGCCGATAGCTTGGCAACTGTGCCACAGAGTTAATTTAATTCTGTTACATAGAGAACACAATTGTAGAGATCATTGTGAATTGCAGGAAGCCGGTTTCCCGCCGGGCGTAGTCAACGTGTTGCCTGGCTATGGCGACACTGGCGCCGCCATCGTCGACCATCCGGATGTCGATAAGATCGCTTTTACGGGTACGCGCATAGAACTTTCCAGAAACTACCTTCGTTTCCATGCATTACAGTTTCTCATCTGTCTCCAATTTTTTATGTGTAAGTGGTCAAGCAAGCAAGCTATTCACCCAGTTCTAAGTGATAACTACCACCCCATGTCTACAACTCTTGAGGGTAAGAAGACCCGTACGCAGCAGGCGAAAGGTGAAAGTATAATTCTTCCACTCATCTTCGGTAAGGCAGTGGCACTACCACAGTAAAATATTAAAAGTTACCCCAGTTTCGCTGAAAAATACCCTCAATATTATATAGTAAAGGCTGTCAAGAAAGAGTTTACGCGCTAGTACTGCCCATTTTTTTTTTTTTTTTTTTTTTTTTTTTACGCTGTTGGCCTTAGGGGTACTTGAGGTGGCCTGGCGCACGAGGCGGCTAGCCTGAACCTCGGGTACTGCCCAATCAGTATTTCAGATTAAATAGTTAGTTAGCGTTGTGTTTCTACAGTGTAAAAGTGATAAAATAAGTTATTATAACAGTGTTATTGTTGTGCAAAGTAAAACTACGGTGATTTGGTAAAAGTATTTATATTTCTACCTTCTTAGCTCGATAAAACAAAGTATAGCTAACAATATATACAAATACTTGCTGCACTTGCAAATCCCCTAGCTGCTGCTGATTTTATACCTAAACTAGCGACCCGCCCAGGCTTTGCACGGGTGCAATGTGTTATACATATAAACTTTCCTCTTGAATCACTCTATCTAGTAAAAAAAAAACCGCATCAAGATCCGTTGCGTAGTTTTAATGATCTAAGCATACATAGGGACAGATCGACAGCAGGACGACTTTGTTTTATACTATTTAGTGATATGTATAATTGTATCACTAAAAAGAAAAAGATAAGATCGCAAAGTTTCTTGCCGGTTCTTCTCAGGTGTAGTTTATATTATATGTATATGAGAGCTTAAGTCCCGCTGAGTTTCCTACGCCGGCTCCTCTCAGTCAGGTTTTTCCTCTCCAAACCGGTGGTCGCGTTTTGACAATCGATAAGTGTAATAAATATAGAAGATATTGATTAAGGGCGCTTGGCCTTATTTGACGACTCGAATGGCGTAGTGGGTAATGTACCTGCCTCCTGCGCCAGAGGGTGTGGGTTCGATCCCCACTACTGGAAAAATATTGTGTGATGAACATGGTGTTTTTCTAGTGTCTGGGTGTTTTTATATGTATAATATGTATTTATTTACAAAAGAAAAGTATGTTTATCAATTTTCTAGTACCCATAGTACAAGCTTTGCTTAGTTTGGGACTAGAAAATGTTGTCTACAAATGTGTCAAAAAAAAAAGAGAAAAAAAGAGAAAAGTTCTCCGGTCGTAGGGTCCACGGAGGTGGGCAAGGCGATCCAGCGCGGCGCGGCCGGCACCGTGAAGCGGCTGACGCTGGAGCTGGGCGGGAAGTCGCCCAACGTGGTGCTCGCCGACGCCGACCTGGACTACGCGGTGGAGAAGGCGCACATGGCGGTCTTCTACAACATGGGCCAGTGCTGCTGCGCAGGTCGGTCTACCGCCCCGTATGGTGTTCGGGCCGTTTGCTTCGTTCGGCGACAGGCGTTGTCGCTCGCGTAACCTCTTTTATCTAGCTGACGGTATGATAGGTGGAAGACACTTTAGAGTTTTGTGATTTATCTCTGTTATAATTTGAATGTATGATTGTAACATTCTATTATTTATTTTGGTAAGAACGTTGACTATAATATGTTCATACGTTTACAATAATACGTTCGTTTTCCTGTCATTGTTGACAGGACATTTAATGTTTTTTTTTAATTTTATTTATTGATAAATATTTTTCCAGTGTTCCCCTATTTTTCGAATTTCATGAACACATTTCACTTCCACATTTGTTCACGGCGACATCTAAAAAAAAAATTAGAGTAATATTCAGTTTGTAATTGCTCAAAATCCGTCCAACCCAAAAAGTAAAGAAATTTGTGTGTGAACAGGCATTTACAGCACTACATTAAGCAAGCCTCAACTATCCAAAAACACTAATCAAACTTGCGTGTGAACAGGCACTCAGTACTACATTAGCAAACATTAAAACTATCCAAAATCACTAATCGAAGTTGCGTATAAACACAACCAGGCAGCCGCACGTACGTCGAGGCGCCGATCTACGACAAGTTCCTGGAGCTGAGCGCGGAGCGGGCGAAGCGGCGAGTGGTGGGCGACCCGTTCGACGCGGCCACCGAGCAGGGGCCGCAGGTGGATGCGGAGCAGAGGGCGCAGGTGCTGCGCTTCATCGAGAGCGGGCGGCAGCAGGGGGCGCGGCTGGTGGCAGGGGGCGGGCCGGCCGGCGCCAGGGGACACTTCGTCCAGCCGACCGTGTTCGGCGACGTGCGCGACCACATGGAGATCGCGCGCCGCGAGATCTTCGGGCCCGTGCAGCAGATCATGCGCTTCGAGCGGCTCGACGAGCTGCTCGAGCGCGCCAACGACTCAAACTACGGCCTCGCCGCCGCCGTCTTCACCCGCGACCTGGACAAGGCCAACCACCTCATACAGGTGTGCTGATGCGTTCGCATATCTGACGGCTGGACGGACGGTCACGCACTTTGTTGCGTGTGTGTGCTAAAGTGTGCGAACAGATAGATAGTGTCTTTGAGGGAGGGATTACAATTTTATGTAATAACACACGTCAACTCGCTGTTTATTACGTGTAGAGTTTTGCAGTCGACACTAACTCCCTAAAGTGTGTGAACAGATAGGTAGTGTCTTTGTGGGGTAATAACACACAGGGTGTTGTCTAAAAGTAAATTGTTCCGAAGAGAAAAATGATGTTTATTGAGTTTATGAAGGAATGAAGATAAATATTTCTTAACTGTTCCTTAATCAGACATTGTCCAAATTTGATATTATAATCGAGTTAATACGAAAAGTAGGTGTAGGGAGTTTATTTAAAATTTTGTCCAGAAGGTAATCATTTATACAATAGTAGATTTCACCTCGGCTAATCTTCTGTTTTCTTGCCCTGGTAATCTTTTAAGTCAAAATGGTGTAATATCTTGACCCTAACTGCGATCTTTGCCTGCCGTTAACTGCAGTTGTACAAGTTGCGCCCGTTCCTATACCAACCGCTGTCTCCAGGGCCTGCGCGCCGGCACCGTGTGGGTGAACGACTACAACGTGTTCGGCAGCCAAGTGCCGTTCGGCGGCTACAAGGAGTCCGGCCTGGGGCGAGAGAACGGGCCCTACGGCATCAGCAACTACACGGAGGTCAAGGCGGTCGTCGTCAAGCTCACCGAGAAGAACTCGTAATGCGACGGACCCCAGGACCATATTCCTATGCCATATTATTGCTACTTGGTCCAGGGCTAGATTTAGAGGTCTGGAGGCCTCTTGGCCCCAAATTATTTTCTATTGATTTCTGTTAATATTTAATGTAATCATGTTTGTACCAAATAGTGCAGGTAAAAGTAAAACGCGAAAAAAAATATGAAAGGAAAAGTTGTTTACTATCGTTTAGTATTCTGAATTTCAATTTTTTTTCCGAAGTCTTGTGGGGCCCCCTCATCTGCGGAGGTCCAGGGCTGTTGCCCCGGTTGCCCTCACCTCAATCCGGCCCTGACTTTGTCACTAATTAATGTAACATAAGTTTAAGGAGGGCCTTCTGCCATACACAATTTAGCGGATTTGTAGTCTTGGCCGCAGTGGGCCCCGGCCCATGTAGTAAGCCGCCAGCCGCCCCTTACTCAGCGCCCATCATATAACTCGTTCTCATAAGTGAATTTTTTGTCACGATTGGCCGCCGCTAATATGCGGCCTCCCTAGGCCCGGGCCTATTGGGCCTTAGGCTAAATCCGCCACTACACAATTTATACTGGCCGTTATCACATGCTACATAATTGATGATGATAAAAAATATCAAATATGATATTATGTTATTACTACATTGTAACTCTTTATTATAAGTTTGAGGAAAGCCTTCTGCCGTACACGATTCATACAAACAAGGTCCATAATAGACGAACAGTTTAATATAAGCTTCATAATTGATGACGATAAAACGATGAAAATATTACATAAAGCTCCATCAGAAAAATAAAAAAACTTTAAAATCTGCTCTGAGGATGCTTTAATGTTATATAATTTTTGCTATACTTCATTTTTTTTGAGTGATTTCTTTATTTCTCTAGTCAAACTACCTTCACATTTGTTGTAACATTACGAAATCCCATGTCACAATCGCACAAAACAAATCGCAGAAAGTACGAAGAGTCTTCCAGTTTAATAATATCATATTATGATTAAATATCACGAACTGCATTTACAATTAGAAAGTAAGAATGTGTAAATAAAAATAATATAACCAATCGGTCTTGTTGATAAGTAAAAATACGTTCATATATTTCTATATACAAAAATGTATAGAATTTAAATAAAATATTATATAAAAATATTTTTTACTGGCTACCCAAACATTGCTTGGCCTAATCTGCATAGATGGATGAATGAAGAATTGTGTAAAAGTTTATGTATATAAAAGTATATAATTTGAATTCGGCTAACCGATCGCTTTTTTGACACGATGCCGTTTTTTTGAATATGTTAATACCCCGCGAAATAAAAATAGCACTTGCGTAAAAAGGCAATTACTAATTAGTAATTCACTTTAAACACGTATCATTACCAGCGATCCCTACATTTTCGCTTCAATGGTGACAATTTCATGTCCAAATTCGCCTATCTTCAAGAGATGGCTGACTGCGAATATGTAGCGATGTTGACTTATCTTTGTTTTGTCACTAACTTGCCTGATATTAGAAGAAAAAAAAAATTGAATATGGTCGCAAATATCATAGGTGGGGTGAGTATCTCGAAATCTTCCGATCTAAGTAGTTATCAATGGTGGTGGAAAAAGGAATTTAAAAAGAAATCAGCAGCAAAAAGCCAACGTCACGCGGTGTTCCCAGGCGGTCACCCATCCAAGTACTGACCGCGCCCGACGTTGCTTAGCTTCGGTGATCGGACGAGAACCGGTGTATTCAACGTGCTATGGACGTTGGCGATAATAATATCTCATCGAGTCTACCTATACTTCCACTAGCTCTCTGCCCAGTGATGTAAATATAAGAGTATACAATTATAGATTTTAAATTCGGCTGTCAATAGCTATACCTATCCTTTACGGCCTTCGAGGACCTTCCGAAGCCTGTTTTGATACGACGCCGTTTTTTTGAATCCTAACAATCCCGCTAAATAAAAATAACACATGCGTACATAGGCAATGAGTAATTCACTTTAAACGCGTATGTATCATCACCAGCGATCTCTATATTTTCGCTTCGAGGGTGACAATGTCATGTCCGAATTCGCATATCTTCAAAGGATGGCTGACTGCGAATACGTAGCGATGATGACTTATCTTTGTTTGTCACAGGTAGAACAAAACCTCGGGCTCTGGTTGTTTCGTATTTCAACGCAAACGGCATAAAGGGTCAAAGGGACGAAATCGCGGAATTCCTTCGCGATTATAACATAGATATTTTTCTAGTGCAAGAGACATTCTTAAAACCTAGTGTACGCGATCCCAGAATCGCAAACTACAACATAGTCCGCCACGACCGGTTAGCAAACCGTTTGGGAGGCACCTTAATTTATTACAAACGGTCCTTGCACTGTAGCCCGCTCGACATTCCAGAGCTAAGCCATATAGAGGCATCCGCGTGTAGGTTAGCGCTCACCGGCCATAGGCCGCTTGTACTAGTCTCAGCCTACCTCTCGGAGAACAAAACCTTATTACAAAGCGACCTAGATACGCTACTTAACTTAGTCCCTTCCGTGATAATTGCAGGAGATCTAAACTGCAAACACGGCTCATGGGACATCCACAGCATCCGAAATAACAATGGAAAGCATCTCTTTAGCTTATCCGATAATTTAAACTTTAGCATAATTGCTCCTGCGACTCCCACTAGGTATCCTATGGTGGACAACTACCAACACGCGACACCGAGTATCCTAGATATCATGTTACTCAAGGAGGTCTCGCTCGACATCGAGTCGATAGAGACAATCCATAAACTAGACTCAGATCACAGGCCCGTCCTGTGTAAACTGGGCCAGAACGCCGGCGCGGTCCCTCCGACCAAATCCGTAGTGGACTGGCATCGTCTTGAGGTCAAACTCAAGGCCTTGGACCCCCAGGAATTAATCGACCTACCCGAGACGATAGCTACGTTCGATGACGCAAATCGAGCGATAGCAAGTCTCCGAGAAACCATCACTTCCACAGTCGCAGACTCGGAACGGACGGTTAAACTGTCGGGCGATCGACGGTTTAACTTTCCGCCCGACCTGCGACTCCTAATTAGGCAGAAAAATGCAGCTAAACGCGCTTTCGACCGATACCGATCGGAATCGAACCGAACCCTACTTCGACGCCTTCAGCTAGAAGTCAAAGATCGAGTATCGGAACACCGACATACAACGTGGGACACTCTCCTAGAGGACATCGAGCCATCGCACACCGCCTACTGGCGGTTGGTCCGCAGTCTGAAAAAGTCGAATACCTTGCGGACAACCTAGAGCACCAATGTACGCCATCGCGCGAACACATCGATACAGCCCACCTAACGGAGGTGGACCGCGTAATAGAGATTAGGGCTGCGCTTCCACCGGAAGGCGATCCTTTGAATTCAGTGACCCCCGAAGAGGTTCAAGATATTATTAAAAACTTAAAACCCAAATCCGCCCCGGGCCCAGATAATATTAGTAACAAAATTCTTAAAGCTCTCCCTGGGCCGCTTATCTGTTTACTGGCGACCATTTACAATACTTTACTCTCCAGTTGCTCCTTTCCAGACGACTGGAAAGAAGCCAGGGTTATCGGCATTCGCAAGCCTAATAAACCAGCCAACCAGCCCTCTAGTTATCGTCCCATCAGCCTCCTCAGTTGCCTGGGGAAGCTCTACGAGCGGCTTATATTAAACAGGCTCAATGAGCACGTGTTTTCCACGGCCTTCTGCCGGCGGAACAATTCGGCTTTCGAGCTAGACATTCCTGTCCCGATCAACTATTCCGCCTAACGGAACATATCCTAAAAGGCCTAAATCACCCTAAACATATTAGTATAGGGGCTCTTTTCTTCGATGTCGCAAAAGCATTCGACAAGGTCTGGCACAACGGCTTGCTTTACAAGCTGTATACACTCAAAGTGCCAGATAGGCTCGTACACACCATTCAGGCCTGTCGAACCGCTCTTTTCGATATCGAGTTGAAAGCACCCTCTCCACAAGCCGCCGCCTCACGGCCGGCGTTCCACAAGGCTCCTGCCTCTCACCTTTGCTCTTTACGCTCTACACGAGCGATATACCTAAAGACCCCCACGTCAATCTCGCGCTTTTCGCGGATGACACGGCGCTCTTTTATTCAGACCGCAACCTTAGACAACTAACCGCTCGACCCAAAGCGCTGCTGACCGCCTCGGCGATTGGTTCCGCAAATGGAGAATAGAAATAAATCCCGAAAAAAGTGTGGCGATTCACTTCACACGAACTACTTATCCGTCACATCTTTATAATGGCCCTTGTCAATGCAGAAAGTTGGGGCAAATATCCCTTTATGGCCAACCGCCATCCCCTGGGCTCCCCTGGGAGAAAAAGGTCAAATACTTAGGAGTCCCTTTCGACTCGCGTATGTCATTTACTACGCACATTAATAACGTTCGCAATAGAGCCGCGTTCGTCTCCGGCCGGCTACACAATTTAACTAACGCTAAAAGTAAAATGCCCTTAAGGCACAAATTATTATTATATAAGACCTGCGTACGACCTATTATGTCTTACGCATGCATGACCTTCGCCCACACGCACCGTACTCGCTTGTACTAGTTGCAAATAGTACAAAATAAGTTCATCCGCCGCGCAACCGGTGCGCAGTGGTATCAACGCAACGTCGACCTGCACAGCGATTGCAGACTCCCGACGATTCGCGAATATTTTAAAGACCTGACCAAACGGTTCTTCGATAGAGCCGAACATCATTCCAACCCTCTGTGTCAACAAGCGTCGCCCGCGAAACGTCCTAATCGACCCGGTCGAGGAAGGGGACTTAGACACGCCGGACCCACTGCTGGGGGTCCCGCCGGACTACCGCCGAACACTACACCCACAGTTAGTGCAACAACAAACACACTAGTTCGCCCTCGCCTCCGAGCACGGCGAGACCAACACAACGCCACCGATTAGCTAATTGCACAGTCGACGGCCATCGGGGTTTCGGTCCGAACCACGACCTCGATGGCCCTTAGATGACGTACCATAGTTAAACGCACGCATGAGCACATGCGTGGCCCTACCCACAGCGGAGGGCCCAAACCCGTGGGTTCTGGCTAGCCCACCGGTTCTGCGTCAGATGAAGCTTTAATAGTCTCGGGACTGAAAGCAAAAACATCAGTTAATACAAGATACAAGATACAAGATTGTTTGTCACTAACTTGCCTGTCATTAGAAGAAGAAAAAAAAATTGAATATGGTCGCAAATATTTACATAGCTAGGTGGGGTGAATATCTCGAAATCGTTGTGAAAAGGAATTTAAAAAAAATATTGAAATATGTTTGTTTGTAAAATCGATGATTTGATATATAAATAATACAATTAGACGAAATACCTTCAGTAAATATGCGGCATGCGCTTCCCCTTCGCATGGCCATGACAACATTAGCATATGTTTAAACTATTTATAAAGCACGTAGCGTTTGAATCATTCATATTCATCGCAAACGTCCATAGTCCATACACCGGTTCTCGTCCGATCATCGAAGTTGAGCAAAGTCGGGCGCGGTTAGTACTTGCAGGTATTCATCAAGATGAACTTAATAAGACATAATTTTAGCGTATGGTAATTCGAACAAAATTCTATGAATAATTTGCGTCCACATTCGTTCACTTCACGTATTCACGGACTAGTGAATAAATTTATTTTTCTAGTTTGTGGTCGTACTGTTTAAACAATTCATCAATGGAATCTGTTCGCAGCAGCCTCGGCTGTTGCACGAATGGGCAGGCCCGTCCGGGTAAGTACCACGACCTCACAGAAGACCAGCGTAAAGTGGAAGTATGACAAATACTTTCGCGTTTCGTCTGGTGAGTGAGGTAGCCGGAGCCCAATTTTCAAAAGGTTGTCAACGCATCTGTAACCCTTGGGTGTAGCAGATGTCCATGGGCGGCGGTATTCTTTTACCATCGGGTGAAACGTCTGCTCGTTTGGCAAACTTCTCACATAAAAAAAAAAATTGAAAAATTTTATACGGGACTAGCGGACCCGACGGACGTTGTCCTGTACCCACGACATAAATCCGACAACAACTTATAAGTACAAAAAAATGTAGAGGACCGAATTGTGAATCTAAAACATTCTCGAACCAACCAGAAGACACTAAAATTCGGTCCACCCGTTTAGGAGGAATTCAGCGACATACCCACGTTCAGCAGAAATATATAAATAAAGATTTAAAATGACCGGTAGCCGGTAACGCACGATAATCGTAGAAAGAAACAAGAAAATAACTAAAAACACGCATTGTTTTGTTTATGTCTCTTCCCATCGAAGACTCCTTAATGTAATGAGCATCGAAAAACTGATAATAGTAGTTAATTTTTTTCTAATCAATCGCCATAAGGAAGGACGAAGGTAAAAAACAAACGACAAGTAAACATGCTATGTTTATAAAAGTATAATGGAATTACTTTTATTATCTTAAAACGATAAAAAGGTTGGGGGGTCATTTGCTTTAATTATCGAATTACGATTTTTGATTTTTTGATTTTATTATTATAATTTGATCAATTGGCGTTAGGAGTAGTGCACTTGCTTCTTGCGCCAGAGGGTGTGGGTTCGAACCTCACTAGTGAAAAAAATATTGTGTGACGAACATAGTGTTTTTCCAGTATTTGTATTTGTATAACTGATGTTACGCTTTCAGTCCTTAGACTATTAAAGCTTCATCGAACACAGAACCGGTGAGCTAGCCAGAACCCACGGGTTTGAGGCCCTCCTTAGTGGGTAGGGCCGCGCATGTACTGATGCGTGCGTTAATTGTGGCATGTCGCCTACGGGCCATCGAGGTTCGGCGCGGACCGTAACCCTGATGGCCGTTGACGGTGCTGGGTTAGTCGGTGGCTGGGGGAAGTGAGAACCGCCCTGGAACGCGGGTGTACCTAATGTACGCGTTGTGTTGGTTTCGCCGTGCTCGAAGGCTAGGACGAACTATGGTGTTTGTGGATGCACTAACTTAGTGTGAAGTGCTATTTGGCGGGACACCTGGCGACGCTTGTTGACGTTCGCGTTAGTGTCGGGTTGGTGATTTGCTGCGCTTACCACTAGAGGGTTGGGATGATGTTCGGCTCAGTCGAACCGTTTGGCGAAATTACCAGAGTATCTCACAAATACTTATCCCACGTGATAAAAGAAATATAAGCATATGTTTCTGTTTTTTCTTTCGTCTTGACATTGAGTTTTGTTAACTTACGAATTTATTTTTAATAAATGAAGCAAAAACTCAAAGTCAAGGATTTTAACATTTTCAACAGGCTTCAAAAAAGGAGGAGGTCCCCAATTCGGATGTATTTTAGTTTATGTTCTTTTCCTGAGAACACAGTCATTTTAAAACAGAAAAAATTCTTCTTGCATTGTGTTTCGATATGGATGTCATGTGGACCCATAAAAAAATTCATTGGTATTACATCTCGAACCCCGGAGATACATGAGGGAACTCCTCGAAATCAAATGAAAAATGTATAGGGAGCGAGATATTTTAAGTCGGTTCAGTTTGCGATTAGGTTTTATTATTCAAGATGGATGGGATAAGTAATAAAGGCAAATCGCTAATTAACTTTCTTGACGAGTTCATTTAATAATACATCAGACTCTCATATTGCATTTTGCTGTGTTAAATTAAAGTCGTAAAAACAGCAATAACAATTGACAATGGTACTCAATTTGGTTATGTCCACATGCAATCACGAAAGAAATTTATTTATTTGTTATATGTAGAGATCGTCCTTGATTTAACTGTTTTTTTTTTCTATTTCCAAATTTTTATTTATCACGTTCTTCATAAATAATCTACTTTATTTGATATTTAAAAACACAAGAATAATAGCGAATGATTTATTGATATTATTACGGTAAAAGACATACGAAAGTGAATACACGCGTTTATAGTAGTTTAAAAAGAAGCATAGTTTACTTTTCGCTCTCGTGAACGACTTGGGGCTTGTAGTCCAGGTCGAGTACTCTCCTAAGGCTGTCCGCGTACATGTCCAGCCTCTGGGTCATGTAGTAGCACCTGCGGTCCCTTATCTGCCTGTTCATGTTGAGGTCCATCTCGGCGATGAGGAGACCGTCTTTTGTGCGCGACAGCCCTGGGCAGCGCACCCCGTCAGGGCCGCAGAAATAGCTAGAGCCGTAGAACAGGCCCAGGTCCTTGTGGGCTGGCTTACCGTCGGCGGAGGTGAACTCGTTGGGGAACTCCTCGTAGCCAACCCTATTGATGGCGGCGGTGAAGTAGCAGTTGGTGATGGCGGCGTTCCTCGCCTCGATGTTCCACATGTACTCGCTGCCAGCCTCTCCGGCGACAGTAGCCGAAGGGTTGAACACGATCTCGGCGCCGTTCAGCCCGAACATCATCCAGTTGAGCACGTGGTGACGGCCGAAGCAGACGTTGACCGCGATCTTGCCGTAACGCGTCGCGAACACAGGGTGTCCGGTGTTGCCCTCCATGTAGTAGTTGGACTCGTTGAAGTCGCCAACCCTGGGGATGTGGTTCTTCCGATGCTTGCCTATCACGTTGCCGGTGTCGCTGATCACGACGGTCGTGTTCCACAGTATGTCCGCGTGGTTCTCGTCGCGCTCGAGGATGGAAGAGACTATGACCATCGCGTACTTGATCGCCAGCTCCCGCAGGAACCGCGTGGTTGGTCCCTCCTCGGCGGACTCGGCGAACTCGCACCAGGGCTGCTTCTCGCGGGTGCAGAACGCGAACGGCATGTTCCACAGCTCCTGGAAGCAGAGGATGTTCACCCCCTCTTGGCCGGCGACGTCGATGATTCGTTTGACCTTGGCGAGTATGGCATTCTTCTGTTCGTTGACCGGCCGGTCGGTGGGCGCGGCGATTGAGTGCTGGATGACGCCGACTTTCACGATCCTGGGCGGTCGCGTGTGCTCCCTCTTCGCCGGGAAGGCGTAAGCGGCTATTTCGAAGTCCGCATCCTTCGCCGCGGCAATCGACGATTCCTTAACCTTCAGCTCGTTGTGATCCCTCCGTCCGTAGTATATCCTGTTGAACTCCTGCAGGTCGCGTCCGGTGAGATTGTTCTCGATAATCGCTTCGAGGCTGGTCGTTTGGCCGTCCATTTTGCTCTGCGTCGGTGCCCCGTGAGAGACTGCGCCCTTCCAGATAGTTCGCGCCTTTTAAATAGTGCCGCCGCCAACTCATACACTGGAGCGTCCGCCGCTCTGCACCGCGACCTGACTGTATCCCGTCGAACTTAGACCCGTAAGATAAGGGAATAACGGCCCCCGAACTATCTGCTTATCAGTTGGATGTCGACTCGGTTGTTATGAACAAATAAGTATTTAAAGATATGTGAAGTAATACTCGCTAAATACGAAGTTATTTCGTAAACAACTTGTATATGGCTTCTTCCAGTATTACTGTTGTTTTTTTGATTATTATTTTTTTTTGTCATACAAATTTTATTAAACTAAACTAATTTGTCCCAGATAGACATAGCTATCAACAACTTCGAGTGGCGAGCCTCCCAACAATACGGGGGTGGGCGTCACATGGACATTTGACATGACTTTGGTCTTTTCCATGTTCATTTTCAGGCCCACCCGCTGGGATACTCTATTGAGGTCTTCGAGCATTGTGCTGAGCTCCTCCAAGGACTTTGCCATGACAACGATGTCATCGGCAAACCGAAGGTGAGTGTTGTATTCGCCGTTGATATTGATGCCACATCCTTTCCAATCCAGGAGCTTGAAGGCGTCTTCCATTGCATTGGTAAAGAGTTTCGGAGAGATAACATCTCCTTGCCTCACTCCCCTCTGCAACGGAATAGCCTTTGTGCTCTGATCCTGTACTCGGACCGACATGGTGGCGTTTTTATACAAGCACTTCAACAAGGCAAATCCAACTTCGAGAAGGAGGTCAATCGACGAATCCAGCTCGGCTGGGCTGCGTTCGGGAAATTGCGCAGCGTCTTTACGTCCAAAATACCACAGTCCTTAAAGACGAAAGTCTTTAACCAGTGCGTGCTACCAGCGATGACCTACGGTGCCGAGACGTGGTCTCTCACTATGGGCCTCATAAGGAAGCTCGCGGTCGCACAGCGCGCTATGGAAAGGGTAATGCTTGGGGTTTCTCTACGAGATCGAATCAGAAATGAGGAGATCCGTAGAAGAACTAGAGTTACCGACATAGCAGAACGAGTCAGCAGGCTGAAGTGGCAGTGGGCAGGGCACATAGCTCGAAGAACCGATGGCCGTTGGGGCAAAAAGGTTCTCGAGTGGAGACCACGTGACGGCAAACGCAGCGTAGGAAGGCCTCCCACAAGGTGGACGGACGACCTAGCCAAGATCGCAGGGACGCATTGGATGCAGGCCGCTAACAACCGGTCGAAGTGGAAGTCAATGGGGGAGGCCTATGTTCAGCAGTGGACGTCCTACGGCTGATATGATGATGATGATGATGATGAAACTAATTTACAGATTTTTCTGATGAAACGTTAGGGATTGAAACCAAAATGTTATTTAACAATATGTAAGCAGTAGCTGTGGTTACGGGACACAAGAAATCATTACATTTTACACATTGTTATAAAGAGCTAATTTAGTTTACATATCTTTTTCTTGGTATATATATCTTATTCGTGAATTGCGGTTTTCTCGTTTTTAATAATTATTTCTAATTAGTGATTTAATAATTTTAAATTTAACAAATCTGATCTTTCTTTCTACCCATTGCTAATCTGTGTTTATTTCAAAAGCATCTATAAAATTCTCTACACTGCAGTCAATACAGGCCCTTAAATAAACCAGTAGTAATTACACAGTCTATACATGCAGAACCAGTATCAAGTCATTACCTACGCTAAAGAATTCAGTAGGTATATCGATAAACATAGTTCTGTACAAACGCATAATGTTTACGTGCCGTTATGTAACTGCTACCCACCCAAGACGATCATTATATTGCGCGTTAGTATCTCAACAAGATGGAGTCGTCTGTAAACCATTCATTGGATAATCTAGTTAAAACTAGTTTAAATCCCGATCAAATAAAGCATTTCAACAGAGTTTATTATGGAAGGGAGGATAATTGCCAAATAGAATTAAAGCCAGCCAGTTTGGACGCCAGCGAGAGGCTTGAAATCGAAATTGCCGCGTATTCATTTGCAGCAGCTAAGGAAGAGCTTAGGGAGCCGAGATCGGTGAAACTGGGGGTGGTGCAACACTCGATCGTATCGCCAACTACTGAGTTAGTGACATTGCAGAGGAAGGCTCTGTTCGATAAGATCGGGAACATAATTGATCTAGCAGCGAGCGAAGGCGTTCAGATATTGTGCTTACAGGAGACCTGGTCTATGCCGTTTTTCCTCTGCACAGGTGAGAAAGAACGCTGGAAGGGTTTCGCCGAATCGGCCGAGCATGGGCCCAGCGTGACGTTCCTGAGAGAATTCGCGAGGAAGCACTCCATGGTCATCATCTCCCCGATCCTGGAGGAGTGCGACGGCGCTTGGTGGAACACCGCCGTGGTGATGGACGCGGACGGCGTTTATTTGGGGAAGCACCGCAAGAACCACCTGCCAAGCGTGGGAAGTTTCAGCGAGACTGAATACTATTCACTGGGCGATACCGGCCACGCCGTCTTCGTCACGAGGTATGGAAGAGTCGCCGTGAACATTTGCTACGGGCGACACCACGCCCTGAACTGGCTCATGTTCGGTTTGAACGGCGCCGAAGTTGTCTTCAACCCTGCGGCCACAATAGCCGAGTTCGGCGAGGGGTTCTGGGGTATAGAGGCCCGGGCTGCGGCCGTCGCTAACGGCTTTTACACTTGCAGCATCAATAGGGTTGGCACCGAGGAGTTTCTGAGGAAAGACGGTGAGACAATATCGCGCACCTACTATGGCTCAAGTTATGTGACGGCCCCAAATGGATGCAGAACTCCCGGTCTGTCCAGATCCAAAGATGGTCTACTCATTGCCGAGGTCGACCTCAACTTATGTAGGCAGGTTAAAGACCACTGGGGTTTTCCGATGACGGCACGTTTGGACATGTACTCTAAAGAATTGAGCGAACTAAAATAAACATATTTTAGTAAATAAAAGAATATTGCGTTATTTTTACACTAATTACAACTTTATTTTGGTTATCATATCGCATGGTATCAACAGAGGTGAAACGCTTGAATTACCTGTTGATAATACGAGAAAATGCATACGAGCATATAATTGCTAATATAGATTTAACAGGCGCCAGACCCAAACTGTTGAATAATGAGATATTACACAGACAGTACCGAAATTAGTCACCGAATGTAATATTTAGCGTATAAATAGGTAATTATCAAATATAGGTATCGCAATGTTCCTCACATAACGTTTTTCAGTCTATTTTTTCTCTCATTTAAATAAACTCTCATAATTATAATCTTTAGAAGGAAATCTTTCGACATCAAAAGACAACTTTGTGAAATTATTATATTAACAGAGATTTAAAGAATTAAAATATAATTTAAAAAAATTATACGTGTAAATATTATTATTAGTAAATATAATTATTGCCCTAAAAACCTGTCTTTTGAGACAATAAAAAATATTCCAAAATCAGTGAAAGCAAACAAAATATTGTTATGTTTTATTTCCTTTCACTGTCCATAATCTAGTAGTTTGTCGCCCAGCTGTTTAGTGTTTAGGTAATCTTCGTAGCACGTGATGGGATTTGTGTGTTCAATTAAATAAATTTATGCCGTCTTGTGTCGTTCCTACCTGTGAAACAAGTCTATTTTTATTAACAAAAAATAAAACCGAATTAAAATATCTCGCTCTGTATTCATTTTATAATTGATTTTGAGTATTTCCCTAAGTATCTCCGAAGCCCAATATCCAATACCAATGAAATTAATATGGGACCACACGGGAAGCTACAGCTTTCAAATAAAAAAAGAATCACCAAAATCGGTCCACTCAGTCGAAAGTTCTGAGGTAATAAACATAAAAAAAAAATACAATGGAAAAATATAAATGAAAATGGTGGCTTAGGATCGTGCTTCGTTGCAGTCTGTTGGGGAGACCTATGTTCAGCAGTGGACTCAAACAGGCTGAAATGATGATGATGAATAATATATAGATGTATACTCTTATATTTACGTCACGGGGCAGAGACCTTAGTGAAGGGGCGTCGCGTCAAAAGAGGCGTTCGCGTTATCTACTTGCGGCCGAATTTAAATTCTATAATTATGTACTCTTATATTGACATCACTGGGCAGAGACTAGAAGAGGGATAGGTAGACTCGATGAGACAAAACTGTCGCCAACGTCCATACCACGTTGAATACACCGGTTCTCGTCCGATCACCGAAGTTAAGCAACGTCGGGCGCGGTCAGTACTTGGATGGGTGACCGCCTGGGAACACCGCGTGACGTTGGCTTTTTGCTGCGGATTTTTTTTACATCTTTTTTCACCACGATTGACAATACTTACATCGGAAGATTTCGAGATACGGGTATGTATCTTCACCTATGTCAATATTTGCGACCATATTAAAATATTTTTTCTTCTTCTAATGTCAGGCGAGTTGGCGACAATACGACGAAACGTCGTCATCGCTTTGTATTCGCAGTGAGCCATCTCTTGAAGATAGGCGAATTTGGTCAGTAAATCGTCACCCTCAAAGCGAAAATGTAGAGATCGCTGCGAATGATACCTGTATAAAGTGAAGAATCAATGCCTATGTACGCATTTTATTTCACGTTTGTATTTTTATTTCACGTTTAAAAGATGGCGGTGTCAAAACAGGCGTTCGAAAGGTCTCCGAGTCTTTTTTGTTCAATACGCACATCTCTAGAATTATGATGTCTTTCTTAGTGCAAATCCCCAGAAGATGCCATACCTAAATCGATGGCTCCAAAGTAAACTGCCCTAATTGAAAAAATCTAACTTTACAGGAGAGCAGTTTAAAGTAGCTGTAAATGTATTTAGGGTCAAATCTGCCTAAAATTTTTAACTCACTAATATAATGTTGTATTTATTAAAAAGTAAATATTTAACTATGTCTTACCTGGACATTCAGTGTCATTATTTTGGTTACGAGGCTCGTCTTCGATACTTAAATTAGTGCTGTTGTGTTTATTTATAATTTTTTGGGCTCTTGTAAATTGTACACCTTTTTTTGTATCATTTTTGTCTAACCCTGCTAACTTATAAATTAATTTTCGCTAAAAACGCACGAGCACAACTATTATAAAAGACAATCCCCAAATACTGAGTAAAACGACTAAAGCGGTACCTCCGCCTTTTCGCCACATCTCCGACGCGATTACTCTACATACTCTGTACATGTTTTTTGTTTTCACAGAATAGGGCAAAGTAAACTTATTGCGCTAAGAATTGGAAAAAGGCATAAGCGACAGTTTCGACCCTTTACGTAGAAGCCGTAGAAATCTAAGATAGGATTCTACATTGGCATAACAAGCAGCTGACTATGATTCGATTTTTAGTACATGAGATACTTCCTGTGGAACACTTGGATGGGTGACCGCTTGGGAACACCGCGTGACGTTGGCTTTTTGCTGCTGAGTTCTTAATTCTTTAAATTTCTTTACGCTACCATTGACAACCATTGAATCGGAGGCTAATAACAATAATAATAAAATTTTATTTGCGACAGTTAGACACGTTCAGTTTATTAAGATGAACAACTATCAAAAATACATCTTAAGGGATGGCACCGTCGACAACTGTCATGCTTGTCGCCACCCTGGGGAATTGCTTCGGCATATTATCCATACTTTTTAACTCTGAGTATCTGCATAGACACAACCTAATAACCAAAATCCTATACCAGGAGCTTGCTCTGAAGTACGGTCGAAGTGCTGTACTGTAATTGCTACGCGGAAGTGCTGTACTGTAATTGCTACGCGGAAGTCGTGCTCGAAATTATTATTAATTATTATATTATTATTATTATATGAGAGAACCTCGTGAATGCCAAAACATTATATATTTTTTTAAAACACAAATTTATGTTTTTTTTTATTTTAGCCAGCAGTCTCTCCGAACATCAGGCGACTGGGGCTCCGGGACGGACCGCTCCGAGCTCAAACTCAGAAGGCGGTGCTCCTTGATACCATCCGCAACGGCTGTCCGTTTTTCTCCCTATCACCCTAACCCTCGGCCGTTTGGTCTACCCTGCCGGGGCCTTCCGTCTGGTTGCGTCCATTTCATTTATTTATTATACGCAATTGTCGTATAAAGGTGTACAAAGCTTTTGCTTCACGTATTGATATATAGATTTTATACACAGTTACGAAATACTGTAAAACCAAAATAAGTACTCAACCCGACAGTGTATCTTACTTAGGATTAAACCCTTGTCTTACAGAACCAAGATGAACGTAAAAACTGAATACGATATACGGTTTGTTTTGTATGTTTATAGATGTAAGTGTATTATTAAGACCTTTGAATAAATTTTCTCAAAGGAATTTGCATAGCAAAACGCTTTACTCAGCAGCAAACTGTTCGAGTTGATTTTTCCTCGTAATCGTGACTTTTATTTCATTAAACAGCATACACACCGTGACGGCGCAGACATATCATGACGCGTCCTCAATTAACATATGTGTCACGCGAAAGTTTTTCAAAAAAGTAGTAAAGGCAGTGCTTTACATTGTGAATTTTTGTAGATAAATGAATAAAAACTTTCGGCGCTACGGGATTGGAACCAGCGTCTTCTGGTATCGAAAGGGGAAAATCAAGTCTGGGCGATATTGCTATCATAATACTCTTATACGCCAAGCCATAATTTATATCTCAGGGCCTTACTTCTATGATTCACTAACACCTTTCAAGTCCAACAGTCTACTACAACTATTACACGTTATTTTTTATTATTAAATCTACTTCGCCTTGTTAACTAAATTATAAAGGACATTGACAGTATGGTCCAAATGCTCTACTCAAAGTGAGAATACTTCCAAAAATTTTATTTTCTTCCACGAAGATTAAATATGGCTATATGGCCAGCAATGTGGTTATTCGTAATGTTTCGTTTATAATACTACAAAATATAAATTTCATTCACATTTTTGCAAAGTTCGGAGTTGGTCTAATTATCTATGCATGCACCAATTAGAGAATTATAAAGAATTTAGTGACAAAATTTACGAGGAAAAAAGGAGTGAGCTTCAATTATGGATTTCAATTTAGCCAAATTCTGACATGAATGATTGGTACCATCCCACCAATAGATCAGTCCAAAGTACCTATTTATTATGGCGCTAAAATCAAGTACCAGTCATATTTTATTTGTTTACCTCATTAAAGCCAATCCACTAATAAAAACGATTTCAATTACATTTCTGCGATAATGAAAAACTGCGACACCAATGATTCAACAAAATTTATTCTAATCAGAACACACCTTATAGATGTATTTAAAATTTATTTTGTGTGGGTATTTAATCCATGACTATACATTTTTTTCGCAAACTGGCTACTGAAGGTTTTTTTAGTATCATGGATACGTTAATAACAAGTAAAATAATTTTAAAAGAGGGATTATTTAAAAAAAAAACCTACGATTCATTTCCAGAGATGAACCAGCAAGAAACTCTTTTTCTATCAAAATATTAACGTACACTCAAACATAAACATCTATGTATTTCACATGTCTATTGCAAGCTATTGTAGTGGTTGAAAAATAATTCATATTATTTTTGCCAATTAACTATGATCGTTAAGGAAATCAGTAACATTATCGCAATTTTGTTTGTGGGTGGACAAAGTGCAAAATAGATCTGGACATACTGGATAAATGGTCGATAAGTGAAACTTCATTCCAAAAAAAATTTACCACATACACGTTATACAAGTAACAGTTCAATAAACCGTCAACGGTCGTATGAACGGTTTATAAAATATGAAGGTACATTTTGTGTATGAAAGTTGCCAAAATAAATCATAGTATTCCTTGTAATTTTAGGAATTTTCCGCCCATAAAAATAATCGCAATAACCCAAGCCCAAATCGCAAAATTAGGGATACACTACGCGATCCAAAATAAATCACCATAAAAATAAAACTGTTTCACTTTATTTAATAAGAGCATAACATGAAGTTTCAGCTAATCATTTTCTGTGTTCGTGAATAACTTGCGGGTCGTAGTTAAAATCTAGGGCCTTACTCAGACTTTTCAAGTACAGCTCCAATCTCTGCGTCATTTGATAGCACGCGCTGTCCCTTACCTGTCTATTGAGGTTCAGGTCTAAAACGCCAATTAGGAGGCCGTCCCTGGTGCGCGAGAGTCCTGGCGAGCGGACACCATTGGGCCCACAGATGTAGCTGGACCCGTAGAAGGGTCCTAAGACGTTGTGGGCAGGCATTCCGTCACCAGACGTGAACTCATTGGGGAACCTCTCGTAACCCACTCTGTTTATCGCCGCGGTGAAGTAGCCGTTGGTGATGGCGGCGTTCCTCGCCCCGATGTTCCACGTATGCTCGCTGCCGCAGTCCCCGCCGACCGTGGCGGATGGGTTGAAGACGATCTCGGCGCCGTTCAGCCCGAAGATCATCCAGTTGAGCACGTGGTGCCGGCCGAAGCCGATGTTGACCGCGATCTTGCCGTAGCGCGTCGCGAACACGGGGTGACCGGTGTTGCCCTCCATGTAGTAGGTGGACTCGTTGAGGTCGCCACCCCTGGGGATGTGGCTCTTCCGGTGCTTTCCTATCACGTTGCCGGTGTCGCTGATCACGACGGCGGTGTTCCACAGCACGTCGCCGTGGTTTTCGTCGCGCTCGAGGATGGAAGAGACTATGACCATCGCGTATTTAATTGCTAGCTCTCGTAGGAATCTGGTGGTGGGTCCGTCCTCCGCGGACTCCGAGAACTCACACCAGGGCTGCTTCTCCCTGCTGCCGAAGAATATCGGCATATTCCACAGCTCTTGGAGACAGAGGACGTTGACCCCTTCCTCGCCGGCGGTGTCTATGATCGTCTTGACCTTTTGCAAGATTGCGTTCTTTTGATCGATGATCGATTGGTCCGTCGGTGTAACTATCGAGTGCTGGATTAACCCTATCTTTACTATCCTCGGGGATCTCGTCTGCTCCTCCTTGGCGGGAAATGAGTACGCTGCTATGTCAAAATTGGCGTCATTTGCGGTATTCGATGACGATTCCTTGAGGTTCACCTCTATATGGTTAGTTCTGCCGTAATGTATTCGGTTATACTGCTCAAGATCGTAGCCATTGAGATTGTTATTGATGATCGATTCGAGACTGTGTATTTCTCCGTCCATGTTACCGTTAGTGTAGGGCGTTAGAACTCTTCAATGTCTCAGCTCACACTGACTCTGCCGTTTTCAGGCAGCCCCAACTTGAGTTACGTCATGATGAGATTCATGCAGAAAAGACTTCAAATTTGGCCATTTGATTATGGCTACAAATGCTGCTAATTACAACAGAACATGTGATAAGGTTATTTTAATAATGTACTAAATAATATGATTACTTTAAAAAAATGTATTTGTTATTAATAACGTTGACTTTGTAATTAATAATATTGAAGTCAATTAATCTAAATAAATTTCTTAAATCTTATATATACGTTGCACGGGATGTGATAAATTGAATTTATTAATTAAAATACCAGTATTATATATTGTACTTAGTGATATATTTCTCTTACATATCCGGTTTATTACTTATCATTTAAGGATTATTTTTATTATCTTATTTTTTAATTTATTAGATTATAACAATGCATGTTAATGCACATACAACATTCATACCATAAGACCGTTTATTACCAAAAAACCGGCTAAGTGCATTTTTGTTGAATGGGAGCCCCACTTAAATATTTTTTATTCTGTTTTTTAGTATCTATTGTTATAGCGGTAACAGAAATACATCATAGGTATAAATTTCAACTGTCTAACTATCACGGTTACAGAGATACAGCCTGGCGACAGACGGATGGACGGACAGACAGACAGACAGCGTAAGACAGTCTTAGTGATAGGGTCCCGTTTTACCCTTTGGATACGGAACCCTAAAAATGTACCAAAATTATGTTATCTGTCTGTGTGTTAAGCGTTCCAAATGCACTAGTGTGGTTAAAGAACATGGCAGGTAACACATTAAAACAACATACACACATAGGTTGTATGCCATTAAGAAAACATAACTTCCATGGTTTTTTTTCACAATGACATTAATTTTCTCGTCATTTTATTCTTACCTTGAATTGGTTGGTTTGGTTATGATAAGGATAAATTAATTTAACTAAAATCACTTCGAGAGTTAGAATTTTTTTACTACTTCTCTTGTTTTTTAAGTTATACTAATTTTGGCATGTTTGGAAAAGCTTGAGAGGAAAATTTTTACGATGCGCGCGCACACTGACTAAAGCAACATGATTCGCAAACTTCATCAAGGCCCTTAAAAATATTTTGAAATTTATTAATAATTCCAAGTTATTTAATTTAAGTAAACCGTTTAATTACACGCATAGTTTTTTTGCGTACATACTGACATTCATAGTTTTTTTTATATGTATTTGACCTACTTTATAACAATTATTCATCTAAGGATGAATAATTTTCACACCGTCACGAAAAACCGACACCCTGAACTTAGCCAGACATCTTCGTAAGTTTGCGTGAGAACTGACAACTGTATTCATGATATTTATTTTGTGATATTTAAATAAACTTTATTTAACTCGATAATGCGTTATAATAAAACTTTCAATATGTTAAATACTTTTTTCTTTTGTTAGCGTCGTTTTTTCTACAAACGTAGAATAAGGTGAAAGATTAAATTTTTAGGTTTAAATTGATAGGTTTCGGTGGACATTAACCGTTCGGGCTCTTATCACCTCTTCCTAGAGGCGAAGCGAGAATAAAATTATTTATCAAGCGCGGAAAATAAATAATCTAGGTTAGTATCATTTATAGGTCGTCGTAATATCGGATACCACTGCAAGCTGTAACCAATAGACTTGAATGGGCATTGATTATTTTTAAGTAGGTAAGGTGGACAGAGTTGATATCGATCCCGATCGCGCTGCTATTCGGCTTTGTGCACCACGGGGTGACACCCCATGGAATGTGCACAAAAAATTTTGCAGCACTTAAAGGAATTTCAAGCGATATGCGCGAAACATATACCTATGCCACTCGGGACGCAGACATGTTTCATATGAATGAACTTTGCGTCACTCATTATGAAACGTAAGGGCTACCAAGGCCTTATTGGCGATATTGAGTGTACATTTTTGATGTATCATAATACCTACCTATTTGGCCGTGCTTTACTAGCTTTACTACTGTTTATGTTGGCCGACCAATTCGAAGAGAAAAGCTTTGTGGTATAATCCGATGATTACGAATAATGGCAGTTCAACATAATTAAATTATTTTCTCAATTGGTTTGGATGAAAGAAAATTGAAAATGTTTTCACTAAGAATTAATAAATGAACTTTTAAACCTAGACGTTATAAAAAATTTTTTTATCTGTGTAACTACCCAATGATATGTCATTTTTCGTTTCTCGTCATGTTTAGCAGTTTGGTTTGATCTTATTGTATCTTGTAGTTATTATAAGTCTCCTCGTAAAAGAATTAATAAAATTTCAAAATAATACTATATAAATAAGACTAAAATGGTAAGTACGGGTCATTCCCAATACTTTATACATATGTTATCAAATCTGCCGGTCACGCACGTATTTCGAGGATGCTTTTTAATTATGTTTATTTTCATATTCTTAAAGAAAGAAGCAATTATTTCCATAGTTATAATAAAGTTGTTTTTTACAGTCTATTTTAGCTTATAATGGAGGCGCGGTGGTTGCCATGAAAGGCCAAGATTGTGTGGCCATAGCCACCGACAAACGGTATGGTATACAGGCGCAAACTATATCCACTAATTTCCCGAAAGTCTATCGGATGGGGCCCACGCTATATGTTGGCCTTCCTGGCCTCGCGTCCGACACACAAACCGTTTTTCAGAGGCTTAAATTCAGGTAAAATATGCGGAATAATAAAAGAAAGTAGAATTATACAGTAATTGTGTTAAGAGATTCTATCATATTCTTTTGTTAATTTTTATGCAAGTTAAAAGTTCTATATTTTCACTATTGTATTTGTAACTTTTACTTACTAAATGTTTTATTGCAGAATGAATTTATATGAATTAAAAGAGAATAGAATTATGAGACCGAAAACATTTTCCGCTATGTTATCCAACCTGCTATATGAAAAGCGTTTTGGACCTTACTTTATAGAGCCAGTCATTGCCGGTTTGGACCCTATTGATAATCAACCTTATGTGTGTAACATGGACTTGGTGAGTGTACTTAGTTTTTGAAAGGCTTGTTTTGAGGTTTTTTGTTTGATTGCCAAAATTTGTTTCAAACACAGAACAATAATTTACATAAGATACTAAATTCTTTATGAACCTCATAATGAAAGTGATTTTTTTTGTGACACTTTCATTACAAAAATTTACACAGTCATTATCTTATGAAGTTATGCTAAAACAATTTAAAGAATTATCCTATTTAAAAAAATTATGGACTAAAATTTCTAGTCTCCTAGGTATCTGAAAGGGTCATGACCCAATAATAATGTAGATATTATTGTAATAAAGAGCAATAGTTATACTCGGTAAATTTTAATTTAAAAACAATTATATTTACTTTACATTTCTCAATTTACAGATTGGGTGTCCGAATGAACCTGAAGATTTTGTAGTCTTTTTTTTTTTTTTTTTTTTTTTTCTCTTTTTTTTTTTTTTTTTTTTTTTTTTTTTTTTTTTTTTTCTTTTTTTTTTTTTTTTTTTTGTTTTTTTTTTTTTTTTTTTTTTTTTTTTTTTTTTTTTTTTTTTTTTTTTTTTTTTTTTTTTTTTTTTTTTTTTTTTTTTTTTTTTTTTTTTTTTTTTTTTTTTTTTTTTTTTTTTTTTTTTTTTTTTTTTTTTTTTTTTTTTTTTTTTTTTTTTTTTTTTTTTTTTTTTTTTTTTTTGTTTTTTTTTTTTTTTTTACTTTTTTTTTTTTTTTTTTTTTTTTTTTTTTTTTTTTTTTTTTTTTTTTTTTTTTTTTTCTTTTTTTTTCGGATGCAATTATGAAACTATTTGAAAAATCACATACACGATCATGATCACATTCACCTCATCAGTAAAATTCAGAACTCTAAAAAATAATTATTTATAAAACCTATCTTGATACCTGCATGCATATCTAACGACATATCAGTTTACATTTTAATATTATTAAACCCATTTTTATTCATATGGTCCATTACAAATTTCCTAGTCTCAGTTATTCATTTAGTCTTTAAGACTGCATGCAGTATCAGAAGTATTATTCTTTCCATTTCTCAATTTGAGTCAGGTGGGCCCACTTTTTAAAAGTTTTGCAATGAATCTGTAACTTCTCAGATGTTATTGTTGTCCATGGGCGGCCACCGTCTTTTCTTTTGCTGCACAACCCTATTGCTCTATGTTTCAAAAAGTATGTTTTTCTCCACCAAGCACATGTTCAATAAATACAACACCTTTAGTGTATTACTGTTATATAATATACTTTTACCATAAGTATTTAATACTATCTTCTTGTACAGGCGCTGGTGAATGCTGCTGATCGTGATGCAATCTCTGGGTGGGGTGCAGTTGTGTACATCATTGAAAAGGACAAGATTACTGAGAAACATGTAAAGACGAGGATGGACTAATTCATGTTTGTAAATCTTCTTTTTTTAATAAACATGTTTTTCTTCCTCTTTGTTTTTTCATTGCCTCATACTCTTGCAGTGTTTAAAGCAGCAAACACTGCCTTGCTAAATGAAAATACAACAGCAAAAAGCAATAGATGGGGTGTTTGAATTACTTCTTTGAGGTAATTTCTTGCTGCATGTGGCTGTACTGTGCAGTTGTGTAAAACGTGTTAATGCTCAATTAAATGTAGCATGGCTGGTTGCCTTAGCCTATACAGTATTGAAATACTGTATACCATCACTTTAATTTTCTTTCTTTACAATTATTGAATCTTATTTCCAAATTTCAATTTTGTAATGGTACGGTTAATATTAAATTATATTTATAACTGGATAGGTTCATGACAGACATTTACTATGGCAGGGCCACGCATCAGTCTTCATTGTTGCACTAATGGGCAGGTCCATCTAAGTACCACAACCTTATAGAAGACCATTGTCAAGTGAAAGTTTCATACTTATGTTTCGTCAGGTGAGTGGGGTAGCCGGGACCTTTATTAAAAGGTACATGCATCTGCAAACCTACGGGTCTTGCAAATCTCAACGGGCGGCGGTTATCACTTAACATCAGGTGAACCGGTAGCTTGTTTGCCACTTTCTTACAAAAAAATAGAGACTCATGATTCGCGCCCGAAGTGAGCCTCATTTTATGTCATGTTTTCTTATTCACATGTCCATAGAAAAAATACTATTAAAACTAAAACCTACAACTATACCTTCATGTATGAATGTATAGTTATAGGTTTTATTTCTACTGTACTTTAATGCCACCTTACAATTGATTGCCATCTTGTTTTCTTCAAATGTTAGCAATAAGAATGAAATACATAAACCAAGCAGAAAGATAGGACTGGGAAATAAATAACACCCTTGTGCTTCAGAAACTTTATAAACAGAATGTTATAAAATACAATTTTCGCGTTCCGATAATTTCCATACACATTTCACCTTTAAAAGAGTGGGGGGGAGACTAGAGGGGTAATATAATAAAGTTCAAATGTTTAATTTTCGTTTACACACCGAAACTTCCCATAACGCCCGCGGACGCGGTCTTCGAAATAATCAATAAACTTACCAGTTAAACGACTACTAATTAAAAAATACAATTAACGACCTAAACAATGGCAACACATATGACATATCTGAATCATTACTCACGACCGACGCATTGTTCAGGGGTCCATTAAAAGTTCAATAAAGAATATTAAACTATTCAGTGGTGAGTACAATCACTAATGCATATGAAAGTAAAGTTATAAATTTTCATCTCATACAGAAAAACGATATAAATTTAACAATAAAGCTTTTCCCTTTTTTTATTTTTAATGGTAAAAAAAACGAGCTAGTAACTTGTTACTTTTATGAGTACTAAAAAAGTACAATTATTAAGCTATTAAACTTTGAAAATTTTTTTATAATTTTTAATTTTTGGATTGATTAACATGTTTCTCATATTCATCAAACGAAGACTAACTTATCAATAATTAGTTCACATATTACAATTGAATGAGGAGCTCAGTGCAGTTATGCGAACTATCTAAACGTAAACAAATATAGCTATCACAAAAAGCTTATTAGAAACGAAAATATATTTTCGCCAGAGAATGCTTCAGTGTATCCAGTTCCCCTATGATTAGACATCGTAAAGATTAGGCAATAATTTAACAGCCCGACATTAAATGAGAACATAATATATGCGCCTTATTTTAAAGTGTGTGCACGAACGAGAAGCAAACAATAAGTGGACAAAATCAAATCAAATCAGTACACAGACGTTTAATTTTAAACGGTAAAATAGGAAACAAAGTCCCATAAAATTGCTAATTCTTCGAGACATAGATAAACAGTAGCATTACGCTTAAAAACTGGGGGGAACAAGGAACAAGATAAACAAAGTGAAACACAGGATACAACTCTATGGCGTCCCAATCCTTAACTCGTATTAGAATAAATAACAAAGAAAATTCTTACATCGTAATAACTTCAAACGCTACTCTAGACAGACTAAGCAAACTATGCCCTCGAACCGGAATATTGATGGCGTTTTATAATCACCGTAAGAGAAATGAAGTCATCATCGGGCAATCGAAGGGTATAAAACTTTACACAGTTCAAGGGGGGTCACCTTAAAGAGTAAAACAGCCGTAAAATCGTCTATAAAACCATCATACCGGTGAATGTTTAGCCAATGGTCAACACTAGGAATTTTTCTGAAATCCAATTACATATTCAACAAATACCCACCTATACGGCAATATAATAATATTCTTTCAAATAAATTTTCCGTCAATTCTAAACTACCCAATAGCGGAACATTATAAAAGCTAATAACGATTTATGAATATGTGCAAAGTGTGCTCTTATAGGTTTAATATCAGTTCGCGAGAATCGAAGGGGGGAGGCACAGCGTGGGAAATGGTGCTCGTTTCTACAAATTTTCTATAGATCATTGTAGTTAATTGTCATGACTATTTAAATGACATTATTAAGTAATTAATAGTTGTAGTATCTGCTGGTTTTAAATGAATATTAGTATATTAAAGTTTCACAAATTGTGTACACAAGAACCACATATCTTTCTGCACTTTTTTCGAGTCCGGCTCTACACAAAATGTAAACATAGCTTTTGAGTGACTATCATGCTGGACGAACTAGTCACTTGCATACCTACGCACGTTATGATATTACAAATAAAATTATAAAACTAACGAAATCACCATCCCACGCTGCAAGCGTCAACGTTTAACAATACAACGTACAATATCGAGGCAAATATAATTCCGCCGGATTATAGAAACAAGAGAGGTCTTATATTAAGTTGTACAGTTTCCACGTTGTTAATTAGAAATTCCCTCTTCATTTAATTGGATATAAGCACGAAGCGCCAAGTCCCAATCGAGCCGCAGAGACAAGTCGTGTATCACTTTACGCGCGATACAATTCCGATACATTATCTTAATAAAACTAGCCGTGGGTCTAATAGAAAGAGGTAAATCGACCAGAGCGACAATACCGTAGAAGGAATTTATGGGACTATCAAGTCGAACAATATTTTTCTTAATCATCACAATCAATTACAACAGATAATCAACCTCATTCTCTTAGCCAGATTGTGAGTTTACCGCCTTAATCGATATCATATGCTTCTTTTAGTGGCAATATTCAACGAGCCAATACTTCCTACACTTGTCAAACTACATCACCCTGTTAACTCCATTTTTGTTCGCAAAACAACCCTCCCGAAACACGAAAACAAAGACACAATCTCCTAGCACAAAAATAACTTCTCCGGAATTCGACGCACAATTTTGTCTTTTGGGTTTAAAATTCGCAAGTAAACATATAGGTTCACTTTAAAAAAAATTGAAAACAAATAGTTCATACATAATTATATCAAATAACAAACATTTAAAACGAATTTTCATTTTTCAAAATCCATGTTTAGTAGTTTTAGCGCGAGATATGGGCATCAGGAATTTACCCTACAGATTAGACTATAATCTGTAGGATCCATTGAGGATAGTAACGATTAACGACACACAGCAGCTCACTAGATGCACCGCTGTAGTATTTGGTGGCCCAAACAGCCAATACCAGAAGAGTTCAAACCAAACAGTTTGAAGCGTGGATCGGTGCCGTATTTGGTGGTGGCCTTAAAAGCTAATGCCAGAAGAGGCAGACTCTCCAGTTCAATTAATAGGGAACAATCGTAGTAGTTCACAAGATGGACCGCTGTAGTGTGTCGTGGTCATAAGAGCAGAAGAAATTAAAAAAAAAAAAAACTAAAAAAAAATAGTAGAAGAGGTGAAACTAAACAGACTTTCGCGTACAACTAATAGGGGACACAATCGTAGCAGTTCCCAGGACAGACCGCTGTAGTGTGTGGAGGCCCTAAGAGTTAACACCAAGCAGGCTTTCTCGTCCAATAAGGGAAGCAGTTCACTTGACAGGACGGACCGCTGCAGTGTAAAGAGGCCCTAACAGCCAGAACCACAAGAGTTCAAACCAAACGGGAGTTTTGGCGTTTAATAATTCGCAGCGTCGACCGGTGCAGTGGGTGAGGGTCTTAGGGTGGTTTTCGCGTTTAACAATTAGGGATAAAATCTTTAGCGGTTCGCAGCGTCGACCGGTGCAGTGGGTGAGGGCCTTAGCAGCACGGAGAGTCGCGCCACTAAAAGAAGCATGTCGGGCGTTGCTTAGTTGCCCTCGATCGCTTTGGCGACGAAATCGATGAACCGCTTGCCGTACTGCTCGGGGTCGCAGGTCGAGATGCCGTCCACGTTGCTGCCGTACTTCACCGTCTTGGCGGCCTTCGCTGCCTGAAATGACAAACGGACGGAGCAATTATGGCCTTGACACCCGTTCAAGCGGGGAGCCGTGATAGCTCCGTGTCCGGGCGCTCGCCTTTAATTCAATATACTCGAGCAACCTGAGTTCGATCCCCGGTGCCGGCACCAATGAAGTTTTAACTTTAAATGCTGACTTATCACGTGCTCCGCGGTGAAGGAAAACATCGTGAGGAAACCTACATATTTTCGAAATATTAACAAAAAAAAAATATTTCGAAGATATGTGAAGTCCGCCAATCCGCAGTGGGGCCGCGTGGTGGACTATGCCCTGATACCCTCTATATAGAAGAGGCCTTTGCCCAGCAGTGGGACATGTATAGGCTGTTACTTTACTTTTTTTTTACCCGTTCAATTATATTGTTTGGATTTCTCTCGTGTTCCAGTACAGCATTTATAATGCAATTTTGTCATACATATAATATTTCATTAAGATGCGTGTGGAGTAAGTAACTTTCACTAATATTCTTACTGTCGTGATTAGTGAGTTCAATTCATTCAACTATAATTTAATGCAGTTATCGGTTCAACAAAATTGTTTTAATTAATAAAGATATAGCATAGATTTCTATTAGCATTTTTAAATTCAATTCTGTAGCTTCAGAAGTTATATTGTATTTGCTATTGAACACAGTTGCTGAAATTGCTAAAGTGAAAGATATATAGAAGATGGAGAATAGAGAAGAATATAATAAAAAAAAGTTGATAAACAAGTGGAGATCAGTAGACGAATTTAAAGTGCCAGTGGAAGTTATTTTAATTATTACCTGTTTCTTAACCCCATAATGTGTCAGTACATCAATCAGAGCTACGAAATATATCTCCTTTTTAGGTGCGCCTGAAACGACGAAACAAACAATTCTTAATTATTCATACATAAGAAACATGCACAAAAAGGGTCTCCAATCAACAATAATAGAATACGAATTTAGAGCGCAACGCAGGGTACTAAATTATATGTTTAATTTTCAAGAATACTTTGTTATTTTTCACAGAACTAAGGCGAATCTAATAACACCATATGATGAGACACATCAAATGTTTAGAATAAGAAGGTGCCGATGAATTAAACATACATATTGACGTAAGGAAACTTACTATAACCCACCAAAGTGCTAGTAATAAACTAATCAGATGTAAAGTCTTACAAGGTACGTGTAAAAAGCTTATCGATAGCTTAGCTTAGTTAGCTGGGCTGAAGCACTTTAGCCCGCTAGAAAGTCGACTTATCTACCTTGTTTTTATTGCATTTGTAGCAACTTTAGTGCAGAAAGATTAGTACAAAAGATTAGAGATTTAAAATGTAATCAGCCTTTAAACTTTAGGGTCAGCACTGACCGTCCTGGCTGGGGATGGCATAGATATCCAGCTCGGGGATGATGCCCTCGTAGCGCAGCGAGGATTGGCGCGCGAAGCCCCGTGGGCTGTCGGGCGGCGTGTTGTAGCCCCACCTGCCGGTCGGCGCACCGTTCAAAGCGCTCGGAGCCATGAGCCATGGCCCATGAACCATGAGCCAGGGGCCATGAGCCATGAACCCGTTGGGCCCGGCGCTTGCTCATCAAACGAGCCGCCTCCACTGACTTACATAAGGGACTTGAAACACAGTTGAGCGAGCAGTCAACTCACCGGTGTTAAGTGATGACTCCGTGGCGCAGTTGCCGGGGCATGCGCGTCGGGGGTCGTCGGTTCGATTCCCACACGGGCAATGGGTAAATGTTTCGTAATGTATATAATATTTGTAATATTATATACATTACGAAATATTTAGTAATATTTGTTTCGTATCATGCTGTTTGTCCACGTGAAATGTAAAACTAAGGACAATGTTTAAAAAATATATATTAAGTGATCACCGCCGCCCATGGATATCTAAAATACTCGAGGGGATGTGAACCATTAAAATAATGGCCCCTGATCGCCTCAGTCACCAAGCAAGACGCGAAATACTTCCAACTCACATCGTTCTTCTGTGATGCTGTGGTGCTTTTCCGGACGAGCCTGCCAAATCGTGCAATTCCAATAGCACGGAGTGGTTACAATGTTGAAAGATGGCGCTGCGATCGAGGGATGCGTCAACATAACCAATATTCTTTTTTAAAATCTTACGCTTCATGTACTCCGCATTGGTCTAATCGATTTCCACACTTTAGGGTTATTTTCGAGTTGTGAATGATTGACTAGTTGTATGTGTGAATGATTGCATTTAAATCACGCGACTATTGTCGTCTCTGTCGCACCGGGTATCCATCGAAGCTAGACTAGCTGCTTGGCGCATTGTGGGTCGAGCAGTGTGTAGGGTATATGTAGTTAGGGTTTCCAACGCAATTAGGGCTGTCGTTGTAAGTTGGTCGCGCAGTGTATCCGGTACACGCATCTAGGGTTGGCGATGCAATTAGGGTTGTCGTTGAAAGTGGACTGCGCAGTGTGCCGTGTATAATATGTAGCCAGGTTTGCCGATGCAGTTAAGGTTGTCGATGTAAGTGGGTAGCGCAGGGTGTCCGCAATATACAGCTAGGGTTGGCGATGCAATTAGGGTTGTCGTTGAAAGTGGACTGCGCAGTGTGCCGTGTATAATATGTAGCCAGGTTTGCCGATGCAGTTAAGGTTGTCGATGTAAGTGGGTAGCGCAGGGGTCCGCAATATACAGCTAGGGTTGGCGATACAATTAGGGTTGTCGTTGAAAGTGGACTGCGCAGTGTGCCGTGTATAATATGTAGCCAGGTTTGCCGATGCAGTTAAGGTTGTCGATACAATTAGGGTTGTCGGCGTAAGTGTGTCGCGCATTGTGTCTGTGTCGGTGCCGCGCGTCGGTCACCTGTCGCCGTGGTGTCGGTTGTCGGTGTCGCTGTCGGTGTCGGAGTCGGGCTCGCTGTCCGCCTCAGCGTCCCGCTGCCGCGCCGCCTCCGCCTCGGCCTCGCCGCGCCCGCACTCGTGCACGCCGAGCAGCAGCGAGTAGTCCATCAGGTGGAGCTTCGTCAGGAACTGAACGCGACCGTGGCGTTTGTAACAATTTTTTTTATGTGTAAAGTTGCCAAGCGATTAGACGGATCACCCGATGTTAAGTGAATACCGCAGCCCATGGACATCTGCAACACCCGAGGGTTTGCAGATGCGTTGACAACTATATAACAGCAAATATATATTTCATGAAAGGACATATTATTACACAACGTGATACTAGTCACAAACTAAACAACGCTTGTACTATGGACACTTTTTTTATTGTGGTCGTCCTTTTTGGCATTCTCAATACCATTTTCGAACTTTTCAATCGATGCTTTATGGTAGTTTACTACTTTGAATATGCCGTAGTATCGATAATTTTTCACTCTTCGTAAGATACATACCTCCACGTCAGCAGTCAGGGTTTCCAGAAGCTTCTCTTTCGCGGCGTCGCCAATGTCGATCCTGACTCCCTGCTTTATGAAGTCGTTGTCCTTCAATGTGGGCAGCTCCTTTTCGAGTTCCTTCTCTGATGCCTCTCTGTCCACCGTCGAGCCCTTCAAATCGTACTTTCTAGAAGATGCGACGGACAATTTTGTTACAATTTCCAACCCAAACAAGCATTTAGCAATTATTTTCAACTATTTTTGAAAGACATATCTACGGTGTCCATATTAGAAATATATGATTAAAAATTATAAAGATAATCTGAAGAAGTCCATCAATCGTCTTCGTCTTCTAATGTTAAGCGGATTTGCTCTTTAATTAAGTATTTTAATTAACAACCATTACTAAGGATAAGAGAAGTAACATGCTATCATGATATTGTTTAAAAATTATCTGTGGTAGGACCACGCAACAGTGTTCGCTGTTGCACAAATAGGCAGGTCACTTTATTAAAAGGCGGTAACGCATCTGCCACCCTACGGGTGTTGCAAACGTCCATTGATAGCGGTTATCACTTAACATCAGGTGAACCGCCAGCTCGTTTGCCACTTTCTCATATAAAAAAAGGGTAACGCACCGAGAGAAAGGATGAAAGCAGACTGACTTGAGGTGTGAAAATATGAGTTGAGCCTAGTTCACAGGGCAGCTGAGTAAATTGCGTGGACAGTTATGGTGGCAGTAATTCTAGCAAGATACGGATACAACTTTAGCAATTGAGGATTTTTTTTTATAAATTATTCCGACCTACAAGGCCTTACTGGTTTTTTTGACATCGATGTCAATAGAAATTCTGGTAAAAAGGAAATTTTAGGGGGAAACTCAATAAGATTCTTCCAAAGCAATTGGGCCTTCCGTACCTGTGGATGTTCAGGTGGTTGGAGAACACATTCCTGGTGGCGACGAGGTAGTGCTCGATGCCGTCGACGGTCAGCCGGTACATGCCGAGGTACTGCGGGAGCAGGGTCTTGCCATGCCGCTCCACGATGTACTGCCCGATGCGCGGGAACCGTTAAATACATTTTCAAACAATTCTCGCACTAAGAAATGATTTATGCGTTCAACGGCCGGTACAAATGAACAGCTAGTAATGAAACCTATAACCTATCCCTTAACTACTCTTCATTATGACCGGTTTCAATATTCTATCTGTAGATTTGGTTTATAACGTGTACGTATGTATTATACAGCGTGTCTTTACAACCGCGACAATAACTGAACACACATATAGAGGATAACTTTTTTAAATTGTATTAAGCATTTACATTCTTTAAACATCAATATTTACCGAGATATTAAATTTTACAAAACAAACATTTTTAGAACATCCTTACGTATAAAACTGTAACGTAAAGTTCATTTGTAAAGGTCACAAAGCATATCGTCAGTTGTAATATCAATTAATGTAACCGCCAAAATGACGAAATTGAGTTAAACATGCAGTTCGACTGCAAATTTTTTTTTTTCGCTCATCGATTGGTATCTTTAAAATCTCGATATGATGAAAAAAATGGCGATTACTTTAAAAGAATTCAGTGTGTTTTTAATTATTTTCATCCATTTTTGTGATGTATAATACATTTTATGATAATGGTCAAGGTATGGGTTAATGTAACCATGGAATTGGCCCAATGTGAAACAAAGTAAGTAATGTAAGAGTCAATTTTGTGAAAATGTAATAGTGAACTCGACATGCTGAAAACAAATACAATGAAAATATCAACAATTTTGCTAAGAAATACATAGAAGATTTTCCAGTAATACCATCATATTTATCGTAATATTTTAAGTGGGACTAAACTGTGCCGTCTTTACGTATAGTATAGCAAAGACATGACACATGACTATGCGAGTGAACATCTTTTCCGTAATTTTTTTATGCAGTTATGAATGAAAAGGAGACCCATGATTACAAAAATCATTTAAAAACCATGCTATAAACAAATGTAAATATGTAAATTTAAAATTAAATGAGTCGATGTATAATTTACAATGAAAAAGGGTGGTGACATTTTAATATCCCCTTGAGAAATAAAAACTGTGATATAGAAAGGAACAAAAAAGCAATATAAAAATACCAATATAGCCCGTGATCTAACCCAAATTATTTTGCTAAAACTTCATGCACGGCGATTGCCAATTTCTAAAAAAAAATATGGGCCTTAAAACACTCTGCGATGATGAGGTGATACCGAAGCAGTATACACATGATTACTTACAGCTGCCTTTCATAGAAAAGAATGACTTTTTGGACGATATTATTATTCTTCAAGTTGATGTAACAAGTGAAAGTAAAACCGAAGAACTAGATGTAATTAAAATTATTTTTGTATGATAGTAATTGTTGTGTTCATTAAAATGAAATTTTAACTTACATTAATAAAAATATAGAATTTATTCTAACCTAGCCTTTATTTTAAGAGATTAAGTCTGTAACTTCTACAGTCAATACATCACAACTTATGTCGATGTCTTAAAAACTCTGTGAGTTACATTATAGCTGTTATTATTTATTACAAACAATCTTAACGTAACGCGATATTTAAAAAATAAAATTAACGTAACCACCGTGTCATTTTCGAAACTATAATAGTAGGCTTCTTATGGTTTCTTTCAGGGAGTAGATGTCAGAATTTTGAAAAAAATGCTCCAAACAGCGTTGCGATAGGATAAAGTACGCAAAAAATTACAACTATTTTTGTGAATCGTAATTTAGTTTTTTGCCTCTCCTGTAAAATCGCCTTTTGGCGGTTACATTAATTGATATTTCAACTGACGATATGATAAAACATACTGTTAGAAGGAGAGACTTGCAATGCGACGTTGTGGCAACGAATGAAAAAGTCTCTGAATGTATGAATCAGTCAGCTGTAGTTGTATAAGATGTTACAAATTTTGTTTCTTTTTTATCCTTTTTTTTCAAAGTCAAAATTTCTTTATTCAACATAGGCTTATTTTAAGCTCTTATTGAACGGCAAAAACTACCACCGGTTCACTAAACTAGACCTGCAAGAGAAGAACCGGCAAGAAACTCTGCGGTCATATATGTATATATATATATATTTTTTTTTAAGTATTTAAGTATACAGTACACAAAATTATTTTAGTATAATTTAGCAGGAGCCAGGGGACTTGCAAGTGCAGAGCCATTTCCACACATCCTTGTCCTCAATGTATTCCTCGACATTATAATAAGCCCTTTCCATTAAGGTGGCTTTTACAAAACTTTTGAAACTATTTAAACTTAATTGTTTGTGGATGTCACCTATTCTATTATATAAGTTAATACTTATACCAAGAAACGATTTCCTGGTTTTAGCTAGTCTAAACCTCGGTATTTCCAACGTGTCACCACGGCCCCGACGCGATGTGGTATGTTTTTTTGTAAAATGGTGTATGTTATTTCGTACATACATGATGTTCTCAAGTATGTATAGCGACGGGAGCGTTAAGATGTTTATTTGTTTTAAAATATGCCGAAGGGACTCACGTGGACCCAGGCCATAGACAGCCCGTATCGCTTGCTTTTGCAATACAAATATCGTGTCTAAACCGGATGCGGAACCCCAAAATAAGACACCATAAGACATAATACTGTGAAAGTAAGTATAATAAACTAATTTAGCTGTTGCCTCGATACTAATTTAGTTGCCTGATCTTGCGTATGGCAAAGACGGCAGCGCTGAGCTTTTTAGCTAATTTATCTATATGCGCTCCCCATTGCAACTTGGAGTCAATGCATATTCCAAGGAATGCCGTTGAATCCTCAAGAGGTAGGATGTTGTCATCAATAAAGATTCCTGGTTTGTGAGACAGCTTTGATAATGAAAATCTGATACATTTAGTCTTAGTGGCGTTCAAAAGTAAATTATTGTTCGCAAACCAGCCCGACACGACACTTAGTATTTCATTTGGTTGCTCTAATGTAACATCTTTTCTATTAACCTTAAACAACAGTGAGGTGTCATCCGCAAACAAAACGATTTGAGACCTTTTTTCTACCACATATGACAAATCATTTATGTAGACTAAAAACAGAAATGGGCCCAGGATCGATCCATGAGTACATAGGTGGAACACCTATTTGTACTCATGGACACCAGTATACCATTTATAGCCTACTTTTTGTATTTAATTAGTTTGTTTCACTATGGATTTTTTTAACGTTTTATATTTTTTATGATTATTGGTAAGTAGCGTTAGACGTGTGTTCAATTATTGTCGCGGTTGTAACGACACGCTGTATACTTTGGCAATTTGACATTATTTTGGCGTATTTGACATGACCTCCATACTAAATGTCGAAAAACTCTCTCCTAAAACAGTAGTTTAAAATATCTGAATGCATTACTTTTTAATTTTGTCGTCGCTTAATCATGTCTTGTGTCGCTTATGTATAAACGTCATGTCTTGTGTACGAGTGAATACTGCGCACATAATAAAATTAAAGTAATTCACGGCTTGTTTCGCGTTTTAACTTGGCTTTAACTACAAGCATATCTCATACTTTATAGTCCACGGTAACGGGACAGATTGTGACCGATGTTTGAATAGGCAACACGAGATTTTTTTGCAAATCATTACGACAATCTAAACAGCTTTAAAAGATTATCTCTCAAAACCCGGTGTCGGCTATCACGGCATAACTGTAATATAGAGGCTCGGCTCTATTAGAAGAGAAATGAGAAGGATTAATATCGTATTTGGCACGGTGTGTTGGATCGAATCGACTATAACTTCACACAGGGCAGGCGAAAATTAGACGTCGTGGCTCCCACTCGAAAAGGTTAAACAGGGGAACTTCAAGAGTGTACTATTTTCACACCCATAACATGATAATGGAAGCCAGCCTTACGTTCAAACACTCGGCAATTTCAAAGTCGTTAAAAACGTCACCAGGCGATTTAAATCGGGGGCGCGGACTCGTTAAAACGATCTCGGGACCATTAAAATTCTTCACGAGCGCCGTTACATTGTCGCGACGCAATATTCTAATCGCAGCGCGCATTATGAAACGATTGTCGAATACGAAACCTTCTACAGCATCTCAAATATCTTCAATGTCAAATTTTTTATTGGTATACAGCGTAACTATTTACGCGGTTGACTGGAAGAAATCGCTTGTAAGAGATAAGGCAGCCAATTGTACCTTTACGTGATTTTTTGTTACTTTACAATAAAGCATATTTCATTCATTATTTCATACTATGTATGTTGCCATTGTTAATACGTTCGTTTCTCGGCGGGGACGAGTATTTGCGGGACTAGCAATCGTGTCGGATCTGGTTTGTCGTCCTTGTATACTTAGTGTCTGTTAAACGCAATTACGAAACGTCTATTTCCTCATTATCATCAGAAAATCACCCCTACTGTGTTTCTTTTTTTATTTAACAAATTAAATGAGTTATGGGATTATGAGATAAAGCCTCTCTAATGATGCGAGTTTTTTAGTTCGCTAACGGCCGGTTTCAAAATTCTATCCACAGATAGATTTTGTTACTAGCGATAGGTATTCGACATTAATTTAACAGATGTTTAACCTAACTTTAACGGATTTTGATTTGCTACAATTATAAACTTCTGTATAATAAGAGGAATATCACACGGGTCACTCACGCCCGGTTTCTTAAACACTGATCAACGTAGAAGTCAACTAATCAGCTGTCAAATGGAATTTCAAATGTTATTTGAGTTGCCAAAAGGATTGTTAAACTCTTTGAACTGATCATTGTGATCATTCTGATTGCTTCGTCTTCTCGTCAGACTGCTCCAGAACGTTCTAAAGATAATTGTGTGTAGAGCAAGAGGTTGTTAAAATAGCACTTATGTACCACATTTAATGAGAAAAGTTTCAAGGAATTAACGTTATATGGTTCACAATTACATCATAAGTTCAAAAGAAATGTTTTATCATCACAAGAATAGCTGAAACCAGCCACGCTTCTCTGCCCTATGTTTTTCGTTTATGTACAACTTCGGAATAAAAATTATATAAAAACACTCTACTGTTCAATAACTATGTTGTGAACTAATAACAAGTTAATCCATCGCCCATCGGCTAGTTCTTGGGTTGTTTGAACACAAACGAAGGCAAAATTTTATATACATATAAAGATAATACTACAATCGCGATAATCGACAATAACTAAGGAATGAGACTTAAAAAAAAAACTATCTTGAAATAATTCGCCACTCAAAGTATATAACAATAAACAAAGTAGATATATAAACAAGTAATAATTTAATTTCACCCGAAGGTCGTATCGTTTAAAACAGATTACCGAGCATATAAATGTCTTCGCAAATGGTTGCCATGTAAAACACGCTTGTTCAACTATGTACTCTGACGAGCTAGGTCTATGACGGATGTTTTTTTTTCTGTGCCTGCAGACTTCATGCGTATGTTTCATTGAATGTCGACCCGATTGGTGTAGCGGGTAGTGAACTTGCCTCTTGCGCCAGAGGGTGTGGGTTCGATCCCCACCACTGGAAAAATATTGTGTGATGAACAAAGTGTTTTTCCAGTGTCTGAGTGTTTTTATACATGTAATATGTATTTATTTACAAAAGTATGTTTAAGTATGTTTATCAGTTATAGTATTAGAGTTGCTTAGTTTGGGACTAGAAAACGTTGTGTAAAAATGTGTCCTTAAAAATATATTTAATATTTATAAATCCCCTTTTTATTTATACCAGCTATTTATAACGACGCTAGACAAGAATGACGTAACAAAAATGACGTTAATAATCATTTTTTTCCCTCTGTAATCCATAGATAACATTGACAATATATTTAATTATTCTTTCATATCTTATCCTTTAATCGAGCAATTCTTGTACATATATATATATATATATATATATATATATATATGAAATTTAGTATGTGCGTAGATTCGGGAGCGACGCTGTGGCAACAAATGAAAAAGTCTCTGAATGTATGAATCAGTCAGTTGTCGTTTTATAGGATGTTACAAATTTTGTTACTTTTTTACTTAACTAGTTTGCTTGAAAAATATTTTTTTCAATTATGGATTTTTTTAACCTTAATATTTTTTTATGATTATTGGCAAATAACGTTAGACGTGTGTTCATTTAATCTCGCGATTGTAAAGACACGCTGTATATGCAAAAGTGACGGAGAACAATATCATTATAAAATATGGACAAACACACAAACGGTCCCACATTAAAATAGTAAACGCGACACAACTTTCTTTTAGGGTTCCGTACCTAAAATATAAAACGAGACCCTATTACTAAGACTCCGCCGTCTGTCTATCTATCTGTCTGTCTGTCTGTCTGTCCGACCGTCCGTCTGTCACCAGGCTGTATCTCATGAACTTTGAAATTTTACACGTATGGTGTAATTCTATTGCCGCTATAACGGCAAACACGAAAAAACGGAATAAAAGAAATATTTAAGTGGGGCTCCCATACAACAGACGTGATTTGTTTGCCGTTTTTATAGATAACGGCGCGGAACCCGTCGTGCGCGAATCCGACTCGCACTTGGCCGGTTTTTTTTTACATAATAGGTATCAACAATATCTTACAGGGTGATAGTGCTTGAGAAATGAGTGCATCCTCTCCACTTCCTCCGAGGTCAGGGTTTTCAGGATGAATAGACGGTCGTAGCTCTGGTAGAACTTCGCCCCAGATTTGCCCGAGGACTCGTCCGGAATTGGCTGGGATCTGTGGACAAGGCAATAGATTTTACAACATTATATGCGTATCAAGTAGCCGATCAGGTGATAAGCTTCATATTAGAATCGAGCACTCGCACACTACATTCTCTTGTGTTGAACCGGCAAATGTAGAACCATTTGCCGGAATTTGAAATGTTTCATTAATTGAATTAAGAATATTAAACTCTTTATATGTTATTAACAATGATATCATATACAAAGATATGACACTAGCGCATCGAAATTGAGGCCCTCAAATTACACCAATTGGTGTAGTTGGATTGCAATTCTATACACTGCTATCTCTTTCCATATCATCCGTGAATGTGACATCACATAATATATATCATATAATGTAAAGCGGAATAATTTTTGGGCTTCGCGCAGTATGGACATGCGTCATTTATATCATTAAACATAGGTTTTTAACGGTGGTATAGTGGTTGTGAAGATGACCACCCAGGCTCGAATGCCAGTTCGAACCAGTTATAAGAAAAACACTTGGTATCTCATATCTCTTAACTACGGACTACTACTTTTGTCATATAGATTAAAAATCTGTAATACAACAATAAAAAATGTTATGCGAAAAATGTTTACACGACAAATACCATAACAGATATGTGCATGTGCAAATTAGTTAGAAAATATTATACATTTTCACTGACATGAGATAACAGAACGTTGTCTCATCTCAGTGAAACATACATATGTCACATGTCTTGGGCAAAATTACCATCATATTTCACAAATGTTGCAATAAAACAATTACCGTAGCTAAGTATATATTATTATTTACATAAGGAACGTTTTAAGGAACATTACCAAACACGTTAGATTTTGAATAGTAAAGGGTAAAAAAAAATCATGGCAATATTTTTAGTTAGTTGTGGTTACCATATTCACACACACTCTTAACAAATGGATGATTATCAAATATGGCGTGTCTTTTCAGAGCTAACTTTGTTTTTTTTTTAAAAACCCACGAACGTTTTCCGTATGTAAAGCATATAAGTATATATATAAAATATAAAATGCAAACTTTAATCTCGACTTATGCCTAGAAAAAGCTTGTTAAGTAATTAACGGAACATTATCATGGTTTAGTATCAGTAGTATCATAAAACAGGTAAGGAGCGACTACCCCTCTGTTGATATGCGACATAGTAACCAATTTAAGTAAAGCAAAACCCCGGTTCGATTCCAGACGATTTTTTTGTTTTCAGGGTTCCGTACCTTAAAAGGTTAAAAAAGGAACCCTTATAAAATCACTCTCTTGTCCGTATGTCAATCCGTGTTTCACCACCGATTTTCTCAGGAATGGGTGGACTTAGTAATTTGAAATTTATACCAGATAATTAAAAATTAAGGTCCTGAGTCAACACGATAAGAAAAAGATATGGACAAATTTAGATCTTCGCGGCTTTTTTTTAACATTGCCCTTACCGTGTTGTAGGGACGTTTTACAAAAATAAATTTCACGCGGACAAACACATGGATACGGTATAGTACATTTGCTTTAAATATTCGTCTTTTGTGTCTGAATATTGTACAGTTTTTTTATGGCTGGATGTTAACTGCTTTTTTTTACGTGGTAATCAAAAATATGGTATGTGGTTCTATAAAACCCACATTGCACTTGCGCTGTCGCTTTTGCCGGGGACAGGGGAACACGAAAACGCAGGATGCTAACTGCCTAACCTAACCACTGTTGGCTTTAAGGGCCTTTACAGATGGGAGAAGAAGAAGAAGATCGGAGAAGGATAAACCTTCTCCGATCCCCTCACCCTCTTGTAGCAACACGAGACCACTTCGTGCTGCTGCCCATCCGTGTCCCCTTTTAATCGCCTTTTACGACAGGCAGGGGATACCTTAGCCCTATTCTATGAGCCTGGGACTACAGGGCTGGGGCGGTGAGGCCTAGTCTGTTTTTACCACTGAGCTTTTTAGTCGCTAGCGTGTCCTTGACCGAAATGAGTTTGGAAATCATTAGTTTGAATTAAACAAAAATATATCGTTAATACGACGTCATTAAGTAACGTTTCAATGACTTAAGCTAAGGCCATATTGAATCGTCTGTAGAATATAACGCTGATTTTGAACTGACCAGCTCAACTTTGAGAAAGAAAAAAACTTTTCCTTTTGAAAATGGAGTATTTTAAAAAGAGCTCCATATTTTTTAATTACTCAAACGGCTGGTGCATTAGCACCCCGTCTAAAAGCTCGGTAGGCTGGCGGCGGCTATCGATCCTCCGCCGGAAGGAGACGCACCCCGAGGTCGCTTGGTTGCGTAACGAAAATAAACACAGCCTAAGGTCGAAATAACAAGCGCGCGATTTTTTTTAAATTCCTTATAGCACGGCGTCAAACACTTATGTTTTTAACCTCACGGAAGCGAAACACTTTTGTTTATAATTTACTAGCGACCCATTCCAGCTTCGCACACATGCTATGTAATATACATATAAACCTTCCTCTTGAATCAATCTATCTAGTAAAAAAAACCCGTCGAGATCCGTTGCTAGTTTTTAAGATCTACGCATACGTAGGGACAGACAGACATCGGGGCGACTTTGACATTCGGGTTTCCTTATCATGGTACCGCCAATGGGATATCTCCTTTCCGACAAGAAAAGAATCATCAAAATCGGTTCATAAACGACGAAGTTATCCGTGAACACACATAAAATATATATATATATATATATATATATATATATATACGGTCGAATTGAGAAACCACCTCCTTTTTTGAAGTCGGTTAAAAATAACTTTTATTAATATATAAATGGCCACTTTTAAAACAACCAATGATTGTGAACCACCGTATCAGGAAAAGTGTTTACTTGATCGACCGTTACGATAACATTTATCATAACTGGAGATCAGGTTAGGTTATCACGTAAGGTTTTAAGATCTCCTATTATTCGAAGTAATATGATCAAAATGCTGTTTTTTTTTTGATGGCATATAGACAGCGATAGAAAATGTTAAACATATGTACTTTAATATGTAAATAATAAATAAATATTTTCAGGGCATATATTTTACACATCGTTACGTTCCAAACATAAAAATAATAAATACATTTTTTTTTAATTCAAAACTGGCCAGCACTTGACTGACTGCCATCCCACCTGATGGTAAGTGGCGATGCAGCCGTTGATGGTAAGCGCGCTAGCTCAGTAAAAAACTATTCACGCTTGCCTTGAAGACGCGTACGTTGTAAACGGACGGTAAGACGGACAGGCAGGTTGTTCCATTCCTATAGCGATATTGTACGGACAATGGATGACGAAGCAAATCGCTTAGTTCTTGTACGTCGACAGCATAAGGGCGGAGTTGTCCGATGATTGAAAAGAGCGAGAGGAATCAGATGGTGCAACTACAACGCACACTCCAGTTACGGTCACCAATGACTCTTTCCGGACGCCTCTCTTTTGCAGCGGTGGGGATCGAGCCACTACCCTCTGAAGCACGAGACAAGTCCACTATCCATTACGCTATTCGGGTCGACACACCATATGTACAGATAAAACATTATAGTCTCGATTATGAATCCATTGACTAAATTATATCTGCGGTTTGCGTCGATTTGATCAATAATTAGTTTAGTACCCAAACTTTGAGAAAAAAAGGTTAAACCAAAAAAATACCTACACGTTTTCGGGTCTGCCTAACAAACTCATGAAAAACGAACATTGCATAAATTTTCGTTCAAAATCGATTTACTTTTAAAATTTTTTTCGAATATAACTTTTGGTTTTTTATAACCCTAACAAGCGAAACTTTCCTGTTAACAAAAACAACCGACATCAAATCAAATACATCACTCATTTTTTTACGTGATTTTGAGGATATTTCCGATGTATTTACGGAGTCTAAGGTCCAATGAAATTGATATGGGGCCACGTGGGAACAGACCCAACCGAACGCAAAATTAATTTGTAAAAGCATTACACCAACGACGGATCTCTGAGGTAACAAACATAAAAAATACAACCTAATTGGGACCCTCGTTCTTTGAGGTCCGTTAAAAAAAGACAACCCTAATAAATGAGATCCAATCAATCTTGCAGAAAAATAGGCTGCCCGTGCATTCGCGGCCGTTCTGAGGTCGTACTCCTCGTTAGCAAGTTCAAAGACCCCTTTCGTTACGTGCACAATCACACAAGCGTAAGGGAAAACGACATAATTCAAACGCACACCTTTCATAATCTGTTCGCAAATAGCGAGCCGTCGGTGCATGCAGCCGTTAAAACAACACGGCTTTTATAAAGCCTCAAAGCCTTGTAAATATTCAGATTGCAAACTAGACATACTAAATGTTTGGTTGCGTTAATAGAGATGAATTTTCACTTAATATCAAATAAAGACAATCTTTAACGAATAACATTATTGACGTTAGCACTTAGTCTAACGCCCGGTTTCTGAAACACTGATCATCGTAGATGTCAACTAATCAGCTGTCAAATGGCTTTTCACATTTCATTTTAGTTGCTAAAAACATGGTTAAACTCTCATAATTGACCAGAATGATCTTCTTAATGATCAGCACGATCAATTCAGAGTAGGGCGTAGAGTTCAGCGATTTGGCTAAACCAGATTTCAAAAGGAATATTCGTTCAACATCATGGTAGTCTCGATGATGACTTAGATTTCTCGTGAAATACAAAGCATTCATAAGTAAAAGTATAGGAAGGATTTTATCACCTTTACTCGAAAATTTCCGGACGAAAATTATTGAAATATTTTCAAGACTATATATTTTTAAGATAAAACTACTTTATCGGATTCATTCTTGACCAAATATAAGGACCGGTTAATCCAGCTTTACGACTTTTCACTTTACAAATGGAATACGTGAATTTCGATTTCCAGTAAGGGCCTGTATTATACACATTAAAGTAAAATTTGACAAACTCTTTAAATAGTAAGTATATAAATATTCTAAGGTTTGGGAAGCACAATATTGGCTTGTGCTGTGTAAAATCAATCTTAGATCATCTAAGAATAGATCCTTTATAATGACGTGCTATGTATTTGTATATGAGGAAATGTTCATTTTAAAGTTCATTTTAGTGAAAATAAAAAAAAATACACGACAAGTCTGATACCGTACTTTTCGTACTAACATGGTAATATGAAAGGTCCATTCCCCTATTTTTGAAATTGATTAAACAATAGTCCCTCAATACGACGTATAATTGTCTAGTAGATTTAATTTAAAGATGTTTTTACCCAAAGTCTCACATCTTAGTAAATGTAGACCCAAAGATTACTAAAGTATAATTAACATACCACTATAAAATGACTGAAAATTTACGGGGAAAAATAAATTTTTAAACCTTTTTCTAAACTTACACACGAGTATGCAACATTAGGCATATATATTACACCGACATTTCGCCCTGGATTATTTTGTGTAATAATTAAAATTACTTTTCCTTCAAAGCAGTACAAGCTACAGCCATTTTTAAGTTAATCAGCGTTGAAATTGTCAGTACCCTTTATACATTTACATATTAATATTTAGATAATACATACAATTTGCCAAAGGTGCTTAGAGTGCATTTAGCTTAGTTACTTCGGTGTGGTTGTTTGCAGGTGAATGTTGTTAGAACTTAAGGAGTGGCAGGAGAGGGATGAAGGCATATTACAGTCAGATGCGGAGGGATCTTTGTAGGATGGGCAGCAGCAATATCGATAAATAAAAAAGAAAATGGCTATATCCTCATGACTTGACTTGATTCGACAAAGGATCATGTAGTCCCCCATTCTTTCTCCCCTAAAGTGACTTGTGTTACAAACGATGGAGCAAAACAGCCCGTGACAACGTGGTAAATGCGAATGATGCTTTTCAGCTGTGTCAGTTCGGAAGGCACACTACATACTGTTATTTATGATAAAAAAAGGGTAAAAATTCGTACAGCTGGTAAAAACTCCGCTGACCTCAGGCGTTTAATCGTCAAGCCACGCTTGACGAATGCACTCGCATCGTGGAATAAGCCCTCTTGGTGCGTTTCGTTTTTCATGTTGGCAACACTGGACGGTGCGGTCTCGGACCGCCGCAGTTTACTGGCAAACCTCTTCGTTGCCAGCGAGCACAGGTAGTTATCTGGCTTTCTAAACCTAAGGACCATAGGACGGGGCGGGAAAAGGGATACCAGACCGAAATAATGATGGAAATAAAAATAGATACGATAAATATACGTCATATGTCAGTTACCATAGACAAAAAGCGGATTTACTCTGCATACATGTGAGCCTTTACACTCCCTTTTTAATGTTCCATAAAATGACTTACCTCGTAAGGGACTCCTTATAGTCAATATCATCAATTCCAAACCTCTCGCGGAGGTTTCTGAACACTAATGGGCAGTATTCTTTCACTTTAAAATGAGACGGCATGTTCTCCCTAAAATGCAAGAAGTAAATTACTTTGTAGTTACAATTACTTGTTTAGGTTAAATTATGTGAATCAATAAAATGTAATGAAAATTTTGGTAAATATGATTAAATTAACGGGTCACTACTATGTGATATGCCTAAATGCGCATAATGGTACATATTTTAACACAAAAGATTTGTGCCCACTTGAAATTCTCATTGTGCTTGTTTATTGGTACAGTTATAGCATATGGTAATAATAAACTAAAATACTATAATATAGTATAATATTTTTTTTGTTAACTCTCAATCTTAGATTTTGAGTAAGATGTTTATAATGTTAGCTTCTATAATTCCTAATTTATATATCAGGATAATGGTAAATGGGAAATATGTATTTCATAAAACACAATTTTAGAAAGTCAACTTATATTGGCATTATTATCTATCAACGCTCTACATATTAAAAATATATTTAACATGATCAAATGGTTCACATGATGTTACCATCATTGAATTAGGATTAACTCTACTAGAAGATAGATATTTATAGGGAGATAATTATAGGGAGACTTAAGTGAATAAATACAAAACATCTTTTAGCATTATATGCTACTTGATGTCAAAATAATGTGGTATTATGAATATGTTGAAAACCCATTTGTTATAATTTTTATCTTTAATCTAAATAAATATGGTGTTATATCTTATCAGTAGTACTGCCAATATAAAAAAATTGATAAGAATGGCTGAAGTCACTATAGAAATAAAAATAAGATCTAGATAACTAGTTGTTTGCTTCTTATTATTATCAAGCAATATATGATTAAATTGATAATTCTAAAATACAACTCGTTGTACACGGTAAACATCTTTTGACAAAATGCTTTTCATATAAGTCATTCTACACAAATTCTAATGTTTATTAATTTATTCTTACTTGATAAATGAAATGTGAATAAAAGTTTTCTTACTTATTAAACAAGTGATTGTCAACTTTGAGCTTTGAATATGCCCTGAAATCATCCGGGAGGAGCATAACTGGTATTGAGACATGGCTCAATTCGTTAATCTGAAAAAAAAATGGTTTACCAACACAACTTAGTCAAAGACATGTCAACATGTCAAAAGTCGTAATATGTGGCATAGTAGACGATTTGGCAAGATAAGGCATATCTATATCATGTACGACAATAACGACTATTTATACCCCCACAAGGATGGAAGTAGAGAGTTGAATATGTGCCAGATAAATAAAACATAGTGTAGAATAATTTTTAACATTGCATTTTTGAACAACATTGCAATTGCGGCCGAATACAAATATTACGTTACGCGGTATTCAATACCGAGCACCACAAGATGCGATTAGTTACACTCCTTATAGCTACGGATAAAAACAGTGCAATTACCGTATGATTAACACCCCACATAAAAACTGACAGTAACGGTTCATTAGCACGAAACAATTTCACTTTTTGATGTTTTACACGAATATGTTTCTTCTTTAACTTGCTCAATCCCGTGCTGGGTACGGACATTTTGGATTTGTTTATAGTAGCCGATGCAGAACTACTCGATAATATTTACACTCCGCGTTTATGCTTAAACCATTTTTAAACCACAAAACAATGTGCTAATACAAAATTAAGACAAAAATTAATAATATAATGCAGAAATTGGACACCTAGCCATGAAACTGCGAACGGCTTTTTGACAGCAAAAATTCTAATTTGAAAAGTGTTGCAAGTCCAATTTATAAATACCATCTTTCAACATTTAGCTGTCACTATACCCATTATCATTTCAATATGTTTTAAGAAGATAGACACGTACTTGTACACTTATATATGAAAACCGAAGCGCAGAAGTATCAATAGTTACTTTATCGTTACTCATATGCAACATATAAATAATATATATAATGGGCTTGCGTAACAATTTCAATTATAAGAAAAAAATAGTTCATTGAAATACATCATACTACTGCAATATTAAAATGAAATAGCCCAATAAGACATATCGGTTGCTTTGGGGTGCTATACAAACGCATTATATTAAAAAGGTAAAAGGACCCTGCCTTGTCAAATCTTCTTATTCCGCTCGAACAATTTGACTTCAAGCTGAACCACTCCTGTCCCGCATAAATAAATTGCTTACTCACGACTTTCACTCTAAACAGACAAATGCTATCTTTTACATTGTTGCGATGGCGTTGAACATCGACTTGCCTGCGATATCAGCTTGCTTTACGAGCTGTACTCACTCAAAGTACCCGACAGGGTGGTGTTGGACAAACATTTTCGGCGTTTGGCTACTCACCTTTTAAGCACCATCAATCACCTCTCGGTTTCAGAAATGCACAACGAAGTTAACTCCTAAAAGACCCTAGCAATACAATTCACTCGGCCTAACGCCACAGCTAACTCCAACCTCCCACTGACTCGAGCTCGCCAGAGCAGAAAAACTATACGGCCAGGCAATTCTTGGGAAAAGAAGGCCAAATACGTTGGGGTTTACTTTCGACTCCAGAATGTCCATTAATACTCACAACGTCAGGAAGGGGGGCGTGCTCATATCTGTTCAACGCAACCGGTGTTAAGCGGTATCAGTGTAACGTCAACCTACATAAAGATATCTGACTCCCGACGATACGCGAATACTATAAAGAGCTAACTAACAGTTCATCGAAAGAATCGAAAACTGTCACTAACTTCTAATGGTAAACACAGCAAACTACTGGCATAAACGCAACCATTCACAAACGTCCTCATCGACCCGGTCAAATACGAGAATATAGGCACATCGGACCCACTGGGGGTCCTGCTAGATAAACCTATACCCATATTACTAGGATCTAGAGCGCTAGGTGCGCATAGCGATGTTTAAAGTCATTTTCTGAAGTCTCGGACGTTTGCTTCGTAACTAATTGTGCCCAGAAAGCTTTGCAAACTTGTAGTACAACGAAAGATCTAGTTGCCAGAAATGTATGCCAGTGGCTAAATACCTGAAATAAATAAGAAGGAGGCTTTCCGGTGAAAAAGCTCAGAAAAAAAATTGAAAGATACATATATAAAAGATAAAAAAAAATTGAAAGCTTAGTTCTAAATGGGGCTGGTGGGCTGACCAAAATATATACGAACGCGGCGCTAATTTGTAGTTTCATTCTAAACAGTAACTATTTAGAAACCCTGAAAAACTGAAGGAAAATCTGTACCAGAATATTGCTCAAATGAAAGCAATTCATAATTTTAACTGTGGCAGGATCAAGGAACAGTCTTCGCTGTTGCATGAATGGGCAGGTCCGTTCAGTTATGTACCATGACATTACAGAAAACTGGGGTGAAGTGGAAGTATTACACTTCTGCGTTTCGTATGGTGAGTGAGATAGCCGGGCCCACTTTATTAAAAGATGTCAACGCATCTGCAACCCTACGGGTGTTGTATATGTCACTGGGCGGCGGTTTTCACATGACATCAGGTGAACCGCCAGGTCGCTTACCACCATGTCAAATTCTACAGACGCTTCTAAATGGCTAATGTTATTTAATACAGAGTTTGCATACGCTTGTTCGCTCGTAATAACGAAACTTTTAACTTTACAAGGTTTTAATTTTATTGAATTGATTACATTATCATTAGAATTGTTCTTTTCTTAATAGGGTCTGGAGAGATGCAGTGGAGTGGACAACGTAATCGTTTCGTCGTCGTGCACCCGCTACGTTGTTCTCCTAAGTCCGCATTTGATCTGAATATGGATCTCTTCCAACGAAGCTGGCAAAACCGGACAAAATACCATCCAATAACAAATTGACGCGCGATTCAAACTTCCATCTTACTGAGAGGCCCTTAGATCATGTCATGCCTAGTGATAATTAATATTTAATTTTTCATCTGATCTGTCGTCTACAGATGTCATGGAGTTGCGGAACGTCTGAACTTGTCATTACCGTGCACCAGGTTCATCTTCGTTTTTCTTTCCTGACTTCGTGGTTTACCTACTCGCTAATCTCTTTCAAGGAAGCTGCCCAGGCAGGCTAAACGCATTCTCTATACGTTTCGAAAAAAAATTTTGTTATCGTTGAACCTTGGACGGTATTTCTTATTTATTTATTTATTTGCCTAAAGGGACTCTCTTTGTTTCTCGTTTGGTTGGGTTTATAAATAGAAATAAACACACACACATATATATATATATATATATATATATATATATATATATATATATATTGCATTTATAAAATAAATATTATAAATAAATACAACCAGAGAGGCTGACTGGGATTAATCCATTGGCAGAAACGACTATCGGGATAATTTCGTCCGGCATACCACCCCACATGTCGGTCACCTCGTGCCCAGGTCCAGATACTTTGTCTTCTTATCTGTTTCGGCTTTCACGAGGTTTTCGTCATATGGAATGGTAATGTCGAGCAAAAATACCCGCGACTGTGCCCAGTCCATCACCACGATATCAGGTTTGTTCGCGACAATCGTCCTGTCCGTGATAATGGGCCAGTCCCAATAGAGCCTGCCACGGTCATTTTCGAGCACGGCTTCCGGATAGTACTTGTAGTACGGCAGTTTCCGATCCACGAGGCCGTATTTCAGAGCGAGCTCATGGTGTAGGATTCTGGCATGGAACAACCGGAGAAAACATCCCGAAGCGACTCCCCGGGATGGCGACAAGCTCGACAGCTGTCGACGGTGCCATCCTTTAGGATGTATCTCCGATAGTTGTTCTTCTTAATAACCTGATCTTGTATCGCACAGACAAAACCTTCGGTTTCCCCAAAGAGGTCACCGAAAAGTAGCCACTTAATGGAGGTAAGAGTATCTACAAAAGGCTCGTGCAGAGCATTGTAGAACCTCCCGTGGAGCTCTTTCTCCTTCCATACTGTCTCTCGTTCGGAAACGCTCAGTATTCCCGGGTCCTGCTATTGCTCGTTGGCTAAGGCTGACTCATCTCTCTCAGATTGACTCATCCGATCTCGCCAGAAAGTAGTTACGGAGGCTGCACACCTCGCGATCATGCATGGTGAGAGTGCTTAAAAAGTCCCTACCGCCGTGCTTCCGCGGCAGGTACAGCCTCATCACTAACGATCTCGGATAATGCATCCTGTGGGACGTCATAGTTGTGCGTACTTTTCGATCCAGGGCGTTGAGCTCTGTTTGACTGAGTATGCCAAAGGTATACATGAGGACTGACATGACCCAGCCATTAAATGCGCGCGCCTTGTTCACGCCTGATAAATTAGCTGTTAAACGGCACTTTTCAGGCGTGCTAAATTTATTTATTTATTATTAATTAATTAATTTATTTATTTTAGTTATTTTATTATATTTTTTTAAGGTTTTTAATTTTAGGTTCATTGTTCTAGTATATATTTTGTATTAGTTTATCATTTGAATTTTGTTTATGTAAAACGGCATGAAAATGGGAAGTAATTAATTAAACATTTATTTTGTATCTAAACTCTGTTTTTATTGTTGATAGATTTGACATATGTCATTGGTATATTTTGAATTTCATTAATTTGCGAATTTTCAGGCAGAGAGTGACTGGACTAGTGTATTACAAGAAAATATACCTCTTAAAATGGGTGTACCTAGCCCTTTTGTGTATTGGGCTCAAACGGATAAGTTTATATCATTAAAGATTGATTTAAAAAACGTTGTCAATCCAGACGTGAACGTTGTTGATAATAGTATAAAATTTTCTGCAAAAGGCATCGGAGCCCATGGAGAAACACAGTATGGATTCAGTTTGGATTTATTTTCATCTCTTAAATCTGTAAGTTTTGTAAAAAAAAAAAAAAAACGTTAGTTTTCTCATTTCGCTTCCTACACTTTAAGATAATATTACGATAGTAGCGATAACTAATTAAGATCCGTTTAAATTTTTTTATCACTAAACCTTGGACTTCAACTTTTGGATATTTGATAATTTAAGGTAAAGATGCAGATTGGCGTCACAGGTTTTAATATCTTATGAATATTTTTAAATGATAAAAACCCATTAAAAATAGGAATGTGTTTTTAAGTATCCTGTATCACTATATGTATCTTACATCAAAGAAAAAACGTAAGTTTGCTAGCGTTTTTTGTAATAGTATTGTATTTCCATAATGGAGTTAATAAGTTTTAATATTTGTTTTTTATGATAAATAGGCAATAGTGAAAAATTTTCTTCTTAACATCTAATTATGGCTATGTTTAAAAATATTTATAAGAGACGAAAACCTGTGCTGCTAATCTGCACCTTTACCATCAATAATAAAATTTATAATAACAAAGTTAATAATTAGATAGGACCCAACCAGATGGGAATATAAATAAATATCCCCAAGCCCCCCTTTGCCTCCCCCCAGAGCCCAATTTTCAAAAGGTTGTCGACGCATCTGTAACCCTCGGGTGTGGCAGATGTCCATGGGCTGTGGTATTCACTTAACATCAGGTGAACCGTCAGCTCATTTACAACTTTTTGCATTAAAAAAATAAACCCCACTAATAAGTTAATAACTTATGTTATTTTAAAAGAAGTGATATAGTATTAGTATTCTTATGCTATATTTTGCACTATATAATTATATCATTTACTTATTAACATATTTTATTAATTGTGTGATGATTGATCATGAATTCATATAATGTTTTGATATTAAATAATGTATTATTTTGTTGAACGGATTGTACACATATTCAATGTTAAAGCTTTAACTAGTTAAATATCTCTAGGATAGAGATCAAGCCACTACAATACGTATATTTGAGAATCGGGTTGAATTAGTCCTCCATAAACAAGAAGCATCTTGGTGGCCCAGACTTACAGCACAACCACAGAAACCTGCTTGGTTAAAGGTAGGTTACAATACTTATAAAATAAAGTATTTAACACAATGTGTTTTGTCAACATCTTAGTTATGGACATCTGTGAATGAATGCAAAATATTGTAATTTACTTAATTCTTTTAGATAAATTTTGATCTATGGAAGTCTGAGGATGGACAGGACAGTGAAGAGGAACCAAGGGACGTAATGAGAGATTATCCAGGAATGTATGACAGGCTCCATCAAGAAGAAATGGGTTATAGGAAAGGTATATTTACTATAATTTAATATTTATCTAATGAAGGTTTACACATCATATATATTGTTTTCAAATATTTTTTTATTTTATAATTGTGATGTGTATGATTCACATGTTGGGCAAACCCTATTTATATAAGGCAAGGAGAAAGAACAAGATATTCTAATTAAAACTATCAAAGCTTCTGTATTGATAGACAATTGTAGTTTAGTAAACAGGAAGTGGTGGAAGTGGTCACAAGTTCAACCTGCTTCTTCTTCCAGCTGCAACCAAAATGACTGGCATTTTTCAACAGTCCTCTGCATAAATCATTTTCCAGATTCACAAAACTCACAGGCAAAATTAGTTAATATTATTTGTTAACTTTGCAACATCAAGTTTCTAATAGAATACATTAGTCTCATATGATAATGTATTTCTTTTCAGAAGATTTCAAAAAGGTATATTTAATAAATACATTAGTCTCATATGATAATGTATTTCTTTTCAGAAGATTTCAAAAAGGTATATTTAATAATCTACAATCTGTTCCAATTCATTGGCTTTACATACGTACTAGCAGTAATGGGTGTGCGCTATGCTAAATTGGAGTATGAATCTGTAGCTGATACTTATGAGCATGTTGGTCCAGCCATGAAGTTCCTTCAGCTGATGCAGTATTTGGAAGTCATGCATCCAATGTTTGGTTATACAAAGGTTTGTTTTTCTATAAAATATTGGGGTTCAGAAAGTTTACCTGATGCAATTGTCTAATGTAAAGATAACTTGGGAAATAAAGATAACATGTGAACACAACAATCTAGTTAATCTTCTATGATGTTTATGAGTAGATCATTCATTAGAAAAACCTGTTCAGTACCCAGACGCTTTACCAACTGAGCTAGGCCGTAGGTAGCTATGTGTGAAACCAGACAACGTAGATATGAATCCCGAAGTCCCAAAAGCTAAAGTACTTAATTTATACCTTTCATTAAATTCATGTAACGAAATGTGGATAAACGTGTCGCGTCCTTAAACGATGACTTACTATCAAATCACTGTCTAAGAATTTTCTAAAATAATTTTGGAGAACTGTGGCCAAATGTTATGCTTATTTTATTTTTAAATATTTTCAGGGCGGTGTGTTAGTGCCTTTCCTGCAAGTAAGTGGCCGGGCCTTTGTCCTTTTCGTGATGATTGAAGCTGAACCACGGATGCAGACTAAACCTGTAGTTTTTTACCTATTTCTCATATGGAGTCTTATTGAAATTGTCAGGTATAATTTCATCACAATCTACATAATATCAATCAACATTTTATACTCAACATAAATATTATGAGTCTCATATTTTATTGTTATAAGAAATTTATTTAATTTTTGCATTGGTTATTATTGACATAATTATGTTATTTTTGATGACTCTATGGCGCAGTTGCCAAGGTATTGTCTTCGGCGTCGGGTGTCGTGGTTTCGATTCCCACATGAAACAACTATTTGTGTGACCACAGATAATTGTTTCGGATCTGGGTGTATTTACACTTGAAATTTACGTTTGTAGAACATCCTTTTGACACAGATTTATGCTAAAGTAACAGCAATGGTTTCTATAAAAAAATAGAGATATTATGCATGTACAATATATTTTATACAATTATTAACATATAGTACATATGAATATATTTGTACCACCAGGAAAGCTCATTAAAGTTGTTTTGAACAAATAATCATGAAACATTTAATATTATTTAATACATTTTCAGGTACCCATTCTACATATCGCAGATTTACAAGAAAGAGATCTACATCCTAACCTGGCTCCGGTACACTATGTGGATCCCACTATACCCACTCGGTATATTGTGTGAATCTATTGTAATCTTGCGGAACATCCCATATTTTGAGGAGACACAGAAATTCACCATGTTATTACCCAACGAATGGAATTTTGCCTTTCATCTGCCATCACTTCTACGAGTATATTTACTATTTCTCACATTCCCAGGCATGTTCTTTGTTATGAGTCACATGCACAAATTAAGGACGGTAAAACTAAAACCTAAAGTTATAATAAAGAAATCAAAGTAGATACGGCGCATGTAACAAAGGTGATGGTTGTAAAATTTAACACAAAGACAGCTTATTTAAAGAATTTATTTATATAATAAGAACTTTATACATTTGTTGACGGTTTTATTTTTCTGTACATGGTGACAATTACATTTAATCGGGTTTTATTTATATATGCAAAAACTTTATTATCAAGATAATTTTTATGAATAAGAATATCGTTTCTTTTTCACACAAGGGATTAAATGGACAAAATGTGAAAATATGATTAGATTTGGGTCGCGCCAAACTTCTGGTCGCGACAAAAGGCGGGTGAGAAGCTTGCGCAGGTGCAGTCAACTCATCGATAACATATGAACTGAAATATTTTAATCTTGCAATTGATGAAATATTGGTTAAATTAAAAAAAAATAAAATTATTTAAATTAAATTGAAGTTTAATTCAGAGAATGAAAATGATTTGTTATTTGACAATTTTATCTCAGTACGGTTTAGCTGAACGGGCCAAACTTCGCTGTGGCTTTTCTTTGTGTTGGAATTTGCGGTAGGGCTACGCAACAGTCTTCGCCGAAGTATCACGTTCTCTCAGAAGATGGACGTGAAGTGGCATAGTAATACTTCTACGTTTCGTCTGCGGAGTGTGGTAGCCGGGGCCCACATTCAAACATACATCAAAGGTTGCAACGCATTTGTGAATCTACCGATGTTGCAAATGTTGGGCGGAGGTAAACTCTTGCCATATTACAGTAATAGGGAAGTTTGAAACGATTGAAAATTAATTTTCTGGAGGTTAAATTAAGGCAAAGTGTAGTTCACAAACTACTTTTTTCTTTGGGCATTCATGGGCATTGTTCCAGAATTGACACCGGTTTTGACACGTCGTCAGCATTCTTAAACATTAGGCGTAGTCATGAAACCCCGGAAGCGATAGCCGCTTAAGTGCACCCGATCCCTAAAAAAGGCAACCACTCGGACCCCTCCAATAAACTGCGACCAATGGACTAATGATATAGATTCTACCTAGAGGAACAATGGCTGATTAGCGACCGCCAGTAAGGCTTTTGTCGGGGTCTCTTGGCCAGTTATCTTCTTGTCTATCCAGGGGGAAGGCGCTTGCAGCCAGTCTGGACCTTTGACCGTGTATTGCGCAAAGCACTTCTTTCGAAGCGACCTTGCGGGCTTTCTGAGTAATTATGCAACTTATTATGCAACGCTTTTTGGCAAATCGAAAGTCGTCAGTGCAAGGTCTGATCATAAGTTTGTCAGTGCTGGTTTTCCTCAAGGCTGTGCCTGTCGCCTTCTCTTTTTCTTCTGCGTCAATCAATGACATGTTGCAAATCAGCGATATTATTTGCTATGCAGACGATAGTACTGAGGATATCTTGTCCACTGGCCCTGCTATTCTCGGAAATACTTCGATGAGAGCCGGAACAAGCTTGTATCTGCAGTAGAGTCTTTGTTAACCAAAGTCTTAGACTGAGGTCGACTAAAGTTAGTCCAATTCAATCCCAACAAGTTACGAATGCGCTTGACCATTTAAATAGTCACCATTTGACATTGTCATATCTGCCACAGCCATTATCGGATAACTTGGCGTCAATATTTCGAGCAAATTCCGTGGTCAATTGGAAGGTAAGGCCAAATCAACGCCGGAATATCCTGTCACCGGCGGTCTTGCCGAACTGTGAAGATCTTGGTAGCTTTACGTAGAGAGCATATTGTTTCCTGAAAACGCATTTTCAAGCCCTCCGGTGTTACAGATGTTCAATGGGTGGGGGTTATCACTTCCGCTCAGTGTAGCCCCCTGCCCAGTTGCCCCACTTTTTCTACAAAAATAAACGCTGTACTTTTCATTGACGTTCCTATTGTTATTTCACGCATATAATAATTATGAAAACATTCTTTTTAATAGCTATGTTGTGACCAAATATCAAGACCATCCATTGACTAGTTTTTGAGTTGTACACAAACATATGGAAGGTACTTTTTTATATATTACTTGCGGAGCGGATAGACGTCCAGTAGATACGTCTTAAATTCAAAAATATCTTTTTTGAATATTTTTTTTTGCTTTTTTTTTTTAAAATAGCCCTTACTTTAGGATAACATTATCCTATGTAAGGACGTTTTACAAACATAAACTTCACCCGGACAAACACCCAGATGCGAAACAACTATCTGTGGGTCATACAAATAGTTGTCCCGTGTGGGAATCGAACCCACGACTCCCGACGCCGAAGTCAATACCTTGGCAACCACGCCACGGAGTCATTAACTGAATCTAAATCATTCTCGTTTCCACCTGAAGACACAAAAAAATTCATAAAAACCGCTTCAGCCGTTAAGGATAGAATTAGAGAATTATATACAAATATAATATTATCATAAATACCTATTGGTAATGGTTCAGAATGTTTTATTTCTATTCTGTCGAATATCGAACAATGTAAACGAACACTCGTAGCATAGATTGCAAGCCTAATTTGTTTATTTTAAATGCAAACGCACCTATTGTGCGATTTGATCTTTGGCTTTTGTTAGTATGATCTCTGTTTTGTGTAACATTTAAAGATAGTTACTAATTTTTATACATTTTTGATAAATTGTCCGGGAATTCACTATCTCACGGACATTTTATATTCACCACGCCTAGTAATTTACTGTGCCCGATACTTTTGACATAGGTATGTGATGTAAATAAATGCTTCAAATTTATCTTCCTGTTCGATACTAGAAATGTTAGTAGTTATTGACCGCAGAATATTTTGTTTTACTTCTACGCTTTAAAGGTTAACCACCTTACAACGCGACAAAAAAATGTAGGTATATGGCAGTCCACCATCTTCACTTCTTTGGCCGTTGTCGTCACCGCTTTTCGGGACCAATGCCTCTTATGGATTTTCAGTAATAGGTCCTATACCATAGAGACCAGCAAAGACTGCAGGTACAGCCGCCCTCTGTAGCGAATGCACACAGGCGCAGTTTGTAGGTAGTTACCAAAAAACGCTTAGCATCATCATCTTTACTAATATTTAAAAGTTTGTATGTATGGATGTTCGTTACTCTTTCACGCAAAAACTACTAAATGGATTTTAATGAAACTACAATAATAAAGCTTATACATCGGAATAACACACGGTAGTTTATAATTTATAAAGATACACAAGAATCTCTCAAACTAACTCTGTGTTGTGCGCCTTCACGACTAAACCGCAGAACCCGCAGAATTTTGGTATAAAGATAGGTAGGACCTTGGGTTGAAAATATGCTACTAGAAGTATTAATCCTGCACAGACGAAGTCGTGGGCACCAGCTAGTTATTCTATACTATGTATTACATAGCTCAGCTAGGCCCTAGCGGACTACTTATGATAGTAAAGTTTTGCCTCCTGTGCCAAGATCTTAATTTCCGCAATTTCTAAAGAGCAATATTTTCTGTCTAACATTTTGCGCCTTTTTCACATCTTGACGAGGATTTAACGATCTTGTAGGAGCGAGCGAATCTACTAAGCATCTGAAGTCTTGTGTGGGCATTATTCTGGTTCTGAGACAAGGTGGTATTTTTTTCTCCAAAGAAATCCACACTGTTGTATTGGAATTTATTAGTCTAGAAAATATACAGAAAACACATGAGCATTTAAGATCTAGATTGCTTCAACTACATGTCTAATTTGATAAGTTAATTAACTAAAATTGTAAGCATGTTGTGAACGTAAATAAGATATATTTTCTAGATATATCCTACAATAAAAGTATGTACGTTTAAGGTAGTTACCATCCCAAATGCCATTTTATGCCATGTTGGTTGGTCTTCAAGTGAGTCAAAATTGTATGATACATCTCGGAACAACTCTCCAACTCTGAATGCATTTTGTGTTGACTTTTGATAAAGGAACAATTACTTTGTACAAAATTGATTATATATAGTGGGTACCATTAAAAGTTAACATGCAATGGATTCAGTGTTACCAAGTCCTTAAAAAAATGGCCCTAAAATCAAGATGAAATACTTCATAAAAATGCAATTTTCAAAAGCACCAAAAAAGTATTGTATTTAAAGACATTTAAATTAGTTTCACGTTTTGTTAAGATAAATAAAATATAACTTAGTTTTAATTACTTTTCATTACAAATAGTTAAAATAATTAACAGCATAATGTTAATAAAATTTGTAGAAAAAAGAACGAAAGCTACATTGTAAGAATCGAAACCATATTTCCGGGATACGTGCCCTGACACTTTAGCCACTGAGCTAAACGGCTGATTGCCACACCGACGAAAATATTAACTTTTTTTATTTACATTGTTTTTTTAGCATTTGTAGCAATTAAAATTTGTAGAAAAAAGTAACGAAGTTTTTCGCCGCTGTGGGAATCGAACCCACGTCTTCGGGATTCGCGCCCTGACACTCTAACCACTAAACTTAACGTCTGATTTCCACACCGACAAAATTCTCAACGTCCTTTTTATCTACATTGTTAGAGTATACTACGAGGATATTACAATGGTTTTGTCAAGCATGTCTTCAAACCTTACAAGAACATTTCGCTAATTACATTCATTAATAGACATTTTGCTTTTTACTGACATACTCCTTTTTGTCAGTCAAAATAGTGATGCATGAATGCCCATAAACTTTTTTGGACCCTAAAAAGCTCAATGTGCATATTTCCACCCTAAATTTGGGGCTAAAAGCCCTAAGTAAAGTTAGTCTGAATGGAATATATGTGGAAGAAGCGAAAGCTGTATTCAAGGTAGAGTGATGCTAAAATCCTTGTACAATGGCACGGGAATTATTTGCTAACTATTGATAGTTTGTGTCTTTTGTTACATCATTCATCAAATTAAACAATATTATAAATAATTTTATTTCATCTTTGGTATATTCATCTTTTGTAAACTACTTCCCCCAGTTACGCTGACCTATTCATGCAAAAGCTGACCTATTACTTTATAATTATGTAGCAGTTATATATAACTGTTATTGTTCTAACACAGTAAACACACATCCAAGGTATCATACTCATATTTATTGAAGGCAACTACAGAAATAATATCCAGCACACTACTTGACCTGCTTTTTGACCCATTTCCACTATGGCAATGCTGTTGATTTTTACAAGCATCATAAGGAGAACACTTCTATCTTTGATTTAATTCTCTCTAAGAATCAGCATTGCTTGAAAATGGGCAATACCAGATGCTTAAGAGCGCAGCTTAATGTAGGCTCTTCTGTACCAGTCACTGGGGCTGCTGTGGGCATAGTACTCATGGAAGATAGGCTCAACCAGGGTGTCAGGGGGTATAAGCTTGTAAACACGCTCCCCGTAATAAGTACCAACCTGAAAAATAAGATTTATAACAAGGTTGTTTATCATAATAAAAAAGGAGAACACAATTTGAATAAATCCTATTATTATGAAAGATTTGAATGATTGAAGTTCGAAAAAAATAATAAGCTACATAATCATGTTCTTCCATGTCTTGGAAAACAATAGATTATGGTATAATAGGGGAATTATTATCTGAAGAAATTCTTATAAATAAACATAAATAGTAAACATTAACATATACTTAGATATAACTGAAGGCATGGATCATTTCCTGACCTTCACTTCCATATATAGATGGGTCCTATGTATAAGGGCCAAACTAACAAAGTGGTGATTTTGAAACTAACAAAGTTATTTATGGTAAATGCAATATTTATATTATTATGTGAGTTATATTATATTATTATTTATTATTATCCTTCACTGCTGGCCGTATGAGGAAGCTCAAAGTCGCTCAGCGAGCTATGGAGCGGGCTATGCTCGGTATTTCTCTGCGTGATAGGGTTCGTAACGAAGACATCCGCAGTAGAACTAAGATAACCGATATAGCTCAGAGGATTAGCAAGCTGAAGTGGCGATGGGCCGGCCATATAGCTCGTAGAACCGATAACCGTTGGGGAAGAAAGGTTCTCGAGTGGCAGCCTCGTACTGGCCATCGCAGTGTAGGACGACCCCCTACTAGATGGAGTGACGACCTGTGCAAATGTGCGGGAAGTCGATGGATGCAGGTGGCTCAGGGTCGTACTTCATGGCAGTCTGTGGGGGAGGCCTATGTTCAGCAGTGGACTCAAACAGGCTGAAATGATGATGATGATGATTAAAAAAAATAATTTCTGCATGGAAGCACTATTTTTTTATGACAGTATAACAGAGAATGTGGCATGAGTTTGAACATCTAATCCAAAGAGACTTTTCTTATGTTTTGGCCAATCAACTGGCTTATATAGACACTTACAATCCAAACAAAGCAAACAGCTGTGCTGTAATGTATGACTCCATAATTATTTAAATAGTTTTTATGTTCATTATTAGAACAATAAGTGAAAAATGATGGCTAATTGTCAACAAATGTGCTAATAATTTGAACCAACTTGTTTGAACCGCCTTTTTGGAACCATTCAAATTTCCATAAACACACTAATAATAAACTTTATTAAAACGGATCTTTAAGTTTTATCTGAATGTTTTATTTGTACTTTGTAATGTAAGTCGTTAAGGCAGTACCCAGATATAATTAGTTAACAAAAATATTAATATATCATTTCACCATTATAAAAAATACCAATGCTATGCTTGTTATTATTTTAAAAACTGAATGAACAAATCACAATGAAAGGGTCAAATGAAACAGCAAGTTGCATTTAAGATATAATTTAAGTAAAAAAGAAACGAAATTTGTAACATCCTATACAACTCGCGCCACAGCGTCGTATTACAAGTCTCTCCTTCTAACAGTATGTTTTGTCTCTTTTAAATTCATTCAACCCATTCATATGCTTTGTGACCTTTACAAATGAACCTTATGTTACGCTTTTATAGGTAAGGATGTTCTAAAATTCTTTGTTTTGGAAAATTTAATAACTCTGTAAATATTGATGTTTAAAGAATTTAAATGTTTAATACAATTTTAAAAAGTTATCCCCTATATGTGTGTTCATTTATTGTCGCAATGGTAACGACACGCTGTAGATAGCACCCATCGATATTGCTAACACCTCATATTTTAGTTAGATGATTTAAAAATAAAGAAAACATAATTATATAGAATACCTCCCATCCGGGAACATCGCGCATAAGCTCGGCCTCCGCGTCGCGGTTTCTTCTGATTTGTTTCAAATATTCTCTGTCCCTCTCAGCCAAGAGCATAGGGTATATAGCCATTTTTGCAGATCGCATCTCAATTTCATGCTTTTTGATCTGCTTGGCAGTTAAATTATACAAATAGATTGCGCCAACTGTCATACCAATATAACCAGCAAAGATGGTATACCCTTAAAAGTGGATTATGTTAAAAATCGCTTTGATCAATTAATCTATGAAAAATATCAAGTTTTATTTCAGGGACTTCTCCAAGTATGTCCTGCATTCAGGATAAATTTTATACGCTACATATAAATATAATAAATATTTAAGATAACGACTGCATTACAATTATTTCAACAAAAAAATTGTAAAAATATAACCTAAAAAACCTAGATTACATAATAAGCACAAAAAATGTAATTTTAGAAAAAAAAACAAATCTTACCACTGAATAGTTGTTTTGCGGGTAATCTTTTATAAGGTATTGGTTTATAGCCTCCCGGAGGAGGCAAATCTTGTTTCCTGGCTATCTGACAAGCTTCGGACATCTTAAATTTTTGATAATGACAGCGAACTGTAAAGATATTGACACTATTGACAGATTTACTTTTATTTTTGTGGAGAAACTTCAATCGATACAGATGACCAATGCTAGTAAATTGTCAAATTCCATGACAACCAAATAAACATTGATCGATTTTAGAGAATATTTTGGAATTTATAGCTTTCATGGGATTTTATTTTATCAATCACAACTTACAAAAAATATGGACATAAGTGAAAGAACTAAGGAAATCCAAGCGGACATGCCCGAAATTAACCAAGAAGAGAATAAATTGAAGATAAGACCTTTAGAAAGAATTAAACTCTACCCAAAAGTACCAATTGAGCCATCAGCTTATGGAAAAGGTAAAGGTTATAGTCGACCTTGGATTCTTCAAGATGGTCGTAAAGTTTCGAAGCCAGGTAGTGAGATGCGCGACAGTTATAGAGTTCCTAAAAAAACTAACTTTGGTGAAGGTGAGAAATTATACTTTTTGAATTGAGACATTTCCATTTTTTTTGTTTTGTTTAGGCAATTCATTATTACTAGCCGTGTTAGCTCAGTGCCTGGGTGTTTGCCTTTAATGCAATTAACTCGAGCAACCTGAGTCCGATCCCCGGTGTCAGCACCAATGAGACTGTTAATTTTAAGTGCTCACTTATTACGTGCTTAACGGTGAAGGAAAACATATAATATAAATGTGATGAAACCCGCATATTTTCGAAATAATAAAAAAATGTGAAGTCCGCCTATCTGCATGGGGGTTGCCTGGTGGACTATGCCCTGATACCCTCTCTTTACAGAGTCAGATATTTATACGCTGTCTTTACTTCTTTTAGTGTTTTTTGGTGTATATCTTATATATGTTGTGTTCTATGTTTTCATTTCTTCTTAAATTCACAAAACTCCCCAATTATGACATAATTAAATGATTTTTAATTATAATAGTTATAGGTAGGTACATATATTCATTTCTACCTTTATATGTGCGAATATAGCTAAAATAACATTGTAACGGCATTACAAAACTAGTTTTTTCTTTTTAAGGTATAAGAAAGCGAATGCTTACAAATTTCTTTTGGGAACAAATGCTTGATGAGGTAATTGAGGAATTATCGACGTCGCAATCATCACATGAACTATGTACGGAGTATGACACCCACTTCGTAAAGGACCAGTTCGAACCTCGAAATTTAGAACATACTGCTGATAAAACTGTAAGAGAGTACAAAAAAGAAGATCAGCCTTAATCAGATTTAACAACAAATAGGATTAACACTGATCCTTTTTTTTGCTAAGTACTTTTACTGATAAAAATTATGTGTTCAAGAGCCGATTTAGAATCCAGGAGAAATAAAACTGCTTTGTTAATAGTAATGCAGTGAAACCTTTTATAATAGAACCTATATCTCTAAATGTGATAAGTGTTCTTAATCGTATAAAATGTTAAGTAGCTACATATGAATAAGAGGCAAGAAAACAACGGGTGCGAGAATTGTCTGCAATATGTAAAAATTGGATTCGTTCATTTTTAAATCAATCATTAATATCAATTCCATACAATTTTGGCAGATGCATCTTAAATACCCGCTTTATGGAACGGGGTCCAGTGCCGTTACTTATTATAGCGAGACTATTAAAAAGACGGGTCCTGTAAGTATCCACTATAACAAAGTACTTTGAGTGTAAATGGTTAATTTATATTAAATTTCGTGTCTAAATTTAGGGTGAAATTTTGGAGAAATTTAGAAGATGTCAATACTTCACTAAGCCTATGGAAGAGAGACTGGATAATGGCTGGGTACTGTAACAATTTTCCTAATTGAGGATATAAAACTTTTACAGAGGTGCGTTTATGGATTACGCTCTTAATAAATTATGAATAAAAATTGTATTTTCTTTCATTTAGTTTAGTGATGTTATTTTTTGTATTCTGATAGATAATTGAGATTAAAATATAACGCGTAAATAAAACGGAATGAAATTTTATTCCATAAAAGAGTAATTTAACTTGGACATGAAACAATTACATAGATAATTTAGTAGTATAGTTTAAAACAATAAGTCATCGTCATCCCAGTTATGGGGATAACAAACAAGAGCGCTGTCTCCCGCCGAGTCCGTCGGGGTCGAAAGCGGATCCTCCCTTGGGTACAAAATATTTGTCAAGCAGTCTGTAGCCGTCATCGGGTTAGAGCATTCTGAAACGGGTAATAATTTATTATCCAAACAATGCCAGCAAAAAGTATTGTCGTTTATTTTTCGAGCTTCGAAAGTATATTGAATATCGAAATTGCTAATCGACGTTTAAGTGCGGTGCGGCTTTAAGTTATTATCATAAACGCCTCTGCAAATAGGTGTACAGGTGATGGTGTCCCTAAAGTAAACATCAAGCCTTCTTCGAATTGTACATGTATGATGACCTGAATTGAAATTATTGAAACCTCGAAATAAATTTTGGGTACATAGTTGCAAATTTGTACTTTGGATGATACCTAGCTATATTATTATTGCCACTCAGGAAATTGCATCAGATATGCATGGTATAAGATTGGATTTTCATAATAAGTAAATAAACTTAAACCCAATAATTGTTCTTTTCGCAATTATTTTTACTGGCTTGTAGTTGACTTATAAAACTGTATATAGCCAATAAAATTGCCAAAGCCCCATATTGGCTATTCTATTCTATTGGCCCGGGCAACGAATTAGCTATTTAGAAGTCTTCATGTGATTAGAGATATTTTCTAAGGTCCTACATCAGGATGGTTCTAGCTTGACTACTTACAATTTTTGTATTTTTATATAAAAAGTAATTAAGTTGCAAATTACAACCTTCATTGTTATCATGTTTCTTGTCTATTAAGGTTTTGCTTCTATTCTTTTTTGCTTTCACCATTTTTAAGCGATGAAATTCTTCCCTCTCCTATAATTAACAAAATATAATTAGAATATTCTTGAACAATAAGATCGCAGTTGGTAATTATTATTAAATATTCTTAGCTACCTGCTCGCCCATCTCCGTAAGAATATAAATTTCAGTGTTACGTAATTTAGGCATGATAACTTTCTCAATTCCGTTCACTTTACTGAAATTTTAGAAATAAAATTTTAGCATATAAAAAATAAATCTTAGCGCACCATTTACATATTTAACTAAAATACGTTTTAGTGTTGCTTCAAGTACGTTCTTCCATTATAGAAATAGTAATGTAAGCTTAAGACACCGATAATTTTTTTTAAATAGGAACCGTTACCCTCCAAAAACTGTCAGTAGTACTAATAGTTTTAAAGCGAGCAGGCGGTTCACACCTGACTACCGCCGCCCGTAGGAATCTGAAATATACTAGGGCTTGCAGATGTGTAACCTCTAAAAAGGGGGGTGGGCCTCGGTTACCTCACTAACTAGATGAAATGCGAAAATAAAAATATTTCCACGTCGGTCTTCTGTTAGCCACGGCCTCACTTCCGCCGACGAGACTGCCTATTCTTGTAACAGAAGCTGAAGCGTAGCTCTAATACAATACAATAGTAGGTGCATAGTATATCCGTACCTACTGTACCTGCCTTGGAGGCAGGAGCACATCCGAAGTTTACAGATGGTGATGATTTAGCATTGAAAGTACAATTATAGAAATATGGAATTTTCTTCGTGACGCTAACAATTTTTTACATTTAGTTTAAAGGGATAATATTTGGTTTTGAGAGGTCAGGTGAAAGAAAATCAGACTCTCACGAGTCTTTTCTTCAGAGAAGATTGCCATATACAAACCGTAACGTAGATTTAATGGCTTCGTCTAGTAACAGGCACGTGTTCCTCAAAGAGGCGAATTTCACAAGAATACGAATAACTTCCCTAAACGCTTTTTTGGCTTCGCTAGTTCGGTGCCCTCCGGCACCCAAGCCTGCATATTGCAGAGAGTCGTTTGCAGTAGAATCTTCAACTGCTTGTAAAGATACCGTGGTAACTCCAGAAATGTTCTCCGGTGTTCTTAAAACCCGGACTTGAGCCTATAAACACCAAGAATACCTCTTCTAATTAAGGTTATGTTTAATAACCATATTTCTCCAGTATCGATAATAATGAAGTAGATATAAATTAGCCACATCACTATTGAAGCGTCTGCACCATATACATATATTGTATGTAAATGTATGTGTTTATTTAATAAAAAATCTAGAATTGAAATTTAAATTCAAGAAATTGACAAAGCATATTTTTAAAGCCTGGTTAAGGATTTGGGGCTAATATTCCGAATAGTAGAGACCCGGTGTGGGTCGCCCCTTCCACCCTTCGCTAATTTATTTTTTAAATAAAATGATATATACTAATCATTTTATTTAAAAAAATGAATTTAACTCTATCTAAAAACTCGCAATGTGTCCGACCGCGAAGATTTTACTTGTCCTTTAAAAATGGCAACGCTTGTTAATAGTGTGCATACGGGGAATCCCGGAAAGTACCTGTCCGACATTTTCGAGGACCAACGCATTAGATTCGCCATTTGTGAATTTTATCGCAGCCAAAGTTATGTAAGCCTCACGCAGCGTGTGTCCCAGCACCGCTTGAGTAGTGGACAGTTCATGTGCGGCCTGTCTACCTCTTATGCGTAGCGCTTCGGTTTTACGTTTTAACAACTGGTACCCGCGAGTGACTTTTTCCTGTCGGTGTTTTATTTCTCTCAGCATAAACAGGGACGCCGTTACTGGATAGCGATTGTCGGCATTCATGTTGTTCTAATTTTTACTTGTCAAATTCAGTAACAAATCGATTGATTTCGATCGCTTGACGTCTGTCAAATATTTTTATGGCTTGGAGAAACTTATTTTAATTGAGGAAAAGAGTATATTTTATAAAGAAGTAAATTTTCTAATATGACAATTTTATACGATACCAGCATTTATAGTAATATAATTATTGTTTTAATAATTATTAAACAATGCGCTAATATACAATGTATTGTACATAAGGTGATTCTTACAAAGCATCAAAGACGCAGTGTTAACAAATTTATCTAGCTGTTTTCACTGTTAATATGATTATACGGTATACATCCGTGTAAAAAGACCATTTTGATGAGACAAAAAACATTATTACCGACGATAGACATTTATAAACATTTCTCTATACATTTCATAAAAGTAATATTATCTATATTTCCGCAGTCTCTCTTACTTTAACGTAAAAATAAACTTATCCATAAATATAATAGTAGGCCACCCTACTAAGGAAACAGGCACAGTGCAATACTTCAAACTTGAAACTAGAAAAGTTAATTCAATTATAATACACGTCACATCGTCTCTCCACTTAATTCGCACAATTATTATGCCAATAATAATAACACGCACATCATCATTTGTCCGCAAACGTAAGAAATGAATGCTCACCACGCAATATATTTCATTCCAGGTCGTTTTCGATTACGCAGTCCAAATCTCAACTGTCCTGCCAGTAGTTGTAGCTGCCATTGGGCGGTGGCACCGGCATCGGGGGTCCATTAGGGCCCACACTGCCCGCACCGTATGGAGAGTTCTGCGGGGAACCATAGCGGGGTCTGAACCACGGCCTGCTGTTGTACTGGTACTGATTGTTGGCGTACGCCGCTAGATTTTGACCGGTCGCGTTTGGATACGGGTTAGAACCTTGCGTCGGTGGGAATGGCACATTTGACAGGTTGGGCATATTAGCGCTAGGGTACGCCTGATTGGGCCCAGGCGTGGTCGACGGCGAGAAGTTCGTCTGAGGTGCGTTCGTCGCGGTCGTGGCATTCGCGGCGTAGCTCTGATTTGTCTGGCCGCTGTTGCCGTTCGGTGGATTGTACGCGGCCTGAGTGGTGGCCGTTTGGCTCGCGTAGTTTGCGGTGGTGCTGCTGCCGTTGCCGGTGCTGTAGCTTTGTTGGTTGACTGGCTGGCTGGCTGCGGTGTAGCCAGGCGGCTGGGACGCGTCGGCGGCGAAGCTCTGCTGCTGCGGCTGCACGGCGGCCGTGCTGGACAGCGCGTAGCCATTCTCCTGCGACGACGACATGTAGCCGGTCTGGTTCGTCGCGCCGTTGGAGTTGTCGCTGTCGGCCGCGGCGCCGCTCTGTCCGTTGCCGTTGGTGGGCGTCGTGGGCGTCGACTGGTTGGACGCGAGCGAGTACTGCACGCCGGGATTGTTGGCCGGGACGCTCATCGCGCCGTTGTTCGCCTGCACCATGTACTGCGGCGGCATCCCGGTGTACTGGGAGGTGGGCGTGACGAAGCCCGGGCTCTGCGGCACGATCTGCACGGGCTGCGGCTGAGTGGCGGGCACGGCTTGAGAGGGATTGGTCAGCGGCGAGGACGGCGGCTGCGCTTGCACTATCGGGATCGTTCCGGAAACGGTGAGGTTGGAGTTGGCGAGCTGCTGGCCGGCCAGCGCCGCGTTCAGCTGTTGCGCGGACAGTTGCGCGTTGAGGTTGAGGCCGGTCTGCATGTAGCTCGAGTTGGGCGGCATGTTCATCGACATCAGTGGCACGTTGTACTGCACCCCGCCCGGCATGCCCAGTTGATTGGGCTGCATGACGGTCACGTTTTGGCCGGCCTGCAGCATTTGCTGACCTATCAACCCCGGCGGCAGTGTCCCTTGCATCAAATTGGGGTGGTTCGCTGGTATCATGTACACTTGGCTGTTGGGCTGCCCGATCATTGTGGACATCTGGCCGATGTTCAACGGGTTCTGCAGCACTGTCATGCCCTGCGGCACGGTTATCATTTGCACGTTCTGCGCGCTGCTCTGGATTTTGTTAGCGGTCAAGTCTTGCTTCTGGCCGTCCTTCGACGTCTGAATTTGGATCGCGTTTCTATCTATTTGCTTTATGTACATGCCGGTGCCGTCGTGAGAGATGCCCGAGGTAGATACGCTGTCGAGAGTAATAAGAATAAACTGTATTATAACAGCGATAGACGTTTTCGAGATCAGGAAGTAGACCTACTTTGTTTGTTGTCCTGACGACACGTGAATGATGGTACCATGCGCTGGATTTATTTTCATTCCCATACTGACGACGGTGCTGTCCCTAGCTACAGAATGAACAAGGAATATAAAGAATTATTAATGCAATCGAGATATTCTACAAAATGATACCATCTTATATTTTCATATAATATAAACGTGAAGTTTGCGGTTTGGCGCGTTCGTTGGAAAAGTTCCGCGGGCAAAGTCAAGAGAAACAATTGATACTCGAAGACGACACGATGATGCCGTTTGTTGCCATTGCATTTCCACGAGCCCTGTAGGTAAGAGATATAAAATCTGTCAAAAATGGGGGGGAGGCAAGATACGATTTAAGAGGCCCCATACATGCTGCGTCGTCCACGGCATTCACCGCAATTTAAAAAAAAATTAACCTGTCCAAAGGAAGAAATGAGTTAAAAAAACCTTTTTCCGCAAACAAAACATTTGCGAAAGCTTGTATCTACACTCGCTATTAAATAACGATAATAACACGATGTAAGCGGTTCAAAAGCGGCCAGGCATGCGAAGATATAGGGCTGCGAATTAGAGACCTAGTACTTCAAATTTTATAATCTGTGGGGAGTTAATGGACGTTGACTTGTTTGGTTCTATGTCGCCGCGTCCTGTAATGTGATATAAAAATAAATATTTATAAAAGTTGCGGTTAACTAAACTAGTACTTTATATGTTAAAGTAGTTGAAGTGTAGATCCATTTCCAGTAGCAAAGAACTCCAGACTTCAACAAATAACAGGTAGTTTGTCTATAGCTGGTAGCTTGTCTATAATAGAAATATAACATTTATATTGTGATATCTCGAGTCTTCAACTCCGTCAGGAACGTCATGACATCTAACCTTAATAAACATGTACTTTTTTTAATAATATAAATTAATTTCTTCAACAATCATATACAGAAAAATAACATAATCCTATTACGCGACCGTACACGTTGACTGCTATATAATGAGATATACAATGAGATGTCTAATAAGATATGTTAAAATGATTTAGCGGTTATCGCCATATTAAATCTTGTCGCATCAATTTTATAGTGGCACTAATATCTATCAAAGATTACACATAAAAAATCAATGTATATAATATGTGTCAACGTCATTGCTGTAAAGCCATCGATGTTGATGTCAAGTACATGTGTGTATATTCATTATTTTTCTGTATTATTCTATATATAATTCAATAAAGAAGAACCAATGAACAAATTTATTACAAATGTTATGTGAGTCTTCCGCAAAACAGCAATTGAGATTGTCGAAGTGGCTATATAAAATGCAAGTATCATCATCATCATTTTAGCCCTTTTGAATCAAAAGCTGAACATAGGCCTCCCCCACAGACTGCCACTAAGCCCGATCCTGAGCCACCTGCATCCATCGACTTCCCGCACACTTGCCCAGGTCCCTTGGTTAATTCAACTATATTGTAAAATAATGAGAAATATCAATAGCAATCAATTCCAGTCCAGGCCCTAGCGAAACGCATATTGCAATACGCAAACTAACTAATTGACTACGCGTTATGGTTCTATTTAATTTACGCTAAATGCTCAACTGACGCATTGAAAAATAAAAGTATGTATGTACGCACGTAAGGGGTTATACTTTTTTAGCGTAAGGACATTAAAAACAATTGGTCGTTTATATCATCATCATCATTTCAGCCTGTTTGAATCCATTGCTGAACATAGGCCTCCCCCACAGACTGCCACGAAGCACGATCCTGAGCCACCTGCATCCATCGACTTCCAGCACACTTGCACATGTCGTCACTCCATCTAGTGGGGTGTCGTCCATTTGCAACTAACTTCATGGCGCTATTTTACTTTCGGTGCACGCGAGCATCGTAAAAATTTCACTCTTATGATTCTTTCCATACGCGCCAAAAGAAGTATAACTAAACTAAAACAAAGTATAACTACTAAATCAAAGAGACTATACTGCACATAAAAAGAAAACAAAACAGGCTTATTACTGGCTCGCCTCCCCCACTGGAAGCAAAGCATAGGCTTAATTAATACTACATTGCTATTGTAATGTTTCTAATGCATGTTTAAAATTTAAATCTTATCAGTCAATTTTGCCTCCAGATCGCAGGTCAGTATACCCTGTAATAAAACCTTTAACCTGACAAACCAGGAGCTTTAAGAGAAATATTAATAAAAAACTAGATATCTGAGCAATTGCTACAGTAAACTACAACTTTTAAAATATAGGCGCTGACTGTAAAATACTGGTCACCCTCCATATCCGCATTTTTAGATAGTTCTTATCAGAAAATCTAAATATAAAAAAATCATACGTCGTATAAGATAAATTGTTAGAATTAGCGCCGCCAACTGAAAAATCACATATAAAACGTAAAACGGTCATGACAGATACAACGACGGTTTGGACGGTTCTGTAGCGATGGACCAACTGTCCCAAACACAAAACGTCTGCCAACAATTGATGTTCTAAAAATGCCTGTAAATGTTGATTGGCATTACTAGAAAACATTTTTAAAAGTATAACATTTTCAACAGAATGCAAAATGGTTACAAAATAAGAAAAAAATGTATAAGTTCATTAAATGTGTCGTTACAACCGCGACACTAAATGAACACACATATATAGTATAACTTTTAAAATTATATTAAACATCAATATTTACAGAGTTATTAAGATTTTCCAAAACGAACAATTTTAGAACATCCTTACGTATATATAAAACTGTGACGTCATTTGTAAAGGTCACAAAGCATAATATGAATGGGTTGAATGAATTAAAAAGAGATAAAACATATTAGAAGGAGAGGCTAGTAATGCGACGCTGTGGCAACGAATGAAAAAGTCTCTGAATGTATGAATCAGTCGGTTGTAGTTGTATAGGATGTTACAAATTTTGTTTCTTTTTTTTTGATTAGTTTGTTCGAAAAAATTTTTTCGAACAAAGTAATCAAATAAAAATAAAAGACAAAAATAAGTGATCCGGACTGATTTCTTCCTTACTTTTCATTTGTATCAACGGCAATAGGCAAAAACTCTAAAAAATAACAAAAAACCTTATATTATAATGAAAGAAAAAGTGCTTATATTTTGAAGAAGAAAATGCAAGATTATAAATATAGAAGAAGAATCCTGTTACACTTTATATCTGAGAAGTGTACATATGCATATCTTTACACCATAAGGGTTAAAAGAAGCGAGTTTTGTTTATTAATATCGTCAGATAGGATTTGCTGCTGACGGCTAGATACATGATCCAATACGGTCACAGGGCCAAATTTATAAATTGTGCACCACAGCTCCTCTCCAATACAAAGTGAGACAGGGAGACGGTAAATCTCAATTTACCTGCTGTTGTTGTCCAGGAACGCGAGTCTCTCGTGGAACTCTTGTCCTGGCTTACATGTGACCTGCGGCATCATATTTGTTGAATACACACACAAATGCAATTAATTTAAGACGAAATCAAACCATTGTGTTAGGAAAAGAACATTTTAAAAACTTGGCTCATTTTTAATAACTTAAAGAATACATTGCATTGCAAACATAACAAATGGTTGATTTTCCACTCAGATGCAGAATATTGCTAAAGAGCTGAAGATGATAGTTTACATAAAAGCAGGCAGTCAAGTTATTTAAGAGACTGGCAAGTATTTTGCACTTCATAAGAGAACCTGATTTACATTACACTCTAAGCTGTAGGCTTTCAATTTTGAAAGAAAAGAAACCAAAAACACGCCAATTGCTGTCGAACTTTTCTTGGTATTGTTTTTTTGAAATGTTCCATAATAGCGTACATTATCAACCCCGTGAAAATAATATAAAGAAAGCTGAAAAGTAGGTTATTCAAAAGCAAGTGGAAAATAAGATATTGCTTACCCTGCTGGAGCAATAGGCCTGAGTTGCAATTGACTCGGAGTACCATCAGAAAGTCTCTTTTGTCCACGAGACTCTTGACTCAAATTCTTGGTGGGTGTAGATGACTGAAATAAATAATTTCAATTAATATTAGATAGTTGATGGCTCGGTGGTTTACGGAGCAAATCATAAGTAAGTTTTTGATAAATAAAGCGAAACAATAAATAAAACAAACGAAATTAGAAATTAGTAGAATAGAGAATGTAAGTAGTGCATGTGGAGTTTTAAAAAAATATGTCACTTTCATCCCTATTTTACTTTTTTACTGGTTTAGTTGGTTACACGAAATATATTTACCACCACAAGAATGTAAAGAAAACAGTAGGAAATCATTGAGAAGGGTTAAAATGAAGTTTTGCACCTCACCAAGTATATTATTATTAGTAAAAATGAAAAACATAGTTTGTCAGCAGGGAATGTAAACATAACTCAGAATGTACATCATTTTAATAAAAATTATTTACTCTTTTGTTACAAAAAAATAAAAAAAGAGAAAGGGGGGGTGTGCAACAAAAAACAGGAAGCTTGTGAGGGATGAAGAAATTATGAGGTAATAGTGAAAGAATGAGTGAAATATATTTTAGTAGAACAATTTGTAATACAAATGCTCACAGATATAATTTGCGGAGAAGATGCTTGTCCAGTTGAAATTATATTTATGAGGGAGGCACTGCTTACTAATGGCTGCAGAAAAAGGTTTACATTTACAAATATTATGAATTTATAGTGTGGCTTCATATACTTATTAAATTTAGGCTTAGGAAGTTCAAAATGAATAATTGCAAACATAAAAAATGGTATAGATATAGAAAAATATATAAATAGCCTACATGGCCTTTAATAAGTAAATGATGTATTTGCTTTCAGTCTGTAGATTATTAAAGCTTCATCAAATTCACATCTTGTGAAATAGCCAGACTCTATGAGTTTGACACAGCCCTCTGCACATATGCTCATGCGTGCGTTATCTATTCTATTCGCCTCTATTTCTTAATAAAACTTTCACCAACAATATTAACTACTTCAACTCAAAATTTGCAATCAACCCTTCCCAGATTTGTTTTGGAAAAGGCGGGAAACGAGCGTGTGGGTATGCTCACCGCCACTCATGGACATATGCAACATCGGAGGAGTCACATGTGCGTTGCCGACCTTTGAGGTTGCTCCTTGTTGGTCCTAAGTCATATAATTTTGGATATACCACTGGCAACAAGTGCATGTGTGTGGCAGAAAAACACGTGAAAGCGCACATTGGTGGACTACCATCCGATGGAGAATTGGTATTGAGGGTAACAAAATCTAAAAATTAAATAAGGGACGTAGGGGGATAGGACGCCCTCTCCAACCGGTATCTCGTCTTGTCAAGGCAGAGGGCTTTAGTAGCCGTGGCTTGATCACCCACGGTGAAGCCAAGAGGAACCCACACTGGGCTGGCCTGTGGTGCAAGGCCAGGTCGAGGGTGGTATAAGAGGAATCACTCTGTCTGTATTCTGATACCGACGTGGAGTCACAGAGGAAGTGTGTGGTTTTACATTTGGCCACTTTTCCTATTCTCCGTGAGTCCGTGCACCGCTGATGCAGTAGAAGTGGAGTGTCGGTATTACGATACGCCGTTCTTCCTACTCTCCGCGGCCAAAACGTGGTGAGCGGCGTAGCTACAGACCAGGTCCGCCGCTGTGGGCTGAGAGGCTTGATGCTTATTAGCAATAGCTGTTTTGGCTCCCATGGCCTCTGGTCAGCGAACGCGAGGAAGTTCGTTGGCCGTAAAAAAAGGAGTCGAGGAGGAAGACGCGTTGAATGTTCCAGCTTGCCTTACCTGAAAGCGGAACTGGAGGCAAAAGGGTACTCCTTTTCAAAATAACTATTGAAATCCCTATAGTTGAGGCCCAATAAGTCGCCTGCTTAAGGCAGATGCCACCAATAAGCTAAACGGCTGATTGCCGCACCGACGGAAATCTTAACGTCTTTTATCAAATTTTTTTTTTAGCATTTGAAGCAATGCATGGTGCATCCATTGTTACATCCTTTACAGTGTACAAACAATTTCGAATATCGTTTTACAACGGTAATTCGAACGAAAGGTCGCGATACTTTCCCTGTTTGAGCCGGTCCATTCAGCATTAGCAAAAGCGGATGCATAGCTTTACCAATGATAAACAAATAAATACTTGTAAATTATGAAAAATAAGAATTTTAACTGCATAAAATGATTTATTAAATTTAAATAACACCTTACCTTTTGATTAAATTGCATTATAGTGCCAGTGGTCTGTAATTGTTGCAACTGTGTTGCTGACAGAGGAAGTGAGGTCTGCTGGAATCCACTAGCTGGAGCTATCTGTAAAAACATACCATGGTTATGTTAATTGTAATGGTGCTGGTAACATTTCCATGAAAAAGAGGTTATCATTGCAATTGTTTGCAGTTTTATTTATAATAGCTTAACATTAGAGCCTGTAGTAATGCGTAGATCGGTCACTGGAAAGTATCCATGTTAAAAAGAGTATAAAATGCACTGATATATTTCTTATTAAATTAACATTTAATAAGTTATATATCATAACATTATAAGTAGATAGCAAACTCAATTCTTAAATCTTTTAAGCTATCTGTGACATACAAATTAAAACCTAAATTGTAAATAGTAAATTAATTGTAATAGCATAAAAAATAGTTGTTTAAAATGAGTGAATGAATAGAAAAGCAAGGATCTTAATTCTGGTACCCCAAAGAGAAAAAATCAGCTCAACTGATTGGCTTTTTTATATGAGATAGTGGCAATTGCTATGGCAGTTTACCTGATGTCAAGTGATAACCGCTGCCCATTGACATTTGCAAACCCGCAGGGTTAAATGCTTTACTATTTTATAATAAAATGGGCCCCGAATATGTCACCAGAGAAGTATAACACTTCCACGTCACACCAATCTTTTGTGAGGTTTTGTTACTTAGACGGAGCTAACCATTTTTGCAATAGTGAACACTATTGTGTGGCTCTACCATGTTTAAATATTTTGGTGTTCAAAATAATCCATATGTAAATGACTGAACCTAATACAATAAATTGGAATATTTTCTAAGGAATTAATGAAGAACTCACTGAAACAAATTGTTGTGGTTGTAAGTTTGTTAATCCTGTTTGGTTCGATGTTAACTCTTGAAACTGTTGATATGGAATAAGCATTGTCTGAGAACCAGGCATGGCCCACTGCACTGTGTCAGCTCCTTGTATGTGATACTTCACTTCCTTGTCGCCTTTATCAGTACTGTATAGGATTTTGTGAGAAGCACTTGTGTTCTGAGCAGCACAAACAACTGGAGTTGTTGTTGCAGAGCTCACAGTAGTAGTATCACCTGTGGCCAGACTTGCTTGGGGGAAAGTTAGCCCATTGGGTAAGATCATTGACATAGATGACGGGACCCCACTAAGCCTTAACTGTGTAACATTCACAGGCTGCATATTAGATATATCCACAATTTGAGTGTGACCAAAATTTGGTTGCTGTATTGCACTTAATTGTTGTGCAATGGGCAGAGAAGTGAAATTAGTGTTGGAAACTTGCACTCCTGGTTGCACTATAGGAATCAATTGACCACTCTCTTGATTTAATACATATTGTTGTTGTGGCAGGAGTTGTAATACTGTTGGTTGACGAACTGTCATGAGAGGTGTGCTTGCTGGGGCCATACTGACGACTGGAGGTATAACAGTAGGTTGTCCAGATGTAGCTAGGGACGATGGTGTAGACAGCGCTACAGTAGAAGTTGGCGGTGGCACGGGTGGCGGGGCGGCTGTTGTAGTCAATGTCGGAGGAGGTATGTTGAGAGCTGGTGGTGGTCCTCCAGCTTGCGCGGCACTCCACTGGGCTAACTCTGCCCGTATAGTTTCGATTAAGTTTTGAGCAAGTGAACGCGCCGCTGCTAAAGCTTCCGATCTCGTGTGATGAAGAGCCAAATGCAAGGGTTCAAATTTATCACTCTTTAAAACTGCAACGACTCCCGTCTCCGATCTGATATACTCTAAGTTGGTGCCATTCTGTTAACAATATGTTAATATTTAATTGGAAATACCATATGAAATTGGAAATAGCTGCAAAATAAAGAAGATACATACTGGACCAAGCAAACGGCCTTTTATATCAAATGCGGCCGGCGCGTTGTCCAAGCCTATATAAACTTTATCAATAAGTCCTCCTGACATAATTTATGAAGATTTATTTTAAAAAATTACACTTTTTAAGTTATTTGTAATGAATGCATCTTTTTATAAAATGCGTGTTTTGACAGTTCGAAATATTCTAAAATCCTATGCACTAGAAGTGGGCGATACAAATCGTATCAGATATGAAAACTAGATATTAGTACAATATCCCAATATCGCTTACTGGCTCGTTCAATATCTATGTATTTTACAATATCTGATATTTCCGAAATCTGATTTGTACCGTGCTCGCTCGCTATACCGACACGAATCGCGATACGGCGATATCATACGCGTTTGCCACAATATCTGATTTTTAAACAGATTTCGAGAGACAAAGCGCGTGAGATACAAATACTCACTAGTTAGAGCGGGACGGCAAGCAATGCACGATATCAGATATCGAGCGACAAAGCGCTTGAGATATAAACACTTACTAGTTAGAGTGGGACGGCAAGCAATGCACGATATCAGATATCGAGCGACAAAGCGCGTGAGATATAAACACTTACTAGTTAGAGTGGGACGGCAAGCAATGCACGATATCAGATATCGAGCGACAAAGCGCGTGAGATATAAACACTTACTAGTTAGAGTGGGACGGCAAGCAATGCACGATATCAGACATCGAGCGACAAAGCGCGTGAGATATAAATACTTACTAGTTAGAGTGGGACGGCAAGCAATGCACGATATCAGATATCGAGCGACAAAGCGCGTGAGATATAAATACTTACTAGGTAGAGTGGGATGGCAAGCAATGCACGATATCAGATATCGAGCGACAAAGCGCGTGAGATATAAACACTTACTAGTTAGAGTGGGACGGCAAGCAATGCACGATATCAGATTTTTAAACAGATATTATGAATAAGTTAAGTAATTTTGAATCTTAACACTATGCAAATAAGATCCGTTTCATTTAAATACTAATCTTGGTATCAGCGATTACTACAACGATATTATTATATTTTTATTGTTTTGTTTAGCCTTGAGCCGTAACGGGCGACAAAGCGCGCAGTTAAGTAATTTGGAATCTTAACAGCATGGAAAAAAAAAAACTCTGTTGCATTTAAATACGAATTACGGTATTAACGATGTCTTTGAAATTTTGTTCAGCCTTGAGCTGGATTGCATTGGTACTTAACACGTAATAGTAAGGGATGCCAACTTACTACTTAAGAATTTTCTGCCTAAATTAAGGAAGAAAAATATACAATGGAAATTTTTTGGGAGGTAAATTTTTTGTGAATATTTTTATTAGCTAAATTTTATTCATATTTTTGGAAAAAAATAAAAGTACACAAAAAGAAAAATATAATTTAATAGTGCTGTGCTGCTTTGGTGGAAATCAGACCAAGGCTTATGTGCCTTGTGTGTATATTTTAAATTATTCCGCCCTAAGCTATAATACTGAATGTATTATTTCTTACACAAATAATAAAAATATTGCCACTCGATTGCGTGTTCTAAAAATATGTTAAAGTCAATTATTAAGCGGTATATAAGATGTTAAAATAAATCATTTTTATATTACTTCAATTTATATTTTTAATGAAATTTTTAATTTAATAATTTAAAAAAACGCATTTTTAGTAAGACAGGGTTAATTATTAATGATCGTCGAACAAGACTTTCGACGAATAAAGTCAGAGAGCTTACGTTCCTAAACGTGAATTTGAACCCGGAGGGATATAAATAATTATTAACCCTGACATAATTGTAAATATATAATGTTAAGTTTTAAATATAAGGAAAATTATGTATATAGAATGAATCAACTTTTAAATACGCCTGCACAATTTTATATTTATAATAAGTATGAAATACTGCAGCCAGTCCTAAGCCTGGAAAAAGTATGAAGGGAAGTTATTTCATTCATCTTATATCCACTCCCTTAAAGTATACAATTTTTTTTTTTTTTTTTTCAGAATTCAATAAATCAACGTAGATAGGGAACCGTAAAATATCTAGATATTAAAATACATAGTTTCGAAATCTGATATTTGAAATCGATATCGGATTCAGATACGGTACTCAGAAAAAGCGATACGACCCATCCCTACTATGCACAGATCAAAATTCATATTGCAGATAGACATAAATAATTACATCAATAATTTTTGAACGTATATTTCGGTTTGTTTTTGTTCATAATTTTATAAAATACATAGAATTTTATTTTACTTAATCATTAAACGTAAATTGTTACGAAGTGGTAATTTTGATTAAAATATGAATTTTTAAACACCGCCTTAAGGTAGATAGGTAGAATTTTTAAAATAAGAAAGAAGTTAATGTAAACCACATTCATTTCTTCTTCTTCTTATAAGATCAGCAAAACATGATAAACATGTTTTTTTTTTGTAAGTGTAGTTTGCTGTTTGTCTGGCGGCGGAAGAGGTCCGTGGGCTGACGATCTGTGGCGCGGATTCTGTAGTACAACATGGCTGGTAGGTACATGACGACGACACGATTGCACCGTCCATTCCGTTGCAACTCCGCAACATGCTGCTAACAAGAGATTGACGATGAACTAACCGGTGGGAAGAAGAGCAGGGGCACGACATGATCCAAGGGACCCTCGGAAGGAGGTTCGAACCTCCTTAGAGGCTTTCCAATATAATAAGATCAAAATTGATCACGAGACATATCTACGTTAAAATATCATTAACGATAAATTAGTTATATAAAAATTCATTGATGAGGAAATACTTAATCATTTTCCACGATTTGTTTATTTGCGTTATGACAGTGTTAATAAAAATACTATTTCGCATTCAACACAACATTCGGACTTTTACGGTGGTAGGGCCACGCATCAGCTTCGGCTGTTACACGAATGGAAAGGCTCGTCCGGGTAAGTACCACGACCTCACGGAAGACCGGAGTAAGGTGGAAGTACAGGTAGCCGGAGCCCAATTTTCAAAAGGTTATCAACGCATCTGTAACCCTCGGATGTAGCAGATGTCCATGGGCGACTGTTCACCATTCACTTAACATCAGGTGAACCGTCTGCTCGTTTGACAACTTTTCACCCTTCAACAATTCAACTTCAATAATAAAAAATCTCATAATTAATTACGTAACATGCGAACGATCGCATGTACATTCCTATTAAATAACAAGATCAACTAATTACTAAATGTAAGCGATGCAGAAGCGGCCAGGAAAACGAGATATCGTGTGTAGACTGCGATCCAGGGACCTCGCAAAAACCGTCGAGTGCATTGAGCATCTTTTTTTTATCTGGTAAAATATTAGATTAAAAGTTTAAACTAATATTTAAGAACATTGCCTGCCCTGCCCATTCGTGCAATTGCTACGTGGCTCTACCACTTTAGAAAAAATTGTGCCATTAAGTTAAATACTACATCTTTTTCGAATCTTTCATAGTATTTACACCACACTGGGCACCAACATTGCATATAGTAATAGATTAGCACGTTGTTAAACAACCGAGACTTGTAGATTTCTCTAGTCTACTAATTTTTACCAAAAACGCCCGTTTAATTACCGCACAAATCTACAGGTGCCACCACTAGAAACTATCATCAATCCATCTGACCAAATTTGCTTCGTCGGTTTTTTCCTTGTTTTGAAATTTGGGTAACTTGTACCAGGGGTGGAGCCATTTCAATTTTGTTTTTTTTATGTGAGAAGGTGGCAAGCGAAATAACAGTTCACTTCATGTTAAATGATAACAGCCGCCCTTTGACATTTGCATCACTCGTTGCAGATGCGTTATCATCTCGTTGCTACCCACAGCGAAGACTGTTGTGCGGTATTACCACAGTAAAATTTCGACGTGAAAAACATCAAAAAGTTTTGATCGGTTGCCATGGTAATATCGTGAAGTTTTTCGCTTTGCTATCTACTTTATCATGTCGCTTTTTGACTGTCACGTGTACGTGCGCATCGTACCTAAATATTTTACCTTTATATTTTTTCTTCAAGCGCGCCAATAAAGTAGTACTTATAAATATACTATATGATAGTAAGTAATCTAAAAAACTTTTAAAATTTAGTTCGCAATAAAAAATTTGTTCTATTTTTTTAACCGACTTCAAAAAACGAGGCGGTTTCTCAATTCGACCGTATATATTTTTATTTTTTTTGTGTGTTCGCGGATAACTTCGCCGTTTATGAACCGATTTTGATGATTCTTTTTTTGTCGGAAAGGAAATATCCCAAGGGTGGTACCACGATAAAGAAACTCGGATCTGATGATGGCATCCCAGAGAAAGCGCGGGCCATCACTGAATGTTATAGGTGTTAACAATGTTTTTAATTTTCTGATTGAAGGCGGTTTTTTTTGTTAAAAATTATACTTGTCTTAAAATTAAGTAGGCGCATAGGCGTCTAGTTGATTGTTAGGGGGTTTTTATGATTCTTCGTTAAGATCATTCGTAACACAAATTTAATGTATTTGTTTCTACTGTTGTTATTCCTCCATTTTTGGATAACTAAAGACTTAGAATTTTAATCATATTATTTCAGTAGTAGTTAATGTATGCGTGGAGTATCCAAGTAACTGACTTGGAATTAAGGCACTTAAAATTTATTTAATGACTTCTAAAAAAACTTCTAAATCTACTTAGTTCTTCTAAATCGGTTATTAAACAAAAGGTCAAAGAAGTTTTAATGTAATAAAACCAGTTAAAATGAAAAACCAATAATTAGTTAACAACTTATATTTCTAAAAAACATGATATGCCAATATCTATATTAATATATGTTATTATGAAAAAATATAACTGTGTCCAATGAGTACATCTATTAGTTAAAAACACCATTGTTGAATGTCATATACATAAATATAATGTAACAATAACAATATTATTTTTGTCATATTTTTTAGTCAATAGTTCACAGATCTTTAAGGCTTTTACAAATAAGTGTTTAATAGGTTTTTACAATATTTGTACAATCATAGGAAAAACAAAACAAAATAATGTGGTGGGAATACAATAATTATGACAATATATAATGAGGAATCGCATTTTTAATTTTGGGCAATCAATATTACAAAATTAATACAAATTTATTATATTTCTTATGTTGGTAGAATTTTAGTTTTGACACAATAAACAACAATCTGCAACTTTGCACATTTTTGTTATCTTCTAATATTTGTAAAAAAAATTTATACAAATACAATACAGCTGCAGTCTACTGTTATTCAAACTTGAAAGGTGATAACAATAATGTATATTGTTGGTTACTTACTGATCCAAATAAACCACAGCTTATTGAAGGAATTTTATAATTAAACCAGAAATATGTGTACTGTATTAAAAAAGTGAAATCTATCATGATTGTCCAAAGTACTTAATAGTACTTTATTTATTTCGCACATCAGTTATTAATTCCTCATTATGTGTAAATGGGAAAAACTAAATGAAAATAAACACTTTATACTTATTCTAAAAAGTGACTATTCTAAAAATCTAGGACTAGAGGGTCAATAAATTTTTTCTTGTTATAAATCTGTTTGAACTCAAGCAAATTAAGGACGGAGAATGCACTCCAAGCGCTTTTAATCTTATTCATAAAAAAAATTGCATAAATAATATAAGTACAATCCAACATGGGATTGTGTTTGTTGCTAGAACGATGCTAAGTTTGAAGTTACCCTTTAAAAATAGTCAACAATTTTTACCGTTTATATATACTGCTGCATCTTATGAGGTAGAGGGAGTGAATAAATTAATAAAATATATTAAAAGTTCTTCTTTGTACATGAGTCAAATATCATATTGCTAAAACTTTGTTCTATTGTCAGTTTTAATAATTTCCTTTTTATCATATCTACCATAACAAACATTAGTAATAATTATAATGATATCAATGTTAAAGTTGTGCTAGTATTCATTGAATATTTGCAATTGAAAACATTAATTTGACAAAAAGCATATTTCTTATATATGCCATTCTCAATTTTAATGGCGCATTAAAATAAAATGCTTGTATAATATATTCGTTTTACTTTTCAATCAAATATTTAAAAGTTCCTTACTCTTTTTGCTGAGTGTGAAAAAGGATTAGAGAAGACCATTCATGAAATATTGTAACAGATAGCCTTAAAACATACATTTGTGTGTATAAATTTTATTGTGGCATACAAGTGCAGGTTGTAAGTTGTAAGGCAATAACAACGAAACTTATAAACAATGAAAACATCGTTAAATAAAATCACAACTTTTTAACTCTGCTTACACAAATAATGAAACTACATTTAATTACCACTAATATGAAAATGGTAGACATTGTTTCATTTGAAAAAGTCTTGTTGTGAAGGTTTTTATTTTGAATTTATCACTGTGAACTTCTACAATGCTACAGTAAGTATTGTCCAAATCTATACCCTTTAAATCCTGGCACAGAGTTCGTAAATATTTGTTGTAAAGGATAAGAATATGTTACATCTATTTGAATTTGCTTATAAAGAAACCTCAAGTTCTTTACCGCTTAAAGAAAGTTTATTGTCAGAGTATTACCACCCTGCTGTTGCATTATGAATGAAATTTATATCAGTTTGTAAAAATGTAATGAATTATTTCACCGATTAATTCCACACTTATAGACTTACATATTTATAATTAGAGGCACTATTAAATAGTATTTATAACATACTAATTAAGTACATATCATTAAGAAAGGTACATATTAAGAAAGTATTTGTTAATGTCTTCTATTATTAAATTAGCAATGAGCACACATTAGTCCATCAATCTGTGTTGATCCTTAATAGTTATATCCCAATATATCCAAATAAGCCACATGTATTGGCACTTGTTACAACTTATACAGTCAAAAATAGTATGTTGGTTAAAAAAACAGTGTTAGAAATTCCTCGGGCTGTAACAACACTATGATAACAATCTAGTTTTTATATATCACATTAAAACTGTGAAAAACATAACAATCTCCAACTCGAGAGTTAAGTAAATGTATTTCACTTTAAGTTCCCTAATAACATAACAATATTTATTAAGGGTTGCCTAAAAAGAAAACTTAATGTTAAATAACCACTATATTAATCTTACTCTAGGCTTATTTTCCTTTCCTAATTTCTTTTTTATTAGTAATTCGTTTTTGAATTGTTAATAGACTGTATTTAAATAAAATACAATTAATTTGGTATAAATATGTGAATACAAGAGTGTATTAGAGTATCTTATTTGAACTTATTTATAGAAAAATATTTTAAATAACGTTATCTTACCTTACACAATTGCAGCATTTTGATGGTTAAGACTATAAGCATACCAAAATTATTAACATTCTTGTAAGTATGTAATATGAATGTATGTTATTGTGAAATGGTTTGCATGTAAAAACAGAATTTAGACTCGACCTCAGATTCTGACATTTATACATTAAAAATTCAAATAAGGTAGATATGAAGTACAGTAATTAGGGATCCGCAAAAAAATTACCTATTACATGGTAATGGTGGCAAGGTATATTATAAATTAGTAATTGTTGCTATTATTTGGATAACTAAATTATATTGAAATTATATTTCATATTCTTTAGTACTTCGTTCAACTGAAGTAAGCTATAAATATATATCCACTCCATTTGAGAAAGACAAACATTAGGTCAATTTCAAGTAACATTTTAAATATTTTCGTATCATGCGATTTGTAATTAGTCTTCTTTGTGATGAATGCACCAATGAAGAAAGTATATCATCAGTATGTTATAAAATAAAAGCTTATTTGCTGAATATAATATTGAAATTACGGATGTTGTAAAATCTACGAAATTATTTTAATTAACAATCTATTTAGTTTCCGTATAGATAAAGAATCGGTTTTGATATTTAAAGGTTTTTAAGGATCCCTAAAGGCATGAAGTTGTCAAAATTTACATCATAACACACTGTACCTGACGACCTTAAACGACGATCGGTGAGTTAATGGTCAAGCAAACGTATATTTTTCCCCGAGTGAAGTTGGCTCCGAGTTATAGACACGTGTCGTTTAGTGCAAAGTGTGAATTATCAGTTTACGAAGCGACGTAATATCAAAGTCCGCATTCATACAGCTACGTACGAGCGAGACAGGAAACTATTTAGTCTTTGGATGGCGATAATGTCCCGTTCTTTTTTTATTTGAACCGTTGACAAACGAGCGGGCAGCACCTAGCGGGTGCTTTGCTAACTGAACACAGCGCGACACTTTTGAGGAACTTCGTCTTGATTTGTGTGGGAGGGGTTGGGTGGAAGTCCCAACGTCCACGGCGACCCGGAAGATCTACTGTTCAACTCCCTGTTACGGGAGCACTTACTGGAGGCGGGCGCACCTGGAGCAGTAGTCGCCGTTGGCGGGGTTGCCGTAGTAGAGGCAGAGGGGCGCGCGGCAGGGGCGCGGCGAGGGGGGGCGGTCGTCGTAGAAGGTGGAGCGCGAGAGGTAGAGCGTGCGGTCGGGCGCGGGGCGGGGGGAGCGGGCCACGTGGCCGCGCGCCGCCTCGTGCGCGTCCGGCCCCGCCTCCGCGTAGAACTGCGAGCGGCCGGTGCCGTAGCGCGGCTGCGCCAGCCCCGCCGTCTCGCTACGGTTCCTCTCCGCGGTGTAGCTGTGCGCCGGCGAACGGGTGCGTCAGGGCGCGTAGTCGCTACGGACGCGTAGCGGCTACGCGTCCGGCGACGGGAAACACTGGCAGATTTATAAAAGTCGGCCGCGCTTACCTCATTCACCAGAAGAAAAGGCTTAATGTATAATACTTCCGTTTCAAGCGGTCTTCTAGCCGTGGTACTTCCCCGGCGACCTTGCTCATTCATGCAACAGCAGTAGCAGCTACTGTATACTGTTGCTCTACTGATATTCGTGATGGATAAGAGAAGTAGGTAATGAAAGTAGTAACAGTTTCGCATACTTTTTAAAAGCCTTTGCTTTTAGCAAGTAGTGGTACCTACCACCTGCATTCAAACATACACTACACTTTTTTATTAGTAAGAGATACCCCACGACTGCTCACCCAATCCAGGCTTCGTTGAGGTAGTTCTTGACCATCTCCTCCTGAACGGGCGCCCTGGCGGCTAGCACCCTACAGCAGAGCACCTCGCAGGTGGACTGGCGCCGCAGCAGACCCTCTTCCGGATTGCTCTGGCTGCCCCCCTTGCCGGCCAGCTTGGCCACCGATCCGAAGTTCTTTTTGAGCTTGCTGCTCATCGAGCGGCCGATGCTGCCGAACTGCTTCGCCACCGAGTTGAGCTGTTTCGAGCTCTTAGTGGAGAGGGCGTCCAGAGAGCGGCTCAGGTCCTCGGACCGCTGGCCCTGGGCGAGGCACTCGACCCGCTCCAGGTCCAAGTAGGCGGCGAGCATCGCGGACCTCTGGAACTCGTCTGGCAGCAGGCTGTTTATGGTCTTCTGGTCCGGTTCCGCCTCCCAGCGGAAGTCCTCGCCCGGGTCTACGTTGAACCTGAAACGAGGTTGCGTCTAAATAAAATATAGCATAGGTGTATGTTAAACTGATTGAAGGTTACGACCGATAAACCAAGTGATTAACTGTAACTATTTTTCGATCTTACCGACGTAATAATAAGAAAATATGAACTGATGTTTTTCACAAAAGAAAGAACTTTAAAAAAAAGGGAAAAAGATAACAAAATAACAAATCGACAAAAAATTAAAAACAAAGAAAGCAATGATCTGGAATTGAAAAAAAAGTAAAAAAAGTAAATGTGTAAATGATCGTGACGCGAACCACGACCGTCTGTTTTGGGGCCGCCCCATTACCGACCGAGCTATTATGACATTTTCTCTTGCGGCGAAATTTACCGTCATATTCGAATATATATTTTTCATTCCCTGAAAACAGGGATAAAAGGACATTTTCTAAAAATGAAACCTAGCTAGATCGATTTTTCGCCCCCGAATCTACGCACATACTAAATTTCATGAAAACCGCTGGAGCCGTTTCCGAGATTCCGATTATATATATACAAGAATTGCTCGTTTAAAGGATAAGATTTATTCTATAGAGGTGATTATTCGGTGGCGCAAGTGCATTGCCCTTACTGTAGGATAGGTTTTGCAAACACAAATTTCACGCGGACCAACACCCAGACTCGAAACAACTATTCGTGGGTTAAACAAACAGGTGTCCCGTGTGGGAATCGAAACCACGACAGTCGGGACCGAAGAAGATAACTCAGCGACTGCACCACGGAATCAACAAACAGTGAAAAAAAAACCAGCTAATTGCGAGTCGGACTCGCGCACGAAGGGTTCCGTACCATTATCTAGGTATAGGGGAGTCTTAGTAATCGGGTCCCGTGTTATCCTTTAGGTACGAAACCTTAAAAAACAATTCCGAACGGGCGGGTACCGTATCGCCATAGGGGGAGTCTTAATAATAGGGTCCCGTGTTACCCTTTGGGTACGGAACCCTAAAAACAAAATTGTGGTTATATCTCACATACCGTATCGGCATAGGGTTGCCGGCGTGAATGTATCCCACATACCGTATCGGCATAGGGTTGCCGGCGTGAATGTATCCTACATACCGTATCGGCATAGGGTTGCCGGCGTGAATGTATCCCACATACCGTATCGGCATAGGGTTGCCGGCGTGAATGTATCCCACATACCGTATCGGCATAGGGTTGCCGGCCTGGTCCTCCAAGGGCACCCGGGCGCCGTCCGTGGGCAGGGGCTCGCAGGGCACCAGCGCGGAGAAGTGGCCCGCGTCGTACGCGAGCAGTATGGGCGCCTTGCTGCACAGCTCCGGCCCCAGCTCCAGCGGCAGGTAGATCCCGCCGAACGGTATGGGCGCGACCGGATCGCCGCGGAAGTCCTGCGCAGTGACCGTCAACGGGTTAGCGGTTGGCGCTTGCAAGGGGAAATGGACTTTTTTCGCATCGCGCAACGTTCGAAGTTCGAAAGTTCACAATCGAAAATGAGCCTTACGTCGACGCGCACAAGACGTACAATCTCTGACCCGCAGCGCGACGACCGCGAGCCGCTTCATGTGGCTACAATCGAAAAGGAACTTTATTCATACGTCCACAAGACGCATATTCGCTCACCCGCAACGCGACGTCCGCGAGCGCGACGACCGCGCGCCGCACTACGTGGCTACAATCTAAAAGGAACTTTATTTCTAGGACAACAAGACGCATATTCGCTCACCCGCAGCGCGACGTCCGCGAGCACGACGACCGCGCGCCGCATGACGTGCGCCAGCGCGAACACGTGCAGCTGCTCGAGGCCCGCGTAGTGGGGCGCCGCGCTGGGCAGCGGGCGGGGCCGCGGCTCCGCGGAGGCGGCGCGCACCGCGTCGCGCCACTCGCGCTCCCACTCCGCCTCGGACGGCGTCAGGCCGGCGGCGCGCAGCGAGAGCGTCTCCGACCACCGCCAGCGGCGCTTTATCGCCTCTGTTTACGGACGCCGTGTACGGGGTGGTTTTGTGGACGACGGACGTTTTAACAGAGCGTATGCTGGGTTTGATTCTAAATCTGAATCTGGTACGCACTTGTGACCTAATCTTTTTCGAAGATTATTCTTAATTTTTTCAAACTTTATGGACACCCTTACATAATAATAAAGCATAATTATTATACCGCTTATCAATAGGGTGATACTTAACTAGGGATAAACAATCAATGTTTGAATTGATATTTTACTGGTTATTTCTTGTCAAAATAAAATATTAATATTTTTTTTTAATTATAGAATGCTCAATTAACATTATGTAAAATACAATACAATTATAAATAATACAAACTACTTTATTTCCAAAAAAAACTTCTACATTTATACCTTATGAATTGACCCCACACTAGCTTGTGTACTTCTGTCAAAATGTGTACTTCGTCTAAAAAATCAGCCTGTATATTTAGCCTGTATATTATATAGCCGATACATTTGGATCTGATACATCGATACAATAATAACCAAACAACTTTTAACTGTGGTAGGGCCACGCAACAGTTCACTGTTGCACGAACGGGCAGGTCCGTCCTGGTAAGTGACACGACCTCACAGAAGACTGGCGTGAAGCGGAACTGTCCACGGGCGGTGGTTATCACTTAACATCAGGTGAACTGCCGGCTCGTTTGGCAAAAAAAAAAGTATTTGCAAGATACGGGAAGTCTCCGCCGTCGCGTGAACTCATTCACGTCACGGCAAGACGAAAGTAGCGGTTGATGACTCACGCGTGAGCGCCTCCCCCCCCTCGCCGGAGAGCAGCGCCTGCACCTTGGTCCTCAGCGCGAGGAGCCGGTCGTGGAAGCCGTACGCGGCCAGCGAGGCGGCATGCGGCAAACAGTTGCCGTCCCCTGACGTCGCCAGGGGTAGCAAACGGGGGGCGCCCGGCACCCGCCCGTGCCGCCACCAGTTCAGGATGCCCGCCGACTCCAAGGTCACAAGGGTCGCCATCTCGAGCAGGTCCTTTTCGATGAATATTCTGGGAGAAACAAAAATATACGTGACACGAAAGAAGTTGTACTTCTTGGTTATTCATTTATTTGTATTTTAACAAAGCTCAGCACTCAGAAGTCGTACTTCTTATTTATTTATTAATACTTTATTGTACACCAAAAACAAAAGCTGCTAATTACAAATGAATGTGAAAGCAAGTACAATAGGCGGTGTTATCGCTCTGAAAGCGATTTCTTCCAGTCAGCCGTTGCGAAAAGAATTTTTGCTAAAGTGACATAAAGAAGAGAGCACAGGCAAATGTATATGAATCGTTTAGAGGGCGGTAGGGCAAAGAACAGATTGAACACGCGGCAGTATTAGAAATTGGCAAAATTTATATTTTTTTAAACTCATTATTCTGTATAAATTCCATTATTGTGTAATGCGAGTGTAATGTTCAGTTTGCGATCCTAAATTAAAAAAAAATGCGTTAGTAGAAAATATTTTCATTTAATTTCCTCGACATATGGACACTTGTCTCATCGCAGTGTTACTTTAAAAATGATTTGCATGAATATCAAATACTGAATAAATGCACTAAGTTTCAGCTTCGTTCACTGCTCAGACATAATTAACGCGAGCTATTTAAATATTTCAACAACGCATTCGACGGGGCGTCGTGCATCAATATCTAACAACGGGTCGCTATCATCACCCGCGAGTGAATTTTGGCCAACAAATAATTTATTAATTCTACTTCACTATTGCCATGTGAACACAAAACTCAAAAACGGCCGTGCGAAAATTTTTTTTTTGGTCCCACAGTCCGTGACAGCTCATTGTCCGGACGGTCGATTTTAATTCAGTATACTCGGGCAACCTGAGTTCGATGCCCGGTGTCGACACAAATGACATTGTAAATTTTGAGTACTGACTTGTCACGTACTTAACGGCGAAGGAAAAGATTGACAGATATTTCGAGGATATGATATGTGAAGTCCGCCAATCCGCAGTGTGGTCGAGGCTATGCACTAACACCCTCTGTAAAGAGGAGGCCTTTGCCCAGCGGTGGGACTTGTATAGTTTTTTTTTATAGTTCATACTTTCCCTATGTTAAACAAGTGAGGTCATAGTAAGTTTAACAAGCGGGCTAGTTCAGTGACAGCGCGCCGAGTTGCGTGTCGACTTTGGCATTCTGCCAAGTCGCGTGTAAGGTGAAATAATATTTCGCGTGACTGGCGTGTTATGTTTAGCTGCGAGCTATTACAACAAATGCACGCGGCTTTGTTTGCACGGTCTTATGTATGGTAATATGTTTAGTCTATATAAAATAAAGTTGCAATTGGAAATACGTAAATCTTTAATTTAGGGCAAATCTTAAATAGACGATTCATTCGCGAAAAAAACTATCGATAAGTATTCCGAGGGCAGGTCGCATTGCAAACTGCCTATTCGGATTTTGTCTGTGCTTATGCACGTTTCAAAGCTTCGAATATCATGTAAATACAACAGTTATGTCATTTTATGTGGTTTGGAAATATGTTGAGGATGGAATTTCATTTATGACTATGTTTTCAATATGAAAGATATTACAATGGAAGTTCTGATGGTATTTATTAAAATTTTTGGATCAAGATGTGTTTCATATTACTAGATACTGTACACACTGCTCATGGAAGGATAGTACATTTTATTCAACATTGACTGTAAAACCGGGAGGTCAATGAAACAAATCGAAAGAGAGTGTCACTGCAATCATAACACTAATAATTATACGTTCAAAAGAAATGTATTGCAAAAGTACGGAGGTAATGCACAGATTTAATATCTAAGGTTACTTACCTTCATTTTATAAAAACAACAATACAACTATGCGTTTACAACTATATGTTTACATGATAAAACAATCTAGCCTATAAACAATCTTAGAAATGATGAACTCATAAATTAATAATTATGCAGATCGCTTGCTAGGTGCTTTGCACCCAAAAAAAAAAATGGGTTATACCTCTTTGGCATTATTAAAAAAGTTTTTAATTGCATGCAAATAATTAATTACAATAAAATAATTAAAAAAACGAAAAGGATATAAATAAGAAAAATAATATAAAATTATGAAAGCGCTATCTACATTCTTTAAAGAGAACTTTAACAGGCGAATGTGATTGAGAATATGTTGGCCGTCTATAATAACAGGTTTAGCGGGTAGCTTCAAAGGGTGACTTTTGTGTTACAGTGATGTGCGTGCATCTTAAAATTTCACCTTCATAATTTTTTCCTAATGAAGTATAACTTCAAAAAAACAAGCAGAATATTGTTACGTTACCTGAAATCGGGCGGGTACACTGAGATATCGGGAAGCAGTAAGATGTGGTCCGAACTTAAGCTGCCGGGTTCTGGTTCTGTGTTGCTCCGCAGAGCCCACACTAGGCCCTCGTTGTCTGTCGCCCGAGATATGCCCCTGGACAATTTGCGGCCTGAAATGGGGAAAATTTGCGAAATTTGCGATTTGGAAAATCTGCCCGCGACTACGTCTGCGTAGAGGGGTGAAAATTTAGGGTTGTATGTATTTTTGTATGCCGTGTCATAAAAAATTAGAAACAAAAAGTTTTACAAAAAAAAAAAAAATTAGGTGTGGACTACCCCCTTAACATTTAGGGGGACGAAAAATAGATAGTAGCCGATTCTCAGACCTACTGAATACGCATATAAAATTTGGTAAAAATCGCCATTTCGAGGGGTTCAAGTTCGAACCCCGTGGCACGAGAATTTTATATATTAGATGTAATATTAAATATATATGTAACATTCAGACAGAAAGACAGATATAAATAAAATATGTATATAAATTATAGCCTATGTTTTAGTATAAGCTATATTATTGTAAAGTTTCATTAAAATCCATTCAGTAGTATTTACGTGAAAGAGTAACAAACATTCATCCATACATACAAACGTTCGCCTTTATAATATTAGTAAGGAAGTAAGGATTTAAAGCTTCTAATATGTTTCATTAAAACCATTTCATTGGGAATGAACACATGTCAACTCTCGAATTTTTAAAATCGACTTAAAAAAAACTTATTTGCTGTAACCCACTAGATTTCACTTGAGCACATAAATTTTTTAACACTGAAAAAAAACATAACTTCAAAATTACACAACAATTAGGAACATGAATTTAAAAACATCTGTCGCTTTTCTCTTTCTTTACACGTGAAAGCAATGATGTTTAATAATATACATGACTCATGTCCATATTGCCGGGCATTTAAAGTGTTCCGCTTTACATTATATGACATACAAAAGTGAATGTGACAGATGATATAGAACGTATGATATAGAAAGATACAATATAATTACACCAATTGGCGTAACTTGAGTGCCTAAATTTCGGTGCCCTAGTGTCATATATTTGTATATAATATAATTGCGTGTGAGGCATTAGATTTTATTAATTACGGGTTACAGCAAATGAATTGGATTTAAATACTGGATAACTAGCTCGATATAAATACTTTATAGTGTATGGATTTTTACTGTAATATGATATGTACAGCCGTTTTAAAGATATTGAATTAATCAAGGCAATCTATCAAGTGGTCTCGAAAAGCTTGTTGAAATGCTTTGCAATTTATTTTTCACCATAATGAATAGCGAATTGTACCAAACATATTAGGCGTAGTATAAAGCTTTCCGCTCACTCGAGTGTAGGCAAAGATAGCGCTGTGCCCTATCACGGCACACCCGTTTCACACACATCTATTAAAAGCTTCCTAAGCGTCCTTTTAATTTTTCTAATACGTTAGTTTTTTATTTGTATTATAATCTGCATCTGCTGAAAGAAACTCGTATTAAATTTTTGCCCAACAAACTTTCTTCAAAACATTCTGGAACGTTCTCTTCATTCATGTTTCACTTATGAATGCTTATTTTACGACGCTGTATTAAAGAAAAGCGGCGTTGTAAAATGGATGTACCGTCTAGGGAATGAAGTATCGCTGACTAGATGTCCAAGGTGCCTCTGCAAAGATTTCATATGTTGAGGTTCTGTAGTTTCAACATTCACATTGACTTACATTCTGGTGCAGGCGTGAGCACCAAGTTCGATGGCGCGGCGTAAGACATCGCCAGGTCTAGTGTGCTGACTGATCGCTCCGGTATGACGTCACCGCCCGCCCTCCGCCGCAACACTCTCTCTGGAACATTCCAAGAACGTTATAAGGAGTTGTCCGAGCGACGTTTGATTCATGGAACGGGTATTTCGGCCCAGTTATTTTTGTCGCTGCATTTTATTGCGCACTGCGTTAAATATAAACATGTCTGTTGTCTCGTTCGCTTGTGACCTCGTCTTTGACTTTGGGGTTAGATGATTCTTCATAAATTATTTATAAAATAACACGCACCCTTATTATACGGATGAGTGTTTTTTAAATTATAGTAAGGTGACAAAAATGAGTGGTTTCTCCAATACATAATCACATCCACAATTATTATATTATGTCACAAAACTATTATATTAAGTACTTATGTTTAATGGCTAACAAGTCTTTACATGTTTTCATATTTTGAATTATTTAGTATTCTCGATTTCATTTACATTCATAAAAGCTTACATGATTTTATACTTTACTCTCGACGATCGATAGAAAACTTTGTAACCTTATTTACGAGGGGTGATCCAAAAGTAATGATAATCGGTTACTTCAGGTCCGCATAAATATCCAAAAAAAATATTTTTTGCTTGCTTATATACTCACTAAGTCAGCCTAAAAAAATCATATAAATAGATCACGATTTCCGGGAGATACATTCATTTGAATACGAACTGACAAAGATCGTATTCAAATGAATTTTAAACTCCTTGGCCCAGCGTGCAACTGTAGAATGTGTAGGAGCAGAGTCTCCCAATGTTTCCACTAAGTCACTGTGTGTCTTTTGAAGACATTTTTTTCAAACAGAGGTACTTGATGACAGCTCTAATTTCGTTTTTCTCCATGATGATAACATCAACATGGAGAAAAACGAACGTTAGGGATCGTTCCGCACGTTCCCAATAACGAAGAAATATCATCGCACACGTCACACTGAGAATGCTCGGAGAAACAAATAAAAACCAATTGACCTGTGCGAAATCTTTGCTCAGTATCGTGATCATTCACCCAATACAATGGTAATATAATAATATAATAATGAGTAAACATGTATTTATTTATCAATAAAAGCTGTCCTATTTCGAATAAGGTTTTTCAGTCTACTTCGCTATCTTTTATTTAAACAAATTATTAATCGACGGTATTATTATAAATTTGTTCAGTTTGTAAACGAAATGTTTTTTTTTTTTTGTAAAAATAAAATTTATTCTATTTTTCTTCAATAGCGACAAACGTTAGCTGTAACGGTCGTTGAATCATAAAATTTGATGAGGAATTATGTTATGTTACATGGATTATTATGTTATGGCGTACCGACAAAAGATAACTTTGAAAAATAATGTATAGAGATATAGAATTCTTGTTTTTAAGTTATTTGTGTTATGTTTGACCTTTTCTGCATTGTCTTACTGCTGTAATTATAACTTTGTGGGCCCTGCGATACACAGGGCGTATAGGAAGTTCCGCTCTGTTGGCTCGAGCTGAGGCACCAAGCGATTTGACCCAGCGTATCCCAGTTAGCTACAGGGCGTAAGTAAAGAGATGGAGCGGTAAACTAATATGGCGCGCAGATGCCTAACTGGGTCATTCGTTTTCGACGTGCAAGTCGGAGATGGTTACAGAGCACATACCTATACATTACAGGTAGGCTTATATAACTGAATTTTTCAATTTGCCGTTGCACAAATAAGCACGCTCATCCGAGAAAGTAACACAGAAGACCGGCGCTCATTGGAAGTTTTGTAATTTCGCGTTTCTACTTCTGAATGGTTTATCAGAGCTCATTTGTTTAATGGTCAGGAATGCGTCTGCAACCTGTCAGCTGTTGCAGATGTCCATTGTGTGTTTTATTGTAACGGAGTAGACTTGTTTCTTTGTATACTCGTATAATAAATCACTTACATAAGACTTATAGTGAATCTGCAAGTTGGGCGTTGACATAGAGAAGAAGAAATGTCTATGAACGACTTAGTATATACTTATAATCATAGACAATATAATGATGATACACATGGCCACTAATCACCTAAAATCTGATGAACCGAGAGCTCGCATGGCAACTTTTAACATAAAAAAACTCAACTAGCTTATTTAACTTATGTAACCTCATTCCGTACTGCGAAACATACTAAGCTGGGTTAAACGGAACTATACACCTGTCAGTCAAGTTCGAAGTAAATCGTGAGATCTTATACATATAATATATTAAGACATTTGGGGATTGACCGTTATTTAGGAAAAGTGCAGAAACTATTTTCGGAAACAAAGGCAAAAGCGCAAGCGGCTCATGGTAAATTATTACAACCACACATTTGCACCACGGTTAGACAAATGCTCTAACGCAAGGCGAGGAACTCTATTTTATATAATGTTGACCTTACATACACAGGTAGAGTTCATTATTTATATCATCACGTAGGTTCAACCTATCTTAAGTACCAACACGTAACATTCTTTTCTTTTTTTTAAAAACATTGCCCTTACTTTAGGATAACATTATCCTGTGTTGTAAGGACGTATTACATACATAAATTTCACGTGGACAGACACCCAGATGCGAAACAATCTGTGGGTTCAACAAATAGTTGTCCCGTGTGGGAATCGAACCCACGACCCCCGACACCGAAGCCAATACCTTGGCGACAGCGCCATGGAGTCATCCGAACATTATTTTTACCTCGCAGCCCACGGGTGCTGTTGATATCCATTTGCGACGGTAATCATTTAACATCCAATGCCATTCTTCAAAAGGTTGTCAACGCATCTGCAAACCCTCGGATGTAGCAGATGTCCATGGGCGGCGGTATTCACTTAACATCAGGTGAACCGCCTGCTCGCTTGGCAACTTTTCAGATAAAAAAAAATCATGTAGATCGTCTCTACACTTGCTTTCGTAGGTATATCTGACCCAACATTGGACTGTATCGAATAATATTGCCAAGTCAAGATTTTAATTAATTTGACGCTTATATACATTTTATGGAAGTCATAATCTAATACTATTTAAAAAGACATTTCTAGGGAAGGACCGACGGGAAACACTCCTGTCAAATATGTGTTTGTATATTTTTCAACAATAATATTCGTTTTTTTACCACATCTCTCTTCGTTCACCAATCGTCAGCTTATGAACGTGATTTTATTTTCGCACCGAGCACAATGATTTTACACAGTGAAACCAGACGTTACAAGAGAAACAGATTAAAAATTTTTGTCGGAGCCATTGGAAAATTACTTTAAGTACATTTTACAGAGCATTCGAGTACAGTCGACGCAGTTGCTTTTGCTCTATACTAAAGTAACGATTGTAACGTCTCTTGCAAAATGTCTGCACTTGTTCCTAATCGAGTGTAATTAACATAATTTTAATGGTAATGATGTTTAAATTCGTCGGTTAATTATTGACTCCGTTACTTTTCGTGTCATGATATTTTTTAATACAGTGGAAACATGATGATAAGTTAATTAAGATTTTTGGGAGCAAATCAATAAGTCGGAGACTATGCATACATACTAAATAAGACGTAGTTCGCGTCTACAGCTTAATATCAAGCAAATGTAAATTTACATTTGAAAGCTATATATTTTAAATACCACCCATAGCCACCCACTGGCCCACACTTATAACTTATAGATAAGGAGAAATATAAGGAGAAGGAGACACGGAGCTCACGTTGAAGTGGATGTAGACCCCAAAGTGGGCTCGTTTCTTCTTTTTTTATGTGAATAGTTGTTTTCCGCCGTCCATGGACGTCTACAAAACGTGACGCGTAGATGCGTTTCCAATATTAAGAAAGTGGTCACTGGTTACCTCACTCCTCAGACGAAACGCGAAAGTATCATACTTCCACTTCACGCCGCAGATCTCCTATCTTTTTGAGATTTCTCCGCCGATACCGAAAAAGTATCAGACGCTTTATAATTGTGATTTAATTACGTTTAACAGTGTGATTTGAAGCAATTTTATCAACACTCAAACGTGTATAGATAGAGAGATTGCAAGTGTGCAATTGGACATACGAGAGCCACTATAGTCATTGCATAATTAAACGTTCAAATTACAGTCGTAATTACTGCTGTCATGATGTAACTGATCTGCATATGCATTCATTATTTAAGCTGTTCGTTTTATTTATTTTAGCTTCGCTGTTGCGTATTACCGTATAGGGTTGTCTCGATTCGTAATTATTTTTCTATCTGAAAAGTCGTCAAGCGGGCAGGCGGTTCACCTGATGTTAAGCGAATACCGCTGTCCATGGACATCGACAATACCCGAACGATTACGGATGTGTTGACAACCTTTAAAAAAGTAGATCCCGGTAACCACACTCACCAGGTGAAACGCGAAAGTAATAATTACACTTCACGCCGGTCTTTTTCGAGGCCGAGGTACTTCCCCGGACGCTGCTGCCCATTTATGCAACAACAGAAGCTGTTGCATCGCCCTACCACAGTTACGATTCGAAATAGAATTTTCACGATTTCACGGCAACAATTAAGGGTCAAATGATGTGACATGTTATTAGAAAAGAGTCGTGTCTTTATCTTCTCCAATGTAGGTGGTGTGGATGATCGTAAAATTAATCAAATACGTAATACCGTCGAATAATCCTTACTAATATTATAAAGGCGAAAGTTTGTTTGTATGGATGGATGTTTGTTACTCTTTCACGCAAATATTACTGAAAGGATTTTAATGAAACTTTACAATAATATAGCTTTATATATCAGAATAAGACATAGGCCTTAATTTATATACATATTTTATCTATATCTGTCTTTCAGTTAATGTTACACCTTCAGCCTATTCTACGCAGACGTAGTCGCGGACAGCAGCTAGTATTAAATATTTCTACAAACTTATTAACGTTATAAAAATACAAACGACTAATATTATTGTAGTATCGTGGGCGAAATTATATTAACCTATAAAATATGAGTTGTCTTGTCTAGAATGGCGCTAAAAGTGTCAAAATGATAAAGACATTTAATAGGCACGCGCAACCGTGCGCTTAAGTATCAGCGAAAACTTTAAGTAAATCGAAATCAACTTAAAATCGCACATTTTTTTTTCAGATTCAAATCTGGCCAGCACTTGACAGCCATCCCACCTGATGGTAAGTGGCGAAGCAGTGCGCATACCACTGGAAAAGTATTCAACTGATTACGCAAAATAGTGACCATCAAATTTTCCGCTACAGCTCAAACCTTGGGGCACTGATGGACGCAAAACAGAGGCAAATGTGAATTCGGTGCAGTATTTATAGAGCATCAAATGTAGTATATAGGGCGCCATATTTTCGTGGACGCGAGTAGGTTGGTCAGTAACCACGCCTCGGATCGAGAACGCACATAAGACAGATTTCGGCCAAGATATCGATCTATTACAAGAATAGAACTTCGATCAGCTCCTTCGTTCGAATGGCAGCTACGCGGCCATATTGCTTTACCAGTTTTCGATATTACGTCATTTGATGTAAGTTGACATTAGCAATACATGGAATTCAAAGATGCGAGTTTGAATCTCGTTATCGTCCTATGTCGTGCCAATGAGTCTTCGCTTCTTCGGATTTATTACGAAGCGAATGTCTCACTCACATTTGTGCTAGACTCGTGACCATTTTCTGTCAAACTTGTAACTCTCGGTCTGGATAAGATCGTGGAAACGTGGCTAACACGTTTATTAGACAGAGACGGCTTACGATATCAATAGCTGTCGCTGTCTAACATGTCCAAAAGCAGCTGTAATTAAAATAGTATATAAACTATGTATACGGTACTGTATGTTCTCTTAAATCTAACTTTTCAATACGGCTTAGAGTTTAGACAAACCATAACCAAGACATAGTGTGTGTAGCATTATCATAGTTATACATAAATTTACCTTGGGTTTAAAGTCAAGGTCGAAATATTTTAATCCAATTTGACCTTGCTTTTTACTGCTATGCTTGATTACAAACATTTATTTAACTTGAAATATTTGTTAATTTGTTTAGGTAAAATCTTGGAAACTGAAACTGAACCAGTACGGCTTAAGAATTTTGTCTCGTTCACTCTCGATGATACAACACGAATAAAGCCTATGTAAAAGACATTTTCAACTTTGTACCTAGTTTCTTTTACTTTTCAAAAAACTTATCGTCTAACCCAAACGGACAAATAAAGAAATAGGGAGCGACACAGAAAAATCTAAAGACACACATTTATAAAAATATAATTTAATTATTTTTTATATTTATGAAATGCCTTTTAACTTTAATTTATAAATAACGTATTGACATACTTCGAAGTAATTTTTTTTCTTTTTGTAGTATTTAAATGAAAGGTTGTTTTTGTAAATACTAATTTATTAACAAGTATTTTTGCACTAACATACTACCAGTTCATTTTTTTATTTCTTATATTTAGTGCTCGCCTGCACGTTAAATGTGTAGATATCGACCGCTAGCTTAGTGGATAGAGCGTTTGGACGCGTAATCCGGAAGGTACGGGTTAAAATTCTGATAGCTGAGAAGTTTTGTTTTGTGACAAAATATAGTTTGCTGTTATCCCGAAGGCTTTGACAGCTTCGGAATTAAAGAGAAAACTCACCGTCGCTATGCTTCTCAGCGATCGGATTGACTTCCATCACCATGCCGATCACCTATCCTAAAACAATGAAAGTGTTCGTCATGAAACATACAGAAACATACATAAGCGAAACAGTAGTTTTAAAATTTGTAGAAAAAGTACGAAAAGGTTGTCGCCGCTGTGGGAATCCAACCCACGTCTTTGGCATTCGCGGCCTGACGCTTTAGCCACCAAGCTAAACGGCTGATGGCCACACCGACGAAAACCTTAACGTCTTTTATCTACATTGTTTTTTAGCATTTGAAGCAATGCTTGCATCCATTGTTATATCCTTTCCAGCATACAGTAGTTTTATTACGACAAGTCATCATACTAATAAATAAAGTTGAAGAGTTTGTTTGTTTGAACGCGAATAAGCTTCTCAATTTGAATTCATTATTATAGGTTTGTTACCTCAGAATTCCGTAATTTATAACTCTAATGGGATTTTTTTTTTGATAGGAGATATTTTCATTTCATTGGCATATAGGAAATGTATTATAGTCAGTGTACGAGAGCGTGTGGGAGTATTTCAAGTCAATTTAGTTTTTTTTTTTAAATAAAAATGTCTTACACGACTGAATGTTGCCAACGCAACCCTCTCGTGCCAACGCAACCCTCTCGTGGTTGTAGAGTTAGTTGGGCGTGCTTCCTGGTGGTTTGCAACTTACCCGTCGAAAGAACTTTCTTTTTCGTCATTACAGTTTTTTTTGTTTTTACATGCGCGTACGACCACGCTCCCCGAGAGCGCTTCGGGCCGCATGTTCTGGCGGCCCGTGCCAATTCGGCAAATAACGAATGTCTGCGGTCCATAAACAAACCGGCGAAACGGCGACAGATGACACAAAGCCACCTACGCGGCGTTTCGAAATAGAACATTCAAAAGCCACCCGGCCAGCTCGTGAAGCACCGTCAAATTCCTTGTCATCGTTGTTCGTGTAGGGATATCTTTTATAGAAGCGCCGAGGAGAAGCTCTACGTATGCCGGTTCGTTATTTCGGTACTTAACGCATCGTGACTGTATTACGCGTAAATAGCATGATGTAAACTAAATTTGCGTTTTGGACGGATTTTTATTATAAACTTTTCAATATAACCCAAGCGGCCCTGGGATATCGTGTCAATTCAAGCCGCTGACTTGAGTATAATATATTTTTATTATAGAAGATGTAGTTCGTGTACAATATTTTTTTATTGTTCACTTACTTATTTGAAATACACTCTAAAAACCTAGCATAGGTTGAAATAGCTGGATAATTCAGAGAGATAAGCGTTTATGTTGAAAACTGTGTTTATTGGATATCAATCTGGAAATTTACGAATTTACTCTAACTACAAATAACCGGGCTGGAAATAAAGTAGCTAATATAAATTATTAAATGCAATCAACATTAAAATCAATTAAAAACGTGGCAGGAATATGTCGCTGTATAAAATTGGGACGAATCCCATATATAAAATTCTCGTGTTACGGTGTTTGTAATTGAACTCCTCCGAAACGGCTCGACCGATTTTCGTGAAATTTTGTGTGCATATCGGCCCGGGTGAAGAATCGGACAACATCTATTTTTCATCCCCCTTAAGTCAAGGGTGGTCCACCCCAAACATTTTTTACTACCCAACAAATAATTTATATGTCAAAACAACGTTTACCGGGTCAGCTAGTTAGGATATAAAATCCATTATGATAAGTACGAAAGTAAGAAGCATCAAGCGGGATACCGAACGCAAGAAAAAAAGACATTTTTTTATAACTTATTAGATAGTCTGCTTATGGATAAGCACCTGGAAGAATCTAATAGAGCCAAGTGGGAATCGCGGGCGGAACTGTGATCACAATTAGTATAACAACAAAACTTATGTTCTAATATTATGATGACTCCGTGGCGTAGTTGCCTGGGTATTGGCTTCGGCGTTGGGGTCGTGGGTTCGATTCCCACTCGGGACAACTATTTGTGCGACCCACAGATAATTGTTTCGCATCTGGGTGTTCGTCCGCGTGAAAATTATGTTTGTAAAACGTCAATGAAAAAAATAATGTTATCCTAAAGTTAGGGCAATGTTTTTGATAAAAAAAATGCGATACGTCAAGAGAGCGACTATTACTCTCATTTAATCTATACAGATAAATAAAATCGGAGTGTCTGTTTGTAAGATACAAATAACCACTGTTAACTAAATGGATATGGATGAATACACGGTACTTATACCAAAATAACATTTTTTACAAGTTTTGCCTGTCGGTCCGTATGTTTGTTTGTTTCGGCTGATATTTGAAACGGCTGGATGGATTTTGACGGGACTTTCACTGGCAGATAGCTGACAGAGGAACTTTTATTTATTTTTATTAATATACAGCGTGTCGTTACCACCGCGACAATAAATGAACACACATATAGATGATAACTTTTAAAAATGTTATTAAACATTTACATTCTTCAAACATCAATATTTACCGAGTTATTAAATTTTACAAAACAAACAATTTTAGAACACTTTTACGTATAAAACTGTAACGTAAAGTTCATTTGTAAAGGTCATTAAGCATATGATTGGGTTGAATGAATTTAAAAGAGACAAAACATACTGTTAGAAGGAGAGGCTTGTAATGCGACGCTGTGGCGCGAGTTGTATAGGATGTTACAAATTTTGTTTCTTTTTTACTTCTTTAGTTTGTATGAAAAATATTCTTTTTAATTATGGATTTTGTTTAATGTTAATATTTTTTTATGATTATTGGCAAGTAGCGTTAGACGTGTGTTCATTTATTGTCGCGATGGTAACGACATGCTTTATATATATATATAGCATAATTGTACGGACGAATTCGCGGGCTCAGCTAGTTCATTAATTGTGTGAGTAGGATTTTTATTCGAGTTGTTTTATATACTCGCATGTTTGTGCAGACGCTAAAACAAGATCAACATAGCCGGCACCGCAGAGCGCTGTACTGGTCTTTGTTTACGTAACGAGTGAAGAATCCTTATGTAGCAACCGGCTGGGTGCGGTGAAATATAGAGCCGACGCTATCATGCATAAATGGGTGGGTGGGCCGATGGTTTCGATATCAAAGCTCCGTCTCTCCTTCGTAGACTATTCCGAAATAAACAGTCTTTTTTGATTAGCTAAATACGATTATGCTTTGAGTGCGACAAACCTTAATGAATGCTGTTATTACACCTACACTAAGCTTATAATTGAGATTAGGTGTAACTTGTTGCCGTAAAATTTGTGTTTATTAAAATTTTGTGTGCATGTAATTTTGTTGATAATCCAAAATAAATGAACCGTTTATCGTATATGTGTATGCTATTTATACTGTTACTGAAGGGAAACATGGCAACAACGAGCGTTTAGCGATGATATCGCGTAGGACAACTATAACATATCATATAACATGTTTGGTCTCTTTTATTCTGATTATAAGTTTTAACAGAATCTCTTTACGAATGTAAAGCGGTTGCTTTTTGGACTTCAACTCCCAACGACTGTATGCGGACTTTTCACGGTTTTTGTTTTAACCGAGGTGCTAAAAAGTAACATAGATTATATTACACTGGCAGGGTTGTCAGGTGAGTCCAGTACGGTTTGGACGTTTTCGTGATCAGAGTGGACAAACATAAAGATCAAGGTTTTCAAGGCGCGTGTTTAGAAGTTAGCAATACGCAAATAACAAATATTAATTTAATTCTTCTGTTTCTAAAACACAGAGTACAACCTCATTATTTTTGTTAGTTGACAGTTAAAAGAAACTGTTATCATTTCATAATTTTTGCGTATTATTTTAAGAGTATTCTGTAAAGATAGTGCTAGTAGATCACCAGTATGATAAACATGACGATTGCGTAACACTGTTTAGATTCGTTAGTCGCTCATAGATTGTCGTCTATTGCTTTCGTATACATGACGATTATATTTATCTATTTGGGAAGCAAACAGAAACAGGTATGAGTAATCCATTGAGAATAAATATGCGACGCCCACGAGACAGTCCATCATTCTCTTTAATAAATACTTTTATCATTTTATAAGGGTTATTTTTACTAGCCCTGTAGATCCAGGCTCATAGAATAGGACTAAGGTATCTCCTATGTATGTCGTAAAAGGCGACGGGGACACGGATTGGCAGCAGCTCGGACAGGCGTCGAGCTCCTGCAAGATGGCGAGGGAATCGGGGAAGGTTTACCCTTCTCCGAGGTGTGCTCACGTTCAGTACCGAGGGACACCGGTGCGTGCCATAGGAGATCCCGAGGTCCCTCCAAACGTACAGAACGTGGCCACCGAGGGGATTTTAGTGGGTAAGAACCCCACATAACCCTGTCATGTAAGATGATGTGGTGTCTTTTGAAGTTTTCCCCCCGATACAAAAAAAAGGGGTAATTGTTACACTGTGGCGTGCTTTTGGGGAGACATATGTCCAGCAGTGGACTAGAATAGACTGATTGAGACAGAGAGAAGATTATTAATTTTAATTATCGTTCGAATCTACAGGATCCATGGTCAGAAAAAGACAGGTTTAAAAATATGCTCTATCCGAGTTATATAATTAGTTAGGGTCAGCACGATATGTCAATGAAGTTGTTGATGCTATTGACAATCATTTGCGACTAACAAAATCCTTGACTTGTGTAAGAATCGGACCTACGACCCCCGTTGCCGAAGCTAACCGCTTAGCAAATGCGTCACCGACTCGCGGAGCGTAAACAATAAAATATATATATATTTGTAGAAAAGGTACGAAAAGATTGTCGCAGCTGTGGGAATCGAACCCACGTCTTCGGCTTTCGCGGCCTGACGTTTTAGCCATTAAGCTAAACGACTGATTACCACACCGACGAAAGTATTAAAGTCTTTTATCTTCATTGTTTTTTTAGCATTTCAAGCAATGCTTGGCTTATTCATTTTCATATAATTTGTAGCATACAAACAATTTCATTGTATGCTGGAAAATTTTAATGTTTAATCTTAAGTGCAGAGATTAGCACTATAATAAAAAGCGGCCAAGTGTAAGTCAGACTCGCGATC